TTGGAAATTTTAATTGTCACCCACTGACTTTGGTTACAGTGGCAACAAAAGTGTAAAAATTCACAGCAAAGATTTAACTAGGGAATCTGTGTCTTGGAGTGTCTGTTAAGTTTTGGAAACAGAGCTGATCAATTTTACTTTCTAGCTTCTCAACAAAAATACTAAGTAGTTGAAGATATTTTACCTTGTAGAAGAATCCTGTCACTATTTTTCAGTATATAATATATAACTCATTTTCAATTTTCTGTTTAGTTGTCCGGTATTGGTTTATTGATAGATGTTCAGCAGGGAAAAATTGTGAACTATAACTTCTTCACCCTGTTACTTTTTTAAGAGTTCTGGAGACTGTAAATGTTCACATGTTCTACTGAAAGATTGCGAAAGTAACATTCATTTATAACATTTGAAGGATTATTCATGGAAAAATTATGCAAAGGAAAAAAACAGTGAGATCCTCTGGGATATGTGTAAACTTTTCCAAATGTTCTTGCCGCAGACCACTAAACAGCACTCAGCTCATTCTGATGAAGTTGTCTTATGTTCTCTAATGCAAACAATTTTTAATAATGTTTTAATATTTTTATACAATATTTTTTTGTGCATGTCAGCATAGCCTTGAAAATGATTCTGAGAAATAATGAGAACCAAACTAACCCCTGTTTATGCCAGCTGACTGGAAAATCCTACTAAGAGTGCTTTGTCTCCATGAAAGGCAAAATAACAGAATAGCAATCATGGTAACAGTATGCACTAGGAGTGGAGCCAGGAGAGTAAGGAGAGTTAGCAGTAGCAGATGACTTCAGTTACTGGGGGAAAAAATGGGCAACATAATCTCAAATGAATTGAAGTTTTGGAATTTTGTTATCAGCAGTATCAGGCATAGGTTACCCAGCTAATTGCTCAGCAGTCTGGTATGTCCATAAACATCCCTTGGCTGTGCAGCGTTCATCAGTATCTCACCATTTACCCTCTTTGGCATCCTTCTTGGCACAGTCTCACTTGTCTTTTACCCCTTAACAGAAATGAGGTCATCTCTCTTGTGCTTTATAACTCATACGACACCCTTTACACCCCTGACTTCTTACTGAACTGAGCGTACCCTGCAGCAGAATTCCAGTCTAATGAGAGCTCCAAACTTTGCAGTTCTTCTTCGTAGACATTTGACAGAGGAGCAGACATAAAGACTTTGTAAAGTTTTTTTTCGGCTCAGATTCTTTTTGCCTTAACACAAACTTAGTAGATCCAGATGGTATTTGTTTCTTTCTCTTGACTTAGGGATAAGGAAGAAGCAGAAATACACAGAAAATAACTTCTTCAGTGTTATATCAGCACAGCCGATATTTCTGTCTGTGCTTTTTTTCCCCGCAAAGCATTCGCTTCTCTATTATCAGGATCTTCCCTAAAGACATCTAACCAAGAATTCAAGTCCTTTATCTCTTTCCCAGGACTGATCAAAGAGATTGTGATTACCGTACTGAATAGCCAGGAAGCCAGGCTGGAACTTTTGGCTTAAATTGTAAGGTTATTACACCTGTTCTGACAAATTCTGTCACTACTGGGACATCTCACCATAGTTAGACAGTGTTTTAATCTGAAAATGGGTAGAATATTTTTTATGTCAGTCTTCAATCTGAGATAAACAATCCCTAGTCATATTACGTGATTTGTTTCGGTTCATTTTAATAAACTTTTTCTGTTCTGAAGTTGTCCAAGTAATAAAAGCTCGTATTATAATTAAGTTATAATGATGACTTAAATATTTTTATTATATTCACATTAATGTAAATTTCACCCCAGGTTTCCTAAAGGAGGATTTATTTTTTTAAATTAAATTAGACATGTAGAGTGAAAATTCAGAAAGACCTATTTTTGTTGGTAGACATCATCTCTTTATTTTTTTGGAGGCCTGGGTAGAGATAACGTTTAGATCTATAAATACTTAAAATACTAGGAGACAAATCCATCTGACTTTGATTTTGTTATGGCTTGACTGTGTTAGCACAATACTTCGCTGTTCTTTCTCTGGATGAAATTTTTGAAGCTTTGTGCCAATGACCACTCTCTTACAACCAAATTAATCAAATAGTCTTACTGCTTTGAACTCAGTGGCTCTCCACAGTGAGATACTTAATCTGTTAGGCTGTCATGTATTATGTCTGAGCAACTTTGTTAATTTTTTTGTGGCGCAGTGTCTGAAAAAAAGTGCTGCATACTCATTTAAGGGTTTGCCTTTAAGACTGCAACTCTTTCACAGACTGAATTTTCAACAAATTATTGAATGGTGTTTTTCAAATTATTGAATGGTGTATCACTGAACTATGTCATCCACTTCCAAGGACTTACTGTAAATTGTGATTTAGAACTGATAGTAGCACCAGAAAGATCTGAACAACACAACAGAAGGCGAGGCGGAACCAGTTATGTAGCCAGATTAAGGAGTGGCACAATTAATAGCTTACGAGGTGCAACAGTAAACCCTGAATGGCCGCATTAACACTGAAGTTTAAGCTGAATTTTGGACTGCACTCTTGCGTAATATACATCCTCATAATTTTTGGGAAAATTCTTCTCTGTCACAATCTTCATGCTGAATCTCAGCTCTCAAATATTTGAGCTTCTAACCAGGTAGTAAACACCGCAGTATTTCTAAGTATTGTAATGTTTCACAAGTTGAAAATACCTGATAAACTGAGCTTGCTGAGTGAACTCTGTTTCTTCTGAACTCTGTCTGTCAGAAGAGCTGGACATTTTCAGACAAAAAGTTTTGCTGATTATTCTGCATGCATTTAAATGGTCTTCATTCATATTTTAAGAATTCATGATGAAATGTTGTGGTTAAGGACAGTAGAGAAATGTACATTCTTGCTAGTAAGACTCTGGGTCTGAAATTCCTGCCTGTTGGTGAAATATTAATTCTAAGAGTTTTTACAATCTATTAGTCACCAACTGATCATGCTCAGATTAATTATTTTTATATTCAAACTTTTGCTCAGCCTCCATGGCAGAGGAAGAGGGTGAACCCTATTCACCTTGGGGAAAAAGCCTCCAGTGTCTTCTTACAACCCAGACACAACATTTTAATTGAAAATACAGCAGAACATTGTACTCAGTCTTTTTCTCCCCGCCTCCCAGGCATATGGTTCTCGTTGAATTTCTGGATCAAGAAATGATTAAAAATGCATTTTTTTAGAATTACATGTGACCTTTAAGCATAAGACCTTCTCTGAAGCCACATACGCTAATGACTCATGCTACAATAGTGTCATGCTTCACAAATTCTCAATTGCAATAAACAAATGATAGCAAAGCCAAGTGGGCATAAATCTGTTTGCATGTATGATGGTATGCAGAAAGAAAGCAGAAAACAGCATTACAAAATGTTTTGTCCTTTTCTTCTCCTACTAAATGATGATCTGATGAATAGTATTAATGAAGATTCTTGCAATGAACTTATTTCCCCTCTCTCAAATGCTGGAAATTGTCTCCTCTTTCTCCTTTTTTTGAGAATCCTTTAATTGTTATTTAAACTGCACAACAAACATTTTGCTCAAATTTTGCAGAATGCTGTTTGGATGAAGATTTCCCCTTTTCTGCTCTTAAAGAATCTTTGTAATTCTTCATAATGATAACCCAGTTCAAAGTGAAATTCCAGAGCCTAAGCTATGTGGAAATAAAAATACAAGTAATTTGGATTTCATACATCTGCATTCAAATCTGTACTGCAGAGTGGATAAAGACAGTAAAAGATCTTTGCATCTGTTCATATTATTTTTTGCTCATTATTAAGACAAACTCATTACTTGTTGTCCTGTTCCTTTTTGCATCCCATGCATTTTCAATTCTCCCTTGCAGAAACTGATGAATTACTTCTATGCTTAGGAAGAGTTGAAGTAGGCTATAGGGCAAATGCAGAATCATTTCTGTTACTAGCATGTTTTCACATCTCATTTTTAGTCTGTGCCCTAGAATGATGGTTTTTTCCTATTTCTCTTTATCTGTAATTTGAGTCCAGTCACTTTTGTAAGGATTCTAATGATAGCTCTTTGTGTTTTTCATATCAAAAAGTTTGTGTCTCTACTGAACTCTTAACAGGTTCATTATAGGTAAGAGGCCAGAAACTGAGTAAGCCATGGTCACTGGAGTGTACAAGAAGTAATTTCTGTAAATGCAGGAGGAGGTCTCTCTTGCTGCTACTTAAGCTGTACCAAGTCTGGAGATAAGTAGGTGTGGGACAAACAGCCACTTTCATGACCACCATTTCAATTTCTGTCAAGAGTACCAACATCACAACTAAATATTTAACCATGAAATCTTAACTGTTTGTTGTGAAGCCAAGAGTAGCCTTGTATTCACTGTAGATAATAGGCCTTGTTCTCCACTGTATTGCAGAATTCACTGTCAGTCTTTTGCAGACTGTATCAAGGAGCTGAAGCTAGAACAGATTGTCCATGTTTTCCATGGGGCCTCGTAAAATCTGTAGAATGAGAGGAAGAATGATTGTAGTGAGACATCCCTAAGCCTCACAGTGAAAAGCAGAACATCTGTCTGGCTGTAAGACACAGGAAAAGCCCTTGCTTTCTCTTACGTGCTCAAATTGTGAGTCAGTATGAGCAGACTGTTTACAGTTTATTCACAACATGGAGTTGTAAGCGAAATTCTAAACATGTGTGAACATTTCTACTCACACCCGAGATACAGATTGACTTTATGGCTCTGCATATTGTACTTTGGCACATACAACTATTGTAAGGGTGCCAAGACTTTTTGTAGGAGTTCACTGTCAAAAGTATGTACAAAGATGTTTTAAAGATTACTTCCAGGCACTTCAGGTATATAGAGACTAATTCATAGCAGAAATGAACGCTATGGATGCTATACTCATCAGAAATCATGTCTTCAGGATATCTGTAATAATGAATTTTAATCAGCTGCTAAACACACAAGCCCATGAATTTCTGGGCTTTACCACAGTTCAGTGTTAAATAATCTCTGTCTTTTAGGTCCAGCTGAAGTGTCAGCAATTATGAAATTCAGCAGGAGACCAACATGTCCCGACACCTCAGTTGCAGCAAGTCTGTCTACGCCTCCTATACCAAGGCACAGGAAGAGTCACAGCCTGGGAAACAAGTGGGTACTCCAGGTTCCCTCACACTCAGGCAGTTTCATGCATCACTGAGGTTTAATCTGGCAGCAGAACACTTTGGTACTTGCTTCTTCCCTTTCCTGTACTGCTGGAGTGCTTTAGGCTTTGCTATGTATTTTCTAAGTTTTCTTTTGACACTGTATGTTTTTGCTGGCAGTATTCTTGTCATTCTAGAAAGCTGTGACCTTTTGCACTGTTCTACAAATGAGACACTTTGCTAGCTAAGTACGAGCACCTGCTTTCCAGTTAAGGCGAGCATATACCAAGTATCACATTTAATGGGTTAAGGAAATGCAGTTCACGATTGATGTGTTTGTTCAGCTTAGTGCCCAGCTATCTGCTTGCTACACAATAACCTGTAGACCTATATTTTGTGTTCATTGTATGATAACGTAAAGCCTGAGTGGAAATATCAGTTAGAAATGATTGTTATCAGATGACATAAGAGGGTTTTTGCATTTTTCTCTTTCCAAATTTCCAGCATGATGTGTCAGTTCAGTGTGGTGGAGAGCAAAAGCGCCACTTTCCCAACAGAGAGGCCGCGCCACCTTCTGGATGACAGTGTCCTGGAGTCACAGAGCCCGACCCGCAGCCACATGCTGAACTCGCTTTTCACCAATGGCATTTCTATAGGTAGAGACTGAGTGGGGGACTGACATACTTGGTTTTCCCTCCCAGTTCTCTTGTAAAGTCATAGAGAAATACAAAATCAAGGGATTAGGAAGCTTAGTAGCTCCTGGGCAAAGATTGTGCTACTGTATAGAAGAAAGGAGATCAGACTTACTACTCAGTTACTTAATTGACTATATTTCAACTTTCTTTTATCACTCTTAGGCAAATGAAAATGGAGTTAAATAGCTTTGCCAGGGAAGGACAGACAGATGGGTCAAGGGCTTGGATGAGAAATAGGGGCTATCATTGTGAATTCCATTTCACTGATTTGTTATGACTCCTAGCAGCAGCTGGCATACCATCTGTTGCAGGTGTGCATGCTTGTTACAAACAAACAGTGATATCATGTCTAATAACTTTAATTGACTTGCAGATGTTATGCTAGAAATATTGTCTTACAGAGTAATTAGATTTTGTGTTTCTGAAGTATTCAGCTTTTAACAGAAAGACAGCATAATGAAAATAAAAGTAATGTGCAGATTTCTGGTATTTAAATACAATAGCAACAGTGACTTCGTTCATCAGTGATACATTACAAATGAGAAGGGCTGATAAAAGCCTCTTCTGATTTTAGAAGGTTTTCTTACTCCTTTTCTGTTCTCCACTTTTTCTAGATAGCAGTGAAAGCTCAGAATTCAGTGAGGAGCTGCCATCAGGGCTTGAAAGGTGAGTTAATTTTCATTTACGCTCACTGAGCACTAACCTGATTTACACTAACAAATTTAGAGAAATTCCTTAATGATCTGTATCACAGATAAGCCCTAAATCAGTGGTTATTTTTATGTTTTTATTATTATCACTTAAATTTTAAAAATTGAGAACTCTAGAATAAAACGCTGTAATGTTGTGTTTTCTTTTCATGGACGTGAAAAGATCTCTTTCATGTTTACCAGACCCTAATTGTTGAAATCTCAGCTAGATTTTCACTCATCGAATATTTACATGCGTAAACAGGGGTCGTTTATATGCCACACTGGGGCCAAATTGGAGAGTGCCAATCCGGAATTCTCCCAGGAGTCGAAGCTGTATCTACAGGTACAGTTCAGGCCTATCTTGCTCAGTTTATGGTAATAAACTTTCACTTGGGCGTCTACGTTTTCCTAGCCTAAGGTATTTTGTCTCCAAGAGTATCCTTGCATAACTATACATTAGCATTTTTTATAAACTTGTTTTTAATAAAACTGTCTGTGACAGGTAATGTTATTAGAAAGATGCCTTTTTGACTCTTTCTCATAATTTATTTCCTGAGTTATAGGATAGCTACCCATAGCATTTGATTGTGTCAGAAAGCATATAGGATATGTTATTTTTGTACAGCATAGAGGTGTGGCGTTGGACCCTGAGCAGGATAGGGAACATCTGCAGTGCTTATGTAGCATGTACTTCCAATGTTGCTTGCTGCTAAAACATAGACTTTTCATGAACGCATAATTAGTTTACCGCCCAAAGAGAGGTGACATGGAAAACTATGCATAGTTAAAGTGATAAAAAACATTCATTATATCCATACCTGACTGAAACTTCCAGATAAATTTTGTGATAGTTGCAAGTGAGGTTGTAAATGTAAGAATAGCCACTTCGGCTGAGCTAGTGACATTTGACAGCAGCCCAAGTTAGAAGTTACACAGGAGTGTAGATGTGTACATTAAAAATAAGTAAAAGAATATATATTTTAACAACATTTCAACTAAACCTGCTTCTGGGAAATATTCTCTTATACATGCCTATGGCAGATTTGTTTCAAAATTTTATGCAGGCTATAAATATAAGAAGATAAAAATGAGATACACTTGTTAAATCCACAAAGAACCGTTCCCTAGAGTACATTTCTTACGTTTATCCACAGTCAAGTATTTCTACTGCTTGTATTCATTCTTCCTTTTCTGGAGTCTTCTATTTATTATATTAGAAAATTATAACTGGAAAGAATATACATTAGCATAGATAGGGCAGTTCATTTCATTAAAGAAGTCACAGTTGCCACTTTGAAGTGAAGGGCTTGTATAGCTGTCGTTGCTTTGTATATCATATTCACCAGCCTGTTCTTTGTGATACCACCATAGTTGTTCTTAAACAGATTCATTCTCCTTTCACAGATGACTGGTAGATCAAATGCATGTCCTTTTCCTTGTATTCGTTATCAGACGTGATTTAATTGTCTCAGGTGAACTGTAGTATCACTTATCTTTATAAAACTATCAGAGCTGTGATCACAGGACAATGAAAAGAGGTTAGCAGCAGGTAATTCTAGAAGATCATCACCTATGAATTGATCTTTGGTTGTCATGTTCTTAGTGACAGTATACATTTCTAACTGTACCTAAGTTTTTTCAGTTGTAGCACTTTTTCACTGTAGTATATGGAAAGTTCTATGCTTACACTGGGTAAGGAAAAGAATATCTTAATCACTGTACAAGAAGTTATTTGGCATTGTTATTTAGTTATCTCAACTATTTTCCAAATAGCCAAGGTAGCATTCTTTTTTTTGATAGCTAAATTATGGGCTCCAATTCCTGAAACTGTAAGCTACTTTCATACATTTAGATAATTTCTTGAATTTACCCAAATAAAATAGAAAATTGCTGATTTTTCCTTTGACTTCAGGTCTCTGTATTTCTTTTGTTTTGTTTTTAATGTCTAAATTCTGAGAATAGAATCTTTTGTTAATATGCTGTGTTTAAAAAGCCCTGATTCTTTTTTGGCGTATAGGTCTGAAAAATAGATATTTATAGAGTTGTGTCTAATGATACACTATATTCAAGGCAATGCAGGAAAAATAGATTTAAATTATATTATTTATTTCTTGCCTGTATTTTTTTCAAAACATATGATAATGTTATGATTCTGTAGCCCAACAGGAGCGTGCAGCTGCACATTAGGTAGTTCCATGGGAGTAGTTACCATGGAAGGACCCTTAAGAAGGAAAACATTGCTCAAAGAAGGCAAGAAACCTACTGTAAGTGATTCTAATTCTCCTTGAGATTCTAATTCAATAGCAATTGTTTTAAATTTTCGGGATTAGATTCAGTTTGCAGATTGATAGCACACCAAAAAAAAGAACTTTGTTGTTATTACCAACTGAAAAATCATATTGTAATTTTTAACTGTTTTATAACAAATTTGTAATCCTTGCATATCATTTGATCTGCAGCAGCTTTGCTTCTCCCTTCACTTGAAACTAATTTCTCTAGGTCGTGGCAGCAAAGCAAGACAAAAGCATCTCTCTCACTTGACATGCCTTTATATAAGGGCAGAAAATTAGTATCTTAGTGAACTGAGAAGGCTGCAGGGCATCCACCTTTAGCACCAAAGCCATAGACTTTCATAATTACCCTATATTCACAGGTTTCCAGTGAATTGGTACTTTTTTTGTTTTCTTCTGAGTTCACTGAAAGCTTTTATATAGATCCCTATTGTTCAATCCTAGAAGATTTGATGAACACAGGGATGTCATCTCAATAAATGTTATTAATCAAATGCAGAAGTCTAAGTAAAAGCCAACACACCATACCAATCAGTCCTGATATTTTTGTGGGATACAAAGTAAGATAGCTTGCATTCACAGGCAGCTACACAAGGTTAGATATCTGGTATGATTTATACCAGAAGACACTCTATACAGATCCCCATTTTTTCCATCTAAGCTTAACTTTTTTTAGCACTTGGACTTGCTAGTGAGTAGTTTTTTTAAAATGTCCAAAATATTAAATTTCTATTATCTTTTTCTTCTCTGATTTAGCTTTCTTCATGGACTAGATACTGGATTATGCTTTCAGGATCAAATCTTCTGTACTTCGGAGCAAAATCTTTAAGAGGCAATGAAAGAAAACACGTAAGGTTTAAATTTCTTCTAAAAGCAAAATCTGCATATTTGTAGACAGATCTGAAAAGGTATTTTAAGTGTACTTGCTGTTCTTCTAGGGTAAGCAATATGTCGGCACAACTTCTACAACAAAAAATTAATCTCCAATATGTTCTTAGCTGTGACATACTTTTCTGTCTCTTGCAGTATAAATCTACACCTAGTAAAAAGATCTCCATTGTAGGCTGGATGGTGGCACTGCCTGATGACCCTGAACATCCTGATATTTTTCAGCTAAATAACCCCGACAAAGGTAAATTTTGCAGTGTGGACATTCCCTGAATTATATTTCTGTGATAGAAAGTAGAGTTATAGCTATTTGATGAGTTTGTTAATTGTAGGACTTACAGTGATGCTCATTTGAAGGAATGAAGAGAGATTTTCAAGGGAGGGTACAAATTAAGTTGAACATACTTCTGCAGTATTCTGCACTGCCTACCTCTCTGGTGCCTACAGATGTATTGCTGCATCTTGACAGTTACTGTAAGATTTGTGGATACTGCCTGACCAATGAGACCCTAATCTCTGAGTTTCTGAATAGCTTTCTTTGAATTGGACAACACCAAATCTTGACTTACAGTGGGGAAAATTACAATATTATTATGAAAATTCTTCAAACATCAAGCCATTTACCTAAAAAGCCTTTTGAATTATTCTTCATTACTTTTTAAAAATTAATTTTGAAGTGCCATAATTCTTCCAACTTGACCCAACTTTAAAAAAAGATCAGAAAGACGCAAAATATTTTGGTTTTTGAAAGGTTACATAAAGATTTTTGAGTCTTCTTTCACTTCTCATGTGATCAGCTTCAGTACTGGACAAGTGCATCTCTTGATTGTTGAATTAAATGCATGATATATTTAATAGCAAGAAGCAGTTTACAAGATGTCAAAGCATGGAGAAGGCACATAGTAGGACACTAAAGAAAACTTTGTTCACAAATATCAAAAAAAGAAGTTTGGCAGTAACTACAACAGTCTTAATGAGAATAGAGACAGAAATAAATCAGATCCACTCACTGGTCCTAACTGATCTTTTTCTGTAGCTGCAATTTGTTCTCTTTTCCTATACACTGCTCTTAGCTTTGCAGAACACGTATGTTCTCATGCTTCCTTCACCCAAAGATTATTAAATAACATGCCTCACATGGGCTTTTTTGTATGAGCACCATACTCCTCAAATGTGAATTCAGCAATTTACTTCAGGACTTTTGCTTCTGCATAGGAATCAGAATCCACTGAAGCAGTATGTCTGTTTGCAAATTGAGTGCCCTTGATTCTCTTATTTTTATAGGTAATGTTTACAAGTTCCAGACTGGTTCAAGGTTTCATGCAATATTATGGCATAAGCATTTGGATGATGCGTGCAAAAGCAACAAGCCTCAGGTAAGACTGGGAAACCATCTCTACCTGCTTTTACATATTTTGCAGAAAACCCTTAATAGGAGATACTTCTTTTAAATCTGCATGCACATACAGTCCTGTGTGGACAAGTCATTGTGTATGCTGATCCAGTTTTTCAATAGGAGGAATAAAAAGTATTTAAAAATGCAGAGTACCCACCTGAATTCAAGATTAGTACCAGTCTACCTATAAGTTTGGTGACATTAATATAGCCCTGTCTTTACTTCAGAAGGGACTTAATCATGAATGAAGAAATTAGCCAACATACTGGCAATTGAACTGATGACTGGGTGTATAATTACCCTTGAAGAGAGTGTCCTATAAAATACTTTATGTCCTTTATATAGCAGCTTCATTTTTCAGGAAAAAAAAAAAAAAGTTATTTCTTGAAAAGTTTCCAAGGGCTTATATTAATAGGATGCTCAACTACTCAGGACATGTAATAGGGTACAGCTCAAGAATCTTGTTTACACATATATGCACATCCCATACATTCTAATTACTTCTTGGACTGGATTTGGTCCCCAAGGAGAAAAATCATTTGAAGCTTTTATCTTTCAGTTATGGTGTTAGCTCTCTTTTGGATCTGTTTGAGACTGATGACACTTTCTCATTGAATAATGTATTATTGGCCCACTGGATTTAGATTACATATCAGGGAAAATTTTCACTCAGAGGGTGGTGATGCACAGGAACAGGCTGCCCAGAAAGGTTGTGGATGCCCCATCCCTGGAGGTGTTCAAGGCCAGGTTGTACGTAGCCCTGGGCAACATGACCTGGTGCCTGATTTAGTGGTTGGCAACTCTCTTCCCACGGCAGGAGTGTTGGAACTAGATAATCTTTGAGGTCCCTTGCAATCCAAGCCATTCTATGATTCTATGATTTTGAAACCTTGCAGCTTCCCAATGCTGTAATATGCTGAGGAGCAATATACTGCTGAATAATGTACATTCTCTTCCAGGCACCTGCTAATCTAATGTCATTTGAATAATTTGCTCTTACCTGATGTGACTTCAAGTGCCAAACTGAAGAAACAAGCTATTGTTCTCTGAGGAAGAGGAGAAAATAATAGTTTTCCTGATGTAAGCCAGCCACAACTACTTCTGCACTTTCGTGTGTAACTTGAAAGTGATTCTGACACAGCTTTTAAAAGCAGAAAGTGAATGTTGTCCTTAGAACCAGATATAGTCTCATGCACTAAGTGGAAGTAGACCAGTTAGATGGACAGAAGATTAATCCTGACTCCTGCAGGATTCTAGAGTTTTCAACTTTCTGTGGTCGCAGACTGCCTCTGAACTGACGTTTGACCACAAACTGAGCATCATATCTTCTGCCTATCCTTTTTTAAATTGCTCTTTTTATTGTTAAGCTGCTTTATGTGACTGAAGAACATTTGGCCCATGTTGGGTTTCAGTTCTTTATGATGCACAAAATAATTGACAGTGTTAACTTGCTGCAAAGTGTCAATTAGGATAGAAAATTGTGGAACAACTTTTTTATAACATAAGTGCACTGAGTTGCTTTGCAATGTGGCTGCCTCAGATTTTATATAAAATCTCTGGACAGTTCTTTTGTTCAAGTTTGAGCTATGTGGTAAAAATGTATTTTGGCACAGAGCAGTCATTTTTATTTGGTTACGTTATTCTGCAATACCTTGACAATGAATTTAAGGTGTATAGTTTTAAATTTAATGTTGTGTTAAATGTCTTTTTTTGTTTTCTTACTAGCCATATAACTGTTACAGTTTGGTTTTGGTTTGCTTGTCCGTTTGTTTTTTAAATCTGAATATTGTTCATCATAAAGGGAACTGCTATTCCTTGATACAGGGTAGCAGATAATCAGGTTGTATGATACACATTGCCCTGACTCCTCAGAATGGCTCCATAACATTATTTGCTGTTCTCTCTTTCTGTTGGTGACTCAGCATCACTTAATTCCAGTACATGATGCACTTTTGTGGCATACAGTCATGGTACTGCATTTCTAAAATCATAATGGCAATGAAAGCTAGGCAAGACTGTCTGGTAGTGCAGCAGTTATGTAGTAGCCTCTACATTTATGTCCACAGAATTTAAAAGGGAAAAATAATAACAACCAGCCTTCTCATTATCTGAGCCTGTTTCTGTAAAGGAACTCTTCCTACATCCATAGCTGTATCCCTGCTGTGCCGTAGCACCAATGTAGTCACAGCTCTTTTCTATTCCCATTATAAGTTCAGTGCTTTTTTGGTTAAAAACTCTTCTGCTGTAAGGCATTACTAATTAAACCTTGTTAATTGTAGGAAGAGGAAAATCTCCTCTGTGTTTCCTAAGACTGCATGGAGGAGAGACTTGCAAGCCAAGATCTAGATTACAGACCATGAAAATTTGAAAGTCAATTTCAATAAACAGAGCCTATATTAGATCAGTTTTGCTCATATTAGTGGTATTTGTTCTGTGGCTTTTTGTAATTTTCTGAATTTTTATTTTGAAACTTCGCTAACAACAACAATCTGTACTGTTGTATGTAGGTTGACTGTAATTTTTGTGTTAGTTTGAGTGATCCTGACAGCTCCTGTGTGTAGGTCCTGGGACATGAAAATTTATGTAAAGTTGACAGATATTCTTTGATGACACGAGCTGTGTTTAAAAAAAAAAAAAAAAAGCAAAGTATATTTATTCTTTTTTTCTCCTTGCTTGTTAAATTAAGACAGGAATGGATCAAGAAAAATACAAGTATCTGCAAAGGCAGAACATCCAGTGCTATTAATGTAAAATGTAAAAGCTTTTGAATGTAGTGAATCAGTAAATCAATTTAAAATGTTAGAATACATCATTGGAGTTATTCTGCACCTGTGTACTTTAGTGATCAGTTATCAGCAAGATTATTCGTAAGGACACAGGTTACATGGATTGCCATTTCACTGAGTATGCCACTTATGGCCATGTGTATTCTGTGTTTTTAGCATCAATATGGTTTGAACCGTATGCAGTTTTGTCACTACTTTAGATTATACTTCGACCCTTAAAGCTAGGGAAAACTTCTAAATCATTGTGTAGAAATGTAATTTTTGTTAAAAGGGCTACTGGAACACTGCCATAGCAGAAACATCCCTGCATTACTGGTTTAAATGTGAGCTACCAAAAACTACCCCAGAGGAAATTGGTTCTTTCTTTTAAATCATGTCTAAATGAATTATCTCTTCCAGTTGCAAAATAGGACTTATTTATTTCTCTGACTGTGGAAAACTCTAGAATTCTTGTAAAATAACAAAATAAACAAATCAAATGTTTCTGTTCTGCATCAGCATGCATTTGGCCATCATGAGCAAAGAAGAACTTGTCTGAGACCATGTCAGAAAACTCACAGAAAGTTTACTGAAATAATGGTTAAAATATTGCCCATTATACTTTTTAGGTTGACTAACAAATAAATACCTAGTAAAGAAGATATTGTCCACCCAAATGAAATCTTAACTGCAAACTTCAAGAACAGTGACCAAAAAGCAACTGTGCGTGTAATGTTTTATTAAGTTACTTTATCGGTAAACCATTCTCCTCTTAAAAGGGAATAACTAATCTGTCTTAAATGTAGGTTAAATTCAAAATGGAACACTTAATGGCATAATGAATATGCGTTAGAAGCATGTAAGCAATCATTCATTTCTGGTCTGATGTAGTGGAAGACAACACCAGTGACATATTGTACAGTGTACTGGAGTTGAGATAAACCAGTAGATGTCACAACAACTTTCAGTTATGTCTGACACGTCTTCCCTTGGAAAGAGGAATGATTGCCTGTACACATTCAGAATTTAATAACGTTTTAGGTTTTATGTGTCTCAAAAGTGTTGCATATGTTACTGTAAAATTCCTCAAAAATATGATTTTACTCAAAATTATGTGCCATAGAGCCTTTTGGACAAGTTAGAAAAGGATCAATTTTCATTTCTTTTAAAGCAGATTCCTAAATAAAAACATAATGCCTTTGATAGAAAGATTGCAAAATGGTGTGCCATGAATAGGTGGAAACACTTATAAATGATTATTACACCCATTTATTTATCAGAGAAATATATATGTGGAGAAACAAAACCCTTCAAATAATACTACTCAAAACCTTGGAATTTGGAAATGTGTCAGAAAAGTGTGAACTCCTTCACGTTATTATCATTTGAAAGTAAAAAAGCTTATAGAAGGGAGGTGAACATAGTAGATAGATAATACATGATAGTCACCTTTTCAGTATAGCACAATTGTGAAATGGCTAAACAATATGAATAAATAAATCAGACTAATGAAGCAGTGTAATAATATTGTTAAAATATCTTGATCCAATATTAGATGAGTTTATGAGTAGCTAATGGATAAAAGTTTTTTGTTGTCATTTGATACCATTTCCTCTCATCAGACACTTTTAATGTTAATTGAAAGCTGCTGTTGGCACACTTGCAAATAAGTACTGATTAATACAGCATTTTCTCAGAAATATCACAAACCATGTAAGTTTTCATCCAAAGAAAAACTGCAGCAGTTGTAGAGAAATACATATTATCTCAGATTGACTGTTCCCAAACTTGTGAAGATATAAAATGTATTTAGGCAATATTATTCCCTTACTTATCTGCAATCTCAATGTTAGTAAGTGCCAAAATACATGTTTGTCCAAATAGCACTAAAATGAGGCAAAGGCAGTAGTTTTCAAATTGCAACTTACTTGTCATATTATAGTCTAAACAAATTTCAACATTTTAGTTTGTTTTGTGTGAAAACTGTTGCACTATTTTTGGCCGTATTTTCCGGCAGTCCACTGCATGCTGTTTGTGTAAGAATTATTTCTACAATTCTTGTGAAATGTCTCATCTGTAATAACCACTAAACTCTAGCATTGGAATCTAGATTTTTGGCAAAGTATTTTGTTACCTCAGTCTTGTATCGATATGCTGTATTTTTCAGCTTGTTACATTGATAATGTTTGTTTCATTAATTAAATAATGTAAAAAAAAAGAAAAGAAAAAAAAGAGATTGTTTACTTTGAAAGCAATTGCGATTGGTTGTAAATTCAAAGATGTGCAAAGTATGTATGCCATTACCAATAAAATATTTTGAAAAAGAACAGTAGAGGTACAGAAGGAACTTTTCAGCTCAAAGGCAGAAAGCACATTTTATCTGTGAATTCATAGTAATACAGTCAAACAGACTATAGTGCACAGTATGTAGCCATTCAATATATATAAATTTGGATACTTCTGACAGAAAATTGAAAATTCCTCCAAGTTTACATCTGTTTTAAGTGGGATTTGGAAAGTCCAAAGTAGAGGCAAACCTACTGTGTTATTTTTTCAAAGAAAAGCATTTAATCACAACCAAATATGCATATTGATCTGGATAGCAAAATGAATTCCTTTGCATCTAAATTTAAGTGTTATTTGGACACTTGGTTTCTCTTCTCTTGCCTGCCAATAGGGAAACACATTTCGTCCACTGATAAAACTATCTGCTCTACATTACACTGTACATCAGCTTAGATATACTAATAAACATAATAATATCTTCTGATCTTAAATCTGTTTTTTCCTTTCTCATTTCAGCGATGAAAGCAATGTCCTCTCAGAACCTTTACACACAGAGCTCTAATAAGGAAAGCCAAGCAATAAAATATTCAACAGAACTTTCTCTTGGAAGAAAAGATTAAAATGGAAATGTTGGCCAATGCCCATCCTTTTTTAATAATTTCTCTTATTACAAGCACCATTTTTACCCATTTGAGGTTAATAAGCTCCACATTAAAACTGGCAAGTAGGGGGCTTTATCTTCTGCAGAGCAATGGTTTTATTGCCTGAGAAATTGTCTGAGAGATAAATGACATTACCAAATGGGAAGGTGAGAGCAAAACAAAACCCAGAATGCAAAAAAAACTGCTTTCAGAGCTGAAAAAGAAAGCACACATCCCTTTCCTGAAGCTGACTCATTTTCCTGTTCTCTCCCAGAAACAGGAAGACTTTTTCAAGACTTTACTACTTTGTAGTTCTGGAAATCACTTGGATCTGTGCAATTTTCCTCCAGGCCATTATCCATATTATAAATGTTTTATAAAGTAAGCACTGATTAATCTCTTTACATCTACCAAACGGTCCATTTCACTGATTGCATTGGTTTAAATGGTAAAAGGAAGTCAGTTGGAATTCTTCTCCTCCTAACAGACAACAGGATGGAGAATAAATGATAACTCTGGGAAGGAAGAGCAACACTCATTACATTCCAGAGGGTCATTATTATTATTACAGAGGCAAATTTCAGGGGTGAGGACTACGTTCTGTGTTGGAGTATTTCACTGTAATGCTACGTACTTCTGCCTTAGAGAAAAACAAAGATGAGTACTGAAGTGCTCCTAAAATGCTCGTTATTTTCCTGCCTCTTATTTTGTAGACTGAGAGAAAAAGTGGTCATTAATAAATTTGTTCCTACTGCAAATGTCTGGTATCAAAAGGTGGTTCATAAGTGTTAAATTGTGTTTTGTTTTGTTTTTTTGAAGCCAGTAACATGGTATTTCTATAGCTGTGATCTATTAATAACATCTGTTCATCAAATTCTGAAAGTACGTCAGACTTTTCCTTAGAATGCAAAGAAAAATGAAAGTTAGTTAAAGTTTACATGTCTCAGCAGACCTCAGATGTGAAAGTAAGCCAGATAAGCATATTAGGAAGGATGAAAACTATTTTACATCAACCAAAACATAGTTGTGCAAGAGGAAAGTGCATATAGTAATGAATTGGAGGAAGTAGCCTTGCTCTTACTGCCAGAAATCAGTTTTTCAGCTTTAAGGAAGAGTAGATGTTGTTCCAAGTGGTTACTTACTTCCAGTGATTCATGCCTCAGGTTTGAAAGTATACTGTAGCTGAACATGAAGCAAACAGGATCAGGAAACAAACAGATTCATTCTAGTTTTTGCATAGTTAAAAGTCTGTGCAGTTTTGCAGAAGAAGAAGAATGCAGACAATGGCTAGAGAAGTTATTTTACCCATGATTTATTAATCAGCAACATTACTTTAATAAAATGATCACCTTAATTCTTGATACATGGGAACACACTAGAGCTCTGGAAACACTAGCATCTAGCTGTAGCGAGATGAATTTTCCTGTAATAATACAAAATACTGATGTGAACTTGTCTGACACAAATTAATACAATGAACAGATGCCTTGTGATGTCTGTGATGGCTACCTGCCACCTTTCTATTGATTTACTCAGGCTGAACAATGCACCCAAAGCCTTGCTCAGGAACATAGTGACTGTAGTATTGGTTCACCTCGGGCCTTGCTCAGGCAGATAGTGACTGCAGTACTGGGTAAAAAACTGTTTGCTGGAGGAACTGATGGACAGACATCTTGTTCAACAGCTGAGGGACAATGAAGTATGTGCTGGAAATCATGACTACAGATCAATTATCTTACCCTATAAATAGCGAGCAGCTCAGGAGCTCCTCAAACTCTGCTGCACAACAGCCAGCTGCACAATAGGATCTGCCCTGGAGAAGGCATGCCTCTCAAGGTTACACTTGCGCAGAGAACCCTCACATATTGACATCAAGACACCTTACCGATACAGATCCTCAGTAAGTGACTGTTTGTTAAGCTTTGTGAGCTTCACTAGGATTCTATCTCAGGTTGACTGTACACTTATGGTCCCTTAGACATAAACCTCTGAGACTAGGAATGGATCCAGTCACACCTAGGCTCCTTACCTCCATGGTTTAAGGAGTTTAGAAAAGAAGGAAGCCCACTCTGTACCTCATTAATCAGCAGGAGGGTCTCAATAAGTGTATTCAGTCTTATCCTCTATACAGTAAATGATCAACTGTATCCAGTCATCTCAAGTCTTGTTAAGTTACTGTCTTATTTACAATTAAGTGTTGTTAAATCACTATTTTATATCAATAAATATATTGCTGCTTCTCTTTTAGGAGTGACGTGTGTAATGCCATCAGCCACAACATCATAGTCTTTCACAGGGCAAAAGAAGACTAAAAATGGAAAGCAAGAGAAGGGACAGCCAGCCTATTTAGAAAATATAGCCGCCAAGAAAAGCTGTGCCAGGGAAGAGGAGCACGTTTGTACCAAAGTCCAGTTTCACAATGGGCTCATTCCTTCTGCCATTTACACAAAGCCTCAGCTGATCAGACTGAAACATTCCTCTTGCTGGCTTCCTTCATTTTATTAATAACCTGGCAACAGGATAGGGGCCAGGAAAAAAGACCTCCTAGAATGGAGGATTTACTGAAGAAACCAGAAGTGAAAGGTAGGTATGGGAGTTTGGAGTCACATGTATTAGGTGACACAGTTCCTTTATAGAAGGAGAAAAGGACTTTAGGCATGAGCACAAGCCGTCAGGAAAATCCATGGTGACCTGGGCAAATTCATGCAGTGCTTATGTTGTAGTTCAGTTTTATGAATGTGTGACATCTTAAAGGCAAAATATATTTTTTTGTGTTGGTGTGGGGGGTTTTGTTTGTTTGTTTGGCATTGCTGATTTTCAAGTACCTGGCCTATATAATGAGATCTTGCAGCTCATTTAAAAAGGAAGTAGTTATTTAAAGCATTCTGTCAAGGTCCTGAAAGCTCTAATAGGCCTTCATGACCTTGATCAGTCCCACCTGAGGACACTCCTAAACTCTTGTCCAGGGCACCAGAGAACATTTAGGTACAGTTCTGCTCCTTCAGACTCTGCCAGAGCTCTGCTGTAGTATGTACGTGCTCTGCTTTCTCTCCAGTTCACATGTACTGGTTGTGGTCACTAAAGGAGAATGTGTTGCTGTTGTTATACATTCTAATATCATTCTTGAAAGATGTTTCATTGACATAAGTACTTCTTACTTAAGGAACTTCTAGTACGGTTAAATAAAATACACAAGAAGTATAGGATGATCTAAAACAAAACAGAATGGATAAGATAACACAGAGTGTTCTATTTCCCTTTGAATTACGGAAATGCAAATTGGAGTAGGGAAAATTACTAAAACTTAATTATCAGGAGAACAAAATTTGCAGTTAAATTTAACTGATACTTCTTTTAAATACAAGTCCTATGCACAGGAAGCTTGCAGATGTCTAGTTAAAATTAGATTAGTGCAGATTTTTTCCAATTCTCACGTGAAAACAAAGGGAACTGTTGAGATTTTAAGACTTCCAGTGAAGTGGTTACAGTGTTTGCCTAAAAGTTCTCCAGAAATGAGTGAATATACACTACAACCCTTGGTGCCCAGCTGCTTCACAAACTGAATCTACTCCGAAAGGAAAAAAAAAAAACAAGGCTATAGCACTTGCAGAGTGAAGTCCCTCTTGAATTAATCTACTGAATATTACAGATAGCTGTAGTATGAGTCACTCTAAACCTAGAAGGTGTGATCTAGGGTAGAGTTTTAAAATTGCCTTCTGGGAAGAAGTCACTTTTCATTTGTTTTAGCTCACGTCATTATAAAGAGCACTGATAAGGAGAAAGAAGCAAGTCAGAAACACCTGTTTGTTACTCCCCTCCATTCAGTAACTTCTTTTGAAGTGGAAGGTAACTGCAAATTCAGGGACTCCTTTTGGAAATATCTCCAGTAACAAATTAATTAATAAGATTGATAAGAAGTCAAGAAACTTTAACAACATACATTTTCAAAAATTTAACCTATCAGTTTAGCTGGCAAAATGTGCTGATCAAGGATATCAAAGTTTCTAATATTGAACTGAGCTAAGTGACAAAGGGAAATAGATATTAAGTAGTCAGTTTGGCTTATTGTTACTGATGACTGATGGAGGTCTGGGTTAGCTTAGTTCTTCTTGATGTTACCTTGTTTTGCTTTGGGGGTAAAAAGGGGGAAGTGTGTAAAAAGATTTGTTAGCATTACTGTTTCACAGAGATTAATTACAAAATAGGTACAACTGTATAACAGAATATATACATAAGGAGACTTGCTTAAAACAGAAGTAGCAGTGGGTGTTTCTGGTTGTTTTACTTCTGGAGAGTGCTGAAGAAATTATCAGGTAGATGAAAGCTGTGTAGATGTTCTGTTGATCTTATTTTGTGCAGGCATGTGAGGGTACAAGTATAAATAGTGGTAAAAATATTTCAAATGCAATCAAACCACTCCTGCAGGTTTTTCCAATAAAGTGAGAAGACTTGTATTTTCATAGAAATAAATGTATTTAAAATAAAAATTGCAAGCAATACATTCCTAATAAGAGAAAATAAGATATTTTATCTCACAATAGTTATTAAAGTAGGCTTATCCATTTTGTTCCAAACTAATTTTTTTTCTCATGTTTTCCCACCCAGACTACTCCTCCCACTGAAGTAAGTATTTATGTTAGCTCATAATGTAGCTCCACAAGGCAGTCAAGTGTTCATTCAAAGTTACATCCACCCTCTTTTTCAGACATCTATAATAGATTGAAGTATGGTATGATTAAATACTGAGTTTTATTTCCTGGTCTAACAACTATGCACACAATTGCTGTGCTTGATTTTATGTCATTATTCAGTGTCGGAGATCATTTTTAACAGAAAACTAATCTTACCTAAAAGTTCTCTATAAAGCATAATAGCTTATTTAAGATTAACTGCTGAAACACTCTAGATTATGTTTGACCATTTAAATCCTGATCTAAGTAAATCTACAAGAATATATACACAAATATTGGAAATCGAAGAAAACGATCATGTTTCATTTTTCCAGTTAATATGACTGTTTGAGAGGCTAAGAGCTATAAGCATAAGCTGAAGAACGCATCAAAGTCAAAGCTGTTAAAATAACAGCAGAAAGCAAACTATTTTGCAGTCCAGGAAGTTACCAAGTCACGGGACTTCCCACAGACTATCAGAAGCATAATTGCAGAGGAAGCCGATGTTAGGTGACAAGCGAGGTTGCAAGGTCTCTCATTTCAAAGGGATCATAAGGCAGAAATCAGGCTGGAGCACTGGAAGGTGTGAGATGCCAGACAGAGAGGCATGCAATTGTAAGTACCTTATTGTCTGATTTCTCATATGTTCAGGAGGGCACAATTTTGTGCTGGCGAAGTATACCACCAAGACTGCACCTAACAACCATAGATTCCATTAACAATTCTCTTCCTTACGTAACAACTAAAAAATGCTGAGGCTTATTCTAATTATTTCAGGAAAAATAGGTGTTTATGTTTTAGGAAGCTTAAGTAAGACACTATAAAATCAAGACTCTTACTGTTTTGTTTAAAGTTTACTCAATGATCTCTTGAGGTCTTTTCCAAACTCTGTGATTCTGTGAAATATTGTAGTTCAATGTTGCCTTTCGGTTTCTTTTTAGCACCACAGCTGGTATTAATCAAAACAGGCAGAGAGGATTCAGAGTTGATAATGTATTTAAAACTCATCTTTTAAGCAGGTGGGATATTTTTCAGCTTCAGAACAAACTATTTTTTTTCGGGAACTAAAGGAGACTGCAGTGAAATCAGATGCAAAGAAATAGTGACCATTTTCTCAACATTGGAATGTAATCTTATATGAACTGAAACTTTAGCAACATATGCTCATTTGAAAGAAAAGATAGTACAAAGTGCAACAGCAAGTATATCATAAAAGCTTGGTGTGCAGAGTATTTTTTTAGAATGACAGAAACTATTCCTGTTCAGAAATGATTGTTCTGACAACAGCTGAGAAAAAAAAAAAAAAAAAAAAAAAAAAAGTAAAATTAATTATCATTAGTTAGAAAAGCATTAAGTTTACATTTTTAGTCACCTAATTTAGTAGACTGTAGCTAACAATTGTAGCCTGTGGTTTCCAAAAAAACTGGCACATGTTTGAACCCAAAATCATATGTCATACTCAAAGAATTGATGCTTTCCCCTTCTTGGAGAATTTGTGTATCAGTTAATCTTCCTGAGAACAGAACAAAATTAAAGATAAATAAAAACATTGGCAATCACTGGCGGTTTCCAGGCACAAAACAATTATTTGGGGAGGTTGCAATAGGTTGTTTATACAGTTCTTTAATATATCTGATTCCTTCATCTAAGAGAAGGAGGTAATCTGTTTCTTTATGTTCCCTATCTGTAACGTTTTATTCACAGTCACTATTCATGCCCTAGAAGTCTTCTGGTTTCTAATAGGAGGACTAGTTTTGAGTTGTTTTGTTTTCTGAAGTAAGTGGATGGTAATACTCTTGATGTGCTAGAACTACTAATTTGAAGTAGAGACCGACTGCTGCTGTTTCTTGTAGGCTCCTTGTTCTAAAAATAGGCTGTTGGGATAAATTTTAACTTGCTCAAATTAGTGATATATGCAGACAAATTATGTGAAGAGAAAGCATATCAAAATTTTGACTGTGTGGAGTTGAAAATGCACAAAAGTTCACCTTGCCAAGAAGACACGAGGTGCAAGGGAATGTATGTTTTCTGTAATTTCCTGCTTTGTGTAATTTGCATGTAAAAACTAAAATGGCGACTTTTGTGCAGAGATGTACAGGAGATGTACATGAATTATTCTATTTTTACTATAATTATGTATTTTTAATAGAATGATGATTAGACTACTAGTCACTAGAAAGTAGCAGCATTCCAAATGTAAGAGAGAGTAAATGAGAGTGCTTGCCTGTAGTAGATTTTAACACTTGGGTATTGCAGGAAGAGACTAGTAATTTTTTTTATTATTATTTTTTAATGAAATTTCGGTGTAAATTTCCCAAGACTTATTTAACAGGAAATTTTTAAGGCACGGATCTGCCTGATGTGAGAATGACAGTTGAAAACGTCACCAGAACAATGTATGATTTTTGCACTGAACAACTGTAGCCAAAAAAAAATCTTGACACTATTTCTATAAATAAACATGACAGACATTAAAGTTGATGAAAGTTATCAGGGTTTTGTTTCATCTCACCTCATAGTAAGTAAATAAATTGTCTCCCCAGAAAGGTAATGAAATCCAGATCAGTGTTCTCTGATCTTTACTTTCCTCAATCACTTTATCATTCTCTTGGATGGAAAGAAAACGTTGGAATCATAAACTGCTCTAGTCTTAGAGCTTAATTGAAGTTCCTGTCCTTTATTGTTGTTACATGCATCTCAGCCTTCAGAGTAACTCCATTCTCTGCAAAAAGCTCTGCTGATTGCTTCCAAGAGAACACTAACAGCTAAATCCCTCCTCCAAAGTGTAAAAAGCAAGAAACGCTCCAAGGACTAGAACTTGGACAGACTCTTTTTCCATGTCACTGTTGGCTTGTTTTTCTTTAGTGTTTTCTTATCTTTTTGAAATTTTCTGTGACCATTTTTTTTCAGTCTCACTTCACAATTATGGAAAAAAGCTTTGATCCAAAATATTCTCATTGTTTTTTAACAGATAGCGTGTTAGTAATTATATATGGTTTACAGTGCAACAGTAGCGGTAAGTATTTGAAGAACTTTGATGCAAATTCATTAGCAATTGATGATACAGCCCTACTTTCCTATATATTGTCATCTTCTTAATGCAAATTACAGCAGACTAAGAAAAAGTTTTGCATAACCAAGTAACTTTAACTTAGTATATTAGAAAAATCTTCTCTGTATTTATAATCTTAAAAATGATGAATACCCTTGCATGAAGGGAGAAACAGAGATTAATTTTAACTTTAGAGAATAGGTTCATTGTATGTGTTTTAAAACAATTCTTACCTTTGGGGAGGAAAATTAAAACAAAGAAACGAAAAATAACAGGTGGACAGTATCTTGGATTTGCAGATTACACCAGACAGCAATGCTTTCATCATGTTCTTCAAAGAACTCTGAAGTTAGAATAGAGTTGCAAGTAAAGTGGTAATACTGTGAGTTAATTGGAAAGTAGTCATTTATATATTCAGTTGAAATTGATTGTGTACAGGAGGACAGAATCCATACAAATTACGGGCCTCTGATGTTAACTGTACTGATGTGTTCTTGTGATGTGTCACATTCGCCATGTGTCACTCACGGCCACTCATAGAATTAATCAGGGTTTTGTTTTCTTTCACTTTGCTTTCCATCTGCATGATGGTATAAGCAGGTGTAAATGTCAATCTCTGAACATATACTGAAAAATCTCTACTCTGTAGTCTGACTTTGGAATAGTGTAGAGAACTTATGTTTCAACGGCAAGGTTAAAAAGTTCTGTACTCTGTGTAGTCCCAACAAAGGTCACAAAATCCAGTCAAAGTCCTTTCGAAATCAGCTACCAATTTAGAATTGCAATCTGAGTTTTCGTCTTTAGTGGTAAGAGGAATTTACCTTTAATGTAATCGTGGTCTTCTGAATAAGGGTGAAGGTCATTCTTTTTGAAGCTCTTTTCCTAGATAATGTTAAATACTGTTCCACAAGATTTTGAATACAGGGCTCTGAAACTATTTTATTTGTGATTTGGGAATCAGGACCCTAGCAGAGCAAGATTATTCTTACCCAATTCAAAAGAATTCAGTTGGGATTTGTGTTTCACAGCATTGCTTTTAAGGAAAGGATGAAAAATGGTTTTATATCTCTAAATACCAAAAGATAGAGGATGTTAGTCTTCACTAATACAAAACTTTTTCCAGGCCTCAAAATTATGCAAATTACAATCAATTTATTATATTGTGTAGCAAAACAGCCAAAACCGTTCCAGTGGGACCAATTCTGACTAAATCAGAATGTAGATTGCTTCATTTTTTCAAAATGCAAAGCCAGCATGAAAAGTCAGGTCTTCATATTGAGGTATCAAAAACATAACTGTTGTGTTCAGGAGAATACAGTTAATGAAAGAAAAACATCATCTTTTTGGCAAATCACTGAAAGTCTGATTTTGTTTTGTTTTAGAGAATGTGAATAGAAGATTGAGTTGTAAAGGTCTGAGTCCCAAATTGTGAAAATCAGCAATGATACACTGTGGAAAAAGGCATGTGTGTGCTATTGTTGTGTGTATTGTAATTTTTGGAAGTATTTTGATCTGCTCCTGGAAAGATGCTCAGCTACAAGATAATATGACAAGAAAAACCTTCCCCCAGGGAAACAGTGTCATTTCAGTCGGTCAGTTCTGCAAGGGAAAAGCTGCAAAAAATGTAATAACACCATTAAAAGATAACAGAACTTTTATTATATCCCCATACTTTGATGACAGAGAAGACAAAGTCATACGTGTGATTGGGATTGTTCACCATGAAGATGTCAAAGAACTATACTGCTGGTTTTGTTGTCAGCCCCATGGAAAGACATATGTATCAAAAGCAAAAATAGATGTTCACTCAGACAGATTTGGATTCCCCTATGGAGCCGCAGATATAGTTTGCTTGGAACCTGAGAACTGTGATCCAACACACGTATCAATCCATCAGTCTCCACATGGAGATATTGGCCAGCTATCGAGGTTTGAAATAAAAAACCGCAAAGCAGAGCCCTTCTCTGCTGACTTCACGGTATGCATCTCTGCCATGTTTGGAAATTACAACAATGTCTTACAGTTTGTACAGAGTATGGAAATGTACAAGATTCTTGGGGTACAGAAAGTGGTGATCTACAAGAACAACTGCAGCCAGATGATGGAAAAAGTCCTGAAGTTTTATTTGGAAGAAGGAACTGTAGAGGTAATTCCGTGGCCAATAAACTCATATCTCAAGGTTTCTTCCAAATGGCACTTTTCTATGGATGCAAAAGACATTGGCTACTATGGACAAATCACAGCTCTAAATGACTGTATATACCGCAACATGCAGAGGAGCAGGTTTGTGGTTCTTAATGATGCTGATGAAATAATTCTTCCTCTTAAGCACTCAGACTGGAAAACAATGATGAGCAGTCTTCAGGAGCAAAATCCTGGAACTGGTGTTTTCCTCTTTGAGAACCATATCTTTCCAGAAACCATAACCACTCCCATGTTCAACATTTCATCTTGGAACGCTGTGCCAGGAATTAACATACTACAGCATGTTCACAGAGAGCCTGACAGGAAAGAGGTTTTCAATCCCAAGAAAATGATAGTTGATCCAAGAAAGGTGATTCAGACTTCAGTCCACTCTGTCCTACGTGCTTACGGGACCAGTGTGAATGTTCCAATGGATGTTGCCCTCATTTATCACTGTCGCGTGCCCCTTCAAAGTAACCTTCCTAGAGAATCTCTCATCAGGGATACGACGTTGTGGAGATATAACTCATCGTTAATCATGAATGTTAACAAAGTTCTCTATCAAACAGTACTGGAAGCTCAAAAGTGAAACTTTGTCTGCAAAAAGCAAAAGTGGGGAGTTGCCTGTGCCCCAGGGAGGCATAGGATATCATTCAAAGATCACATTAAAATCTCTTGCACGTGAGAATTACATCTCAGAGAGATTTGGGAGAACAATCCCTTTATGTACAGAACAAATGTAAATGCATTGTCTGTGAACTGTAGCAAGGTATCAGGATCATAGAATCATAGCATGGCTTTGGCTGGAAGGGATCTCAAGGATCAAGTTCCTACCCTTCTGCCGCAGGCTGTGCTAACAACCTCTATATCTGGTAGTAGACCAAGTTCCCAGGGCCCCATCCAACCTGGTCTTGAACACTTCCAGGGACTGAGCATCCAAAGCCTCTCTTGGCAGCCTGTTTCAGTACCTCATCACTCTCTTTGTAAAGAACTTACTCCTGACATCCAATCTGAAACTTCCCTCCTTAAGCTTAAAAGCATTCCCCCTTGTCCTATCACTATCTATCCAAGTAAAAAGTCTCCCTCATTTTTTATAATCCCCTTTTAAATTCTGGAAGTCTGCAATGGCATCTCCTCGCAGCCTTCTGTTCTTCAGGCTGACCAAGCCCAGCTCCCTTAGCTCGTCTTCATAGGGGAAGTGCTCCAGTCATCTGGTCCTTTGGACCCTCTCCAACAGCTCCACATCCTTCCTGTACTGAAGGCCTATATGGGAATTGCTAAATCAGGCCTGAACCTCTGATTGATCACCTGAGGTGAGCAATGAGTCATCCCTGGGAGCACAGGCAATTCACTTGTGCTATGGGAAGGGGTGGAGCCTTGTTCCACCTCTCCAGACCTCATTTAAGAGCTGACTACCACTGGGGAAGGATCTCTTTTGGAGATTGCTCCTCTTGGAGTCTTCTCAGTGAGCCCAAGATAAGGGTAAGCTTTCCATCTGTTCTTCTTTAGCATGATCACCTGTTAGTCTAACTTCCTTGTATATTTCTTAGTTATAAATCTGTATATTCATTGATTATACAGGGCCCTATAGCTGGATGCAGGCCTCCAGATGGTGCATCACAAGGGCAGAGTACAGAGGGACAATCACCTCCCTGTCCCTGCTTGCCACCCCTCTTCTGAAGGATATCAGGATACTATTGGTGTTCTGTACTGCAAGAGCACATTATTGGTTCATGCTCAGTTTTTCATCCCCTAGGATCCCAAAGTCCTTCTCTGCAACGCTACCCACAAGGAGTTCTTCTCCCAGTCTGTATATGTATCTGGGACTACTCCAACCCAAGTGCAAAACCTTGCACTTTGCTATGTTGAACCTCATTAAGTTCACACAGGCCATCTCTGAAGTTTGTTCAGGTCCCTCTAGATGGTGTCCTTTCCATCTCTGTCAACCACACCACTCGGCTTGATGCCCAAGAGAGCAATTTTCACAATTGGAAAAAAAAAATTATATTTGATCCAAGAAGAGCATGTGGCTGGGAAGAGCCCAATGACATTGTTACATAACATTGCAGAAAAGTTACAGATCAAATTTGTAATACAATTCTCAACAGGGGTGTATCACTTTGGTGACATAATACACATCTTTGGCTGTGAGAGTGTACTAGGTAAGTTAAGAGTTTTAAGTGCAGCAATGAAATTTAGAGTTCTTGCAAGAGATATTTAATGCTATGTTCTCTGCAACAATAAATCATGGAGTATTTAAAGGTAATCTGTCTACCAGAAGAAGAAAACTAAAATATATGGAACTCAACATTACAAGTTAGTGTCGCAGATCCAGCATTAATGTAAGAATACCAGCACAATTTTATTGCAGGAATGATTCAGCCAGCAGCTGCTGCGTAATTTACTGGTGTAAATGACTAGATTTCATCATTATGTAATGGTCAGATTTCCCTTCACTTAAAACTTGTTGGTGTTTGTTTCGGCGGTTTGGGGGGTTTTTTGTTTGTTCTTGTTTTTTTATGTTTCTCTATTTTACACAATATAATTACATATCAGACTGTCTCTGGGGTGAAGTCCACAGTTTTCTCCAACACAATTTAGCTCCACCGTGGTCTGTACGGTACTTCGTGTGCTATTTGCTCTTCATTCCGGTATGCTGATGAGTGAGCGTGTCCCCTTGCACGGCCGCTGGATCGATGTGAGCGGGCCCGTGCATTGCACGAAGGGCTCTGCCGTACGGCAGTTCGTTGGTCCCGTTCCGCTCCTGGATCGGGTGTGGGCCGAGACACGGGAGACGTCACTCCGCCTCGCGCTCCTGCCTAGATCTCCCCGACGGCTGCATCGGGAGCCTGCGCGGGCGGCTGCAGCGAAGACGCTTCGCTTTGCAGCGGCCCAGAGGCACGGGCGAGTTCCTCGTCGCGGCCCGGCTGGCTCTCGCGGGGGCTCCACCAGCCCGCGCCGTCAGGCTGTGACTCAGCCCTGGGCGAGTGGTGCACAAGTGCGGGAGAACGGCTCCGCTCGGACCGGCGGGGTGAGTGCGCAGGAGCGAGAGCACCGCGGGTCCTTCTGGGGCCCGCAGGGTGGAGCACGTGGTTCCGCAGCCGCTCGCGGGGCGTCCCGCGGCCGCGTCGCTGCCCGTAGCACTCGCGTCCCTCCTACGGCCGCCACCGTCCTCCCCAGCGGCAGGTGACAGGTGGCAGGAGCGGGCGGCCCCGACTTTCCTCGCTCTGCGGCAGCGGAAGCCGTGGGGGAGCCGGCGTAGCTGCTGCTATTGGTGATGCAGAGTTAGCTCTGAAGGGGCGCGAGGGCTCCCCTTCTGCTCTCGTATCCGCACGAGGCTGCGACGGCAGCGGCGCCGCTGCAGTGGGAAAGGCGAAGTCGCGGGGCGGTGAACGTGGGGTGCGGAGAGGGGTGCGCTGCTGCCGGGACGTTCGTCAGTTGGGTCTGCCGCGCGGTAAGGCTTCTGTCTTTAGGTTCCTGTACGGGATTCTATAACGTGCACCACTTGGAAAAGGGACTCGTTCACCAGGAGCAAGATTATTGTTTCCGTTAAAGAAACAGTAAATAAGAAAGGTGATACTCAGCCCTGTTTGGGGGATACTGTTGCTAACCTCTGAACGGTATGTTTTAGATATTTGATAATCAGAAAAGACTTTTTTTTTTTCTTAAATCTCTGTAGAAAACCCAAGTGTGGGAGTGTAACTTTACATTTAGAGAATGCATAACTTATTGAGAGAACAGTTTCAGTATGTGTTGTGGGTTAACCCTGATAGGCAGCAAAGCCCCCTGCGATGCTTTGTTACCACATCTCCACCCTTCCCCCTTGGAGGATGCAGAAGTGGAAAGGTAAAAGTGAGAAAACATGGGCTTAGCCATGTTAAAGGCAGTGTCAGGGATAAAGCAAAACTTCCTGAATAACCAATAAGGAGTTCATTTGCTACTTCCCATCATAAGGCTACTGTTTAGCCATTTGCAGGAAAGCAGGGCTTCATCATGAGTTACAGTTACTTGGGGAAACAAACGCTATAACTGTATGTTCTCCCCCTCCTCCTTCCCATTCTGGTTAGCTTTGGGGCAGCCGTCCTAGCTGTCTTTACTCCACATTTCTTGTACACCTCCAACTGACTGCTCACAGATGCCCAAGGTGAGAAACAGGAAAGGCCTCAGCTCTGTGGCAGCGCTGTTCAGCAGTAGCTAAAACATTTTGTTACTGGAACACTGTTCCAGTCACAAAACCGAAGCATATTAGCTACAACAAAGAAAATTAAATCTCTCCCAGGCAATACTGATACAAATTATAAATTGAAGTAACAATATTAAATGTTGTTGTGAAACTTTTGCTGGTTTGTGTCTGTTCAAAGGTTGCAAAGTCTAATTGTTTACAAAAGGAGAAATTGGTGGGGTTTTTTTGGTTTTACAGCAGAGTGTTTACGTGTGTTCCAGGAAAGGTGTGGTTTGGGAAGGGTCATGTTGTAAACTAAGTAGATGATATTTCTCTCTGGCTTCTTTGTATTTAAAATAGAAATAGCCAGCTTAATTCTTATAGAACAATATTTTACCAGCAATTAAATACCAATAATTAAATAATTTAAACCTTCAAAAATTATGCTTCTGCCTTTGATTCATGTAAGAGGGAGAACACTGGCATTTCAAAGAGAAGAAGCTAAACTATCATCAGGTAGTTTTTTAAAAAAAAAACAAAAAACAACAAAAAAACAACAAAAACAAACATGAAAATCTTGTTCAAAATGATGAAGTGTTTGTTAATCTTTGGAATTTTTATTTCAGTTTGAACACCAATGTTTTGTGCTGTTTCCTTTGGCAAAGCTGTAAAGCAGAGGAGAGAGAATGCTATTTATGACAAATAATAAATTAATAAGGCTCTTCACTAACGGTAGCCTTGTTTTAGTTAGATCCCAGATAAACCAAATGTTAGCATGTGTAGTGTTGCTGTACTACTAATTCTATTGCTGCTTGTTGGAGTCTGAAGTTCTGTAATCATCTCTGTCAACTGACCCTTTGGAATACATTTGTTTTGCCCTGACCCACTCTAAGGCTGGAAGGTAGAGGAATAAGGTGAGATTTATTAGAATATATATATATATATATATATATAAACGTGTATATTAGAATATATATATATATATATAAAAGCAAGGAATGTAGACTTTGTGAAAATACTGAAATGAGCAGCATAAACTGTCTTCAGCTGTCTCAACACAAATTGAACAAACTATAATGGAAAGATACAGTGCCAAGGAGATGTGGGGAAAAATTAATAATAACTTGTGAATGAATGGCTCTTGAACTAAATTAGCACTTTGCTTGCTAATTGTGAGGTGTATAGGAAAGATGACAAAAGAGTAGATCTGAAAATAGAAGTTTTACTGCAAAGGTAAAAACAGCACTCCACTTGAAGGCTAGTGCTGAATAATTCCGATCCCAAAATCTTAAGATAAGATAGTGAAGGACCAATGACAGATGTTTAAAAAATGTGTTGTGATAATAGTGGTACAGTGTGCAATAGAAAGCATACAAGTAATTCATTTGTTTATGAAAAGGAAAAAAAAAAAGATTGAGATGTATGGGAGTTCTAAAGCCACATGCAGGGCTTTAAAAATTTTTAGAAGGACTGCAAGCAAAAAAAAAAAAAAAAAAAAAGAGAAATGACATTAACTCGATCAACAAGAGATCTTTATTATGAGCTTGCAACGAAGGAAAGCATGTTGTGTAACTATCACTGGCTGTAAGACTTGGTCTGATGTCATGCTCAGATGCATCTGAGCAATGTTATGCATATGCAAAAAATATAAATCTTAGCATATATTTAAAAAGAACACTTCCAGTAACTGTAAGGTTTTGTCACTGTCATTTGCAAATGTATTTCTGATCACTTGTGTTTAATTGGCTTAAGATAAGTGATTAACTGAAACTTGGCCATTTGCACAAAACCAACTGGTCAGGAGTGTTTCTTGTAAGATATTGGAACATCCTGTATTGCTTAATGGAAAAAGCAACGAAAATGAAGAGTGAAACATGACTGCAGTTCATAAATGCAGGACGGAGGAAGAAAGACTTTTTACTCTTAGTAGCAATACTGAAGAACTACTAACTGGTGCAAAGCAGTTATAATGATATCATTAGGTTGATATAGTGTTAAAGCAAATCTGAATCATATTCTGTTTGAATTGTAACTGGAATTAAAGCACAAAACTTAAATTAAAGCACAAAAAAAAGGCAGCATATTTTTGAGGTTTTGAGATACCAAGTACTCTCTATATTGAGGAAGTATAAATGTACTGTTCCTTGTTAATCTGACATTATATATTTCCTAACTAGATTTCTCTGCTATTAATCTCAAGAGAGACCAAAATTCATGAATCACATGTCAGGAGAACCATTAATATCATTTATAAAATAGCTAGATATTTATTTTCTTCAGCATTCAGTTTTCTGAGGTGTCTTGAGTTCTTTGTTCAGCTCTTTGTCTTTGCTTTTGGAACTTGCTGTTGTTTTCAAATGTCTCTCACATTTCCTCATCAGAACATATAATTACCTACCTTAATGAAGCTGATAGAATGTTACGGAAAGAGAAGCATACATTACTGAAAAACAAACAAAAAACCACAGGCGTATTTAAAAGTTATTTTTGAGTATGCATGTGAACTGCAGATTAACACAGGATTAAATTTCCAGAAGGAAACTTAACAAAGTAGTGCTAAAAAAAAAAAAACCCAAGTGCATAGTCTGATTTGCTTGAACAACTCCATATTCAAGTTTGTAATGTAAATGAAATTCTTGGGAGGCAGCTGTGCTCTTTGCTTAGGAGAAGTAAAACTTGTTTCTCTAGTAGGTGTGGTTACTATTACGCACATTGCAGAACACCAGCCATTTGAAATAGAAGGTATTGGCAAGTGTCTTAGGTATTGTACTGGAATTGTTTTTCCTCAATATTGTACTATTTTGAACAACTCTTGCTCTTTATAAAAAAAAAAAACCAAAACAACAGAACTTCACTTGGCTGTCTGCTTTAAAAGATGCTTTCTCTTTCAGACATTGACTTTTTGAAACACAGTTGAAAAGATACCTTTCTGTTGTTCATTACTTATAGCCAGCAAATGCAAGGGAAATAACAGGTAATAAATTAGTTGCGTATTTTTAATGGTGATATGTTGTGATATTTCTTTAGTAAAAATTAATTAGCATGCAAGACTGATCAGTATGTTAAGTAATGACATAAACAGTCAAGAAGAACGTTAAATGTTAAGTATGATTTCTGATGCTTCTGACAGTCCTTAACTAAACTTTCTCTGTATATATTAAAGGATGCTAGAAATAATATGATCCTTGGCAAATGAGGCATTTTAAGGGTTATGTTGTAAGCATAGTTCTCTTTGCTTTGATTTTTGAGGACAGAGCAACTGGGCAAATATTTCATGTAATTCTAAAGGCTTGGTCAATTATTCTTTTCCTACTTAAGAAATTCAGAATCTAGATAGCAATATTCAGAAGTGAGATCTTTTTTTTTTTTTTTTTTTTTTTTTCTGGTTGGAAACTACTGAAGCAGAAAACCAGAACCTAGAAGATTTTTTTTTTCAAGCCAAACCAGTAAAGTTGCCAGTGATTGCAGGCACTTCCAAAGGTGTGAAGCTGCTGAGTATGATAACTTAATCAAAACTATGAATTGAGGTGTTTAGGTACTTTATTGTTCTTTTTCTTACTTTTCTTTAAACATGTTAGTATTCTGTTCTATTACAAAGCAGCATTGAGATAGATGCTCTCAAAACAGCATTAGGCAATGTGTGAAGTGTGGAAAAAAAGGTATGAATTATTAGGTTTAATTATTATTTTACAATTGTCTGAGTAATGTGCTTTGGAAAAAAAGTATTGTTAGAGATCTAACACGTACATACTGTCAGAAGATACAGGAGTGCAAAAAATGCAAGTGGTTTTTATTATGATGCCTTGGAAAAGAATGGAGGAGGGATAAAAAAAAAAAAAAGAGAATCTTCCAAAATCTACTATACCTGTGGCAATACTTTTTTTTTCCCACTATAAATTATACACATGGAAATCTGGGTCTTCTAATGGTGCGTTTTGTTGTTTGTTTTTCTCAGCAGCTGTTTCTTTTTCATGCCCATTAGAAACATTCTCTTCATCTTGTGCAACACAATCAGTTTATTCCATCTTCGTGATTTACCCCAATCTTCCTGCTGGAAGTCAGGGATACTTTCTTCCACCTGTTTAGTTTTCTCATCTAACATCAATTTGAATTAATATGGGGCGTGCTTCTTCCAAGAATCATTGTGGTACATGCAGGTCTTTAAAGAGACTGCTTCCACCTTAACTTTTATGGATCACATCTGAATTCCTAAAGATGAATTCGTAAAGAAAACTTTTGTTTCAGCTCCTTTGGCAGAAATTACTAGTTGATGGTGCTATGGGCTACCTGTCAGATGTTGACAGCTGTTAACAGATGAGTGCTGCCAAGAACTTTGGCCTTACAGGTGCTCAGAAATGCCTCTGTTCCCATAGCAGTGGAAATCCAAAAGCTGATTTGCCCCCTCCGCCTCTCCCCCCCAGGCCATGCCAGACACAGTGCAAGCACTAATACATTGTCAGGAGACACGGATTGCTGGCTGCAAGAACATGAGGAAGCCTTTCCTCCAAGCCCTGCCTTGTGCAGTAGGGTAGAGATGATAACTAAGAAGTTAAGTTTTATACTGCTCCCCACCATATGTTTTCTTGATTTCTGCTGAACTGTATGAACTGACCTTCTTCTGCATGTACTGTCTCATCTGTAGTGAAATGCAAGGCAGGGAATTAACACATCTGGACTGTCTTGTGTATTAATCCCAATTTATATGTCTATGATTTTTTTTAATGAACTCATTCTGCATGCATTTCATTTATTTGTCTGCCCCTACATTTGTAGGTAAGTCCGGTTCACTTTTGTTTCATTTCATTGTGTATCATTTACATATACTCTATTTGGAAAAAACGTTATTTATTTTGCTTTAAAAATTCCTCCCTGATTATTTAATTGAATGTTCTAAAATATTTGTGATAAAATATATATATATATCCTTATTCTATTTGATATCGATCTCTGTAATATTCTCTTACAGTACTTAAAGAACTCTCAATTTGCAAAAATTATTACACATATCTGACATATTCAGTGTCCCAGACAGTGTCATCCATCCCATTACAAGCACTATGTATTTCATGATTGTTTTTTCATGAAAGCACAGTATCTGGATCTCTGATTAAATCACTTTAGAGTGACAGATGTTTCCCATGTTTTTTTCCACGTCTATAATATCTCTTATTGAACATGTTCTTTCCTACAGATGCAGCAGCGTAAACTGCAAGGACAAAGACATTTGCATCCATATTTAGATACATTCAAAATGTTGTGTGGTGGGAAAAAATCCTACTTTGCTGGTGCTGTGTGCATTATAACGCTAACATCAATGGTCACGTTTTCTTATCTTAGATTACAGAGACATATTCACCTGCCAAAAATAGTACAAGAAGGTAGTAGGTGTAGAGGGGAAACTGCAAATAGCACAATAACACCATTAAAAGATAACAGAACTTTTATTATATCCCCATACTTTGATGACAGAGAAGACAAAGTCATACGTGTGATTGGGATTGTTCACCATGAAGATGTCAAAGAACTATACTGCTGGTTTTGTTGTCAGCCCCATGGAAAGACATATGTATCAAAAGCAAAAATAGATGTTCACTCAGACAGATTTGGATTCCCCTATGGAGCCGCAGATATAGTTTGCTTGGAACCTGAGAACTGTGATCCAACACACGTATCAATCCATCAGTCTCCACATGGAGATATTGGCCAGCTATCGAGGTTTGAAATAAAAAACCGCAAAGCAGAGCCCTTCTCTGCTGACTTCACGGTATGCATCTCTGCCATGTTTGGAAATTACAACAATGTCTTACAGTTTGTACAGAGTATGGAAATGTACAAGATTCTTGGGGTACAGAAAGTGGTGATCTACAAGAACAACTGCAGCCAGATGATGGAAAAAGTCCTGAAGTTTTATTTGGAAGAAGGAACTGTAGAGGTAATTCCGTGGCCAATAAACTCATATCTCAAGGTTTCTCCCAAATGGCGCTTCATGCAAGATGGAAAAGACATTGGCTACTATGGACAAATCACAGCTCTAAATGACTGTATATACCGCAACATGCAGAGGAGCAGGTTTGTGGTTCTTAATGATGCTGATGAAATAATTCTTCCTCTTAAGCACTCAGACTGGAAAACAATGATGAGCAGTCTTCAGGAGCAAAATCCTGGAACTGGTGTTTTCCTCTTTGAGAACCATATCTTTCCAGAAACCATAACCACTCCCATGTTCAACATTTCATCTTGGAACGCTGTGCCAGGAATTAACATACTACAGCATGTTCACAGAGAGCCTGACAGGAAAGAGGTAATCAATCCCAAGAAAATGATAGTTGATCCAAGAAAGGTGATTCAGACTTCAGTCCACTCTGTCCTACGTGCTTACGGGACCAGTGTGAATGTTCCAATGGATGTTGCCCTCATTTATCACTGTCGCGTGCCCCTTCAAAGTAACCTTCCTAGAGAATCTCTCATCAGGGATACGACGTTGTGGAGATATAACTCATCGTTAATCATGAATGTTAACAAAGTTCTCTATCAAACAGTACTGGAAGCTCAAAAGTGAAACTTTGTCTGCAAAAAGCAAAAGTGGGGAGTTGCCTGTGCCCCAGGGAGGCATAGGATATCATTCAAAGATCACATTAAAATCTCTTGCACGTGAGAATTACATCTCAGAGAGATTTGGGAGAACAATCCCTTTATGTACAGAACAAATGTAAATGCATTCTGTCTGTGAACTGTGATATGGTACCATTTAGCAATCTGCACTGAAATAGAGGCTGTGATGGAGATGTGTGCCCCTGATAAAGGCTGCTGCAAATTTCTTACATGGGAGAGTTGAGGAATAGTGGGGAGGTCAGTACTTTTACTTTTCTCTAGCTAAGAAAATGCATTATTAAAGTTGTAGGAAGTGACCATGCACTGATTAGAATTTCTTAGAACTTATTTACAGCTTCCTTTTTATTTTCCTACATTCCTATATGTTTTACTTTGTGCAACAAACCTGTAAAGTGCCCAAAGAAGAAATGAATCTATTTTTGTGTATGTGGAAATACAGCTGTGTGTGGCATTGTCATTAACAGATGGCTTGTGATAATATGTGCCAGATGAAGAGCTACACTGGAATTAACTCGGCAATTCATTATAATCACAGAGACAGCATAAGAAAACAGACCAGATTACATTAGAACTGTCCCTTACTGAAGATACTGGTTCATAAGAGAAACTGGAATTTTTGGCAGAGCCATTTGCCATTTAATGATAGCAAAGATCAATGTAGATGATTTTGCCTCTTCAGTGAATTTTCAATTAAAAATAAAATTTGTATCTCAACTGATTTATGTATTGCTGTAATCTTTATTTGAGTAAATTTGCATTTTTGAATCTATGTATTAAAAAAACATACAATGAATAGTGGTAAAATTAATGCTCCTCAATTATTGCTGTTTGTATGTCATGATTTGAGTTCAAAATTTTCATATAACAATTTGGATAAAACAGACAAATGCACTGTGAAAATATCTGGGGAAAAACGTACTTGTTTCAACTGAAAAAAAAATGTATCCCATTTATTATTGGAAATAGAGTTTTTAAAATGTTAATATATTGTAATGGCTGCTGGATTAATGCTAATCCAAAGAACTCTGACTGTTTTTGAGGCCTGTATCTTTAAGAAATGTGCATTTTTGCTACTCACAGCTCTTGTGAATTAATTAAAAATGCTGCGTTTTGTTGGGAAGCTTAAAAACGAGGCAAGGGTTATAGACTAATGTTGAAGTATATAGATTACTGAACTGAAGACTATTTTGAGATGGAAAAGCAGAAGAATGACTCTCTATTATACATAAACATAGTAAATTTTTGTTAGTTTTCCTAGAACCATAAGGCCTGATAACAAAATGTTTCTTTGTTCATCAAAATAAGCCATTTTTACTATTTTGTATGGTAAGTTATATTGTATTCCTTTCCTTAGGTAGGTGTAAAAGTACAGAAGAAAAAATAATAACAAAAACAAATGAACAACCCTCCTGCAATGTATTTATTGATTTTATTTTGAAGGGTTATGTAGGAATAAAAAAAGCAAAAAAAAACCTGTAGTTTTACAGTTTCAGTCATTTTTAATGTCTCCTACACTCCCACAATGGTGAGAGACAGGGCTGATGAAGTGATAGCTGGGGAAGTAGTAGTAGTAGTCTGATGTGGGTGAGATGGAGATGCTTGTGAGAGTAGGCTTTCATTTATTTAACTTCTATGTCAATGTAATGTTTTAGTTCTTTTATCTATTTTGTGTTGGAAAGGCGTTGCTATGTTTCAACTCTATTATGAGTAGCTTCAAATTAGCAAATGCAGTTTGTAATTGCTTGTTATTGGCATTTAAAATAATAATTAGCTGTTATGGAAAGTCTTGAATTTCATTTTTTATAAAAGTGTAGATGAGCAATACAGAATGTATTGGATGATACACATCATGCTATGGCATAATGCCAAAAGAGGAGAATTTAGAACTTGGCCAGAGGTCCATTTAAGATTACAGGCTCATGTAATTTTGAAGAAATATCTGGAAGTCCCTAGTCTAACTTTCTGCTCAGAGCGGGGTAAGATAGCATGGCTTGATCAGGTCTATGTCTGGTTTAGCTGAAGATGCAACCTCTTTGGGCAACCTGCTGCAGTGTTGTACTGCCCTCACTGGACAGCTTGCTTTCATTAGAGCTAGCTTTTACTGCAGCATGCTGGGTTGAGTGACTTGGTCTCCTCTTTACATTCCTAATAGGTAGCTGGTGACTGCAGTAATGTATATCACCCTTTCCACTCCTCTTGTTATTCTCTGTGAAAGACTGAATTCAACTTTCACAGCTTTTGAGATACCCTGTGCTTCTGCTGCCTGTTCACATCTGCAGCCTCTCCTTAAACTTGCTTAAGTGTTTCAGTGTTTGCTTTGTGCTGGGTAACTCAATGTTGGATGTGGTTGCAAGTGTGGCCTTGAATGCTGAACAAAGGTTAAGAATCCTTCCCTTGAACCACCAGCTATGTATTTGCTAGAACAGCTCAGTAAACAGTTGGCTGCCTTTGTCACGAGAATAGTACTGAGTCCTATTCAATTTGCTGTGCAATAGTATTCCATCTTGTTTGTTCTAACCATCTAGATGGTTGTAACCAGCTCCCTGTGTGGGATGATTGTCTCAGGTGCTGGATGGTGCATTTGCTCCAGTTTAAACTTGTAAGAGTACTGCCAGCCCATTTATCCAGTATTCTGAAGTCCCTCAGCACCCCCTCTTCCTTTGCATAATGACTGTTTCCCTTCCCATGGGTTCTTCCTGCGCCTCCAATTTTGTATTGTTGGAAACAAGCTGAGAGTGCACTTTGCATCATCAGGGTTACAAATAAAACTGTTAACCAGTCCTGGTCTCTGAAAAACACTACTTGTTTCCAGATAGATTTCTTATCAATAATGACCACTATTGGAAGTCCAGCCCACTTTCCATTAATCTCACAGTCCAAATAGTCGATCCTAATTTCATCAATTTGAGTATAACATTTTTTTTGCATGTTCCTGTCTCAACTGCTCCTGAGAAGAAGGTGACAAATTCAATGTTTTATAGGTGATCTGTCTTCATGTGGCTTCTTTAAGATGAGTCACTGCACCTATCACACACAGTATAATTACACTCACCTTAAGAACTTCCAAGTTTTCTGATTCACATAGCTTTTCTTCTCTTCTGAGTCAGATAGCAAAAGCTGTAAGAGATTATCATGCATGCCCCAACTGGCCTAGTTTAAATAAACATGAACGTGGCTTCTACTTGATAAAATTCCTTTACTTCAAACATATTTTCAAAGTAAGTTGGTGTGAATAAAGGTGGAAAACTGGGTACTTAAGACTTTGGCCTTGTTTTCAGGAGACACTGCTCCTCTGTGACCTCATGTAATTCCTACTGCACCACTCCAGTATTGATTCTTGCATACTAAAACTTCTCCTTACACTGGTGTGATTCATACTACCTACCTTTGGGAAACATGGTCTCCGTTCAATAGTACATAAGGAACTAGCTTTCCACAAGTGCTGGGAGCCATGAAAACCATGACAAAAATCACAAATAAATGCTAGTGCTACAGAATTTTATCTTTTCAAGGACAAGAGCCAATCTTTCTGAAAAATCTAATTTTCAAGTTGTGTAGGAAGGGGAGATTTTATTGTAAAGAAAAAGCAAAACAAAACCAAACCCCTAAATATTTCTAAAGCATAGAAGTTGAAATTTCATAGATACAACTTTAGGTACATGTCAAACACCACAAAAGTATGTGGAGTATTGCTACTCAATAGTTAATTCATCCATACATCTTGCTTCTTACAGCTAATCAAAATAAAAGATGTTTTCCTATTCTTGTCTTTTTTTCAAAGTTTTGGTTTTATTTTTTATTCTTTATTTTTAAAGATGTGCCATTCACATTTGTCCGTTTTTCAAACGTAGCTGTAGCAATTAATATAATAACGCACTTAAAGTAATTTTAACTTTTTTGAAAAAATGTATGGCTGGCAGGCATCATTTAACATCATTATTTTTGCTGTAGGGATTGAACATCACCCAATTCATTTCATTTCTATCTAGCTGTGAACTAAGTCACATAATCAGAAATGTGAACTATAAAAATATTGATAAAACCATTCTGAGTGGGATAACCATCAGAAAATATGACAAAATACTGTCAGACCTCTAAGGTTAATTGCTTTGGCAAGCTCTATCAGATAGATGAAAAGTTGGCTCACTGACTGAGGAGAGCCTGTATTGGCACATTCCTGAGCTTAAACAAATCATTACTGTTAGCATCCGATTCTAGTTAAAGAACTCTGTTGATTACTCAGTTTCAAAGGTTAAGTATTTAAAGCTATCATAAAGAAAAAAGCTTTTTTAGAAGATCAGCACTGGGGAGAGAAAAGATCAACTATGTTCTCATTCAGGTTGAGCAAGGAGCCATGCACTGTAACCAGGATTTGGTGTTATATGTACAAAAGCACAAAAACCTATTCTAAAACAGTAGCTCCACCTTCTGTTTCAACAACAACAACAACAACAACAAAAGAAAAAAAAAAAGGCAGAAATGAGGTCAAGCACTACTTCATTTTAGACTTAATGGTGGATCTGAATAGTTTTAACTTCACAAGCTATGCTTCAGAGCCCAAATTGGTACGCTTAAACATGAATAAAGACAAATTTAATGGTGAATACTGTTAACATGCTCTGTTGTATTATGTCAAAACCAATCTGTTCCCAAATGCCCAAATAAAATCAAATGATTGTGCATTGCATGATGATACCATTAGATGTGCAACTTTGGTTCATGCAAAGTTTCATTTGATAGACACATTGCTGATAGTCCATATAATCCTGAAGATTCTGCATATGTAATCTTTTCAGCCATGTTCTTTCCATAACACCAAATGGATACTGTGGTCTGGCATACTGGTGGCAAAAACCAAGCCTGTATCATTTTGACCATTTAGTCCATTTAGCCAAGACATTTCACCAGCCAAAAAACTTGAGCCTCTCTTTGATTTTCTATACTCTGGTAGAGGCCAGCGGCTTATCAGTTCTTCTGTCCTCAAGTCTATTATATACAGGTATCTATTATCAAACAGTAGAGCAAATATCTCTCCAAAGCCCAGCAAGGACACATTTGAGAAGTCAGGAGTCTTGATAACCCTAGAAAATAAGGCAGTATTGTTAGAAACTCCATCATTACATAGTCATGAACCTGCATTACTAAGACAAATCCTTATGTGTCTATAGAGAATCAGCATCTAAACTCATCATTTCTAAGTTATTCAGGAAGAACTAGATGCAAATTTTTCATATTAAGCAAGTGAACTTTTATTTTTTATTAACTTTTTTTTATTTCAGGCCTATGGTTCAGTGCTGGCTTTCTGCATTCACAACAGATCATTCTAAATGTAAGTAACATATAAGGTTTGAAATGGATTCTGCAAAGCACAACAGAAAAATGATCTGCTCCCAGATGTACACAAAAGAACAGATGTACTTACGTTTTACTGTAAATTTTCATATAGATTTAATGCCTTTAAAAGGTATAACCTCTTATTTGACCACTTTTTTTAAAAGCTGGAGAATAAAGTGTAAAAATGCCATCTTGTGACACTATAATAAATCATTCAAGATTGGTACCTAACAGAATGCTGCTTTACTGACCCTTAGTATAGATTAGACATATCCATCTCAGGAAGAAAAAAAACATGCATATTAATTCTACTATACCTTTGGGATTTTTTGCTTTATAAAACTTGAACAGAAATTGAAAAGAATAAGTTTTCCACAGCTGACTGAGCATTTGACCATACAGTTACATGATGCACAGAACTGAGGCACAAAAACATGGATACGAAAATCTATTTTTAGCAGTGAATGACTACCTTTCCCTTTTGAAACATGGGAAGATAAGCTAAGAGTAAGAAAAACTGAGGAATTCCAGCTTAGAAGAAGCACTTCTTTTGGAGTTGATCTTCCTATAGCAGGCACTCTTCAAAAAATTCCAGCTATTTCAATTAAGAGTCTGCTAAGAGTTCTGGAATACTTTTTTTTTTTTCTTTAATAAGTTAGAATCTTTGATGTCACCACAAAGATTGTTACACCATTTCCAATAGATAAAAATCAGACTTTTTTCTAAAACAGAATATTTTATCCTTTTTTGCAATTTTGGTGAGGTGCTGGAACAGCTGCCCAGAGAGGCTGTGCATGCCCCATCCCTGGAGGTGTTCAAGGCCAGACTGGATGGGGCCCTGGACAGCCTGGGCTAGTATTAAATATGGAGGTTGGTGGCCCTGCATGTGGCAGGGGGGATGGAGATGCATGATCCTTAAGGTCCCTTCCAACGCTGGCCATTCTGTGATTCTGTAATGTGATAGATTTCACTAACATTCCACCCAGTTATTGAGAATGACAGATCTCAGTTCAGTAGTGCTATAAGGAAGTGGTCTATTTAATATCTTTTCCCATCAAATGAATCCCAGAAAAGGCCTTCTGCTTCACTGCAGAGCAATTCCCATAGCAACATTAGCTTCTTGTCACTGCAGCTTTGTGTTCAAATCTATAATAATGCAGCCTGATTTAAGTCTATTTAAAAAATCTAAAACTCACGTATTGAAAATATGAAAGAGGATTGGCTTGTGACCAGAAATCAAAACAGCAATCAAATGGGTGGTACAATTAGAGATAAATTAGAGTGAAACCTGGCAATATTTGTGAAGAATGATGTTTAAAGATTTTTTAATCAAGATTCTTTTGAGTGACATTTAAAGCATTAAAACTAACATGCTACAGTTCTTATTCTTTTTTAAAGCATGCCTTAAGAATAAATTCTGCACATCTTAAGTTGAAACATTTACCTGACAATATCATAGCTGGCAAAATCCCACTGGTATAATCCTAGTGCTGAACTGCACACTATGTATTTACCATCAAAGTGCAATCTGGGCTGTAGAGAGATGCTGCGATCTTCAGAAACAGACAGTGTTTTTAAACACTTGCAGTTTATTTCCCTTCCAATAGGCCAAATCTAGAATTAGGAAACAGTTTAAGACCATAAAACATTCAAATTATAAACTGTTACACAAATTAAACACGGCTTACAGTGTCATGTAAAGCAGCAGGTAAATGTGTGCCTGTTTTTCAAAAATATTTATCTTCTTTAATGTGATCAGCTCTATAACTAACTTGTAACACATAGCCATGAACTATTTACATACAGCATCCTCCAACCCAACAGTTTGCAACAATAGCAGTATTTGCAGTGTCTCACTGACAAGTTAGCATATTATGCATACAATAAAAAACACTTATATTTTGACTTGTATCATATATATTGATCCACTATTTGATTGTAAGCATAAAGGAAATCAGTGAATACTTAGCTCCCAAAGAGTTTTTTGTCTTGTACATGTCTTTAAAAGCAACGACTATGAGAGAAAAATCCCGTATCATTTTTGAATCAGAGAAGCACTCAAGTATTCTGCTTCCTTGGGTATTGCAATGATGCATGTAGGATATATGGTACATACCTTGATTTCATACTTATCTGCACTTAAAAGAATATAATCCCCAGGACTATGCATAAGAGATTTGACTTTGCACTTCTGCAAAACTACCTGTAATTGAAGGATGTAATGACTTATTTTGATGCTGTTAACGAACCAAGCATTCATTTGCATTGTCCATTTTGTTACACAACAATACAACACACACATGGTCAAAAGAAATACAGATGCTTTTAGCACCTAAAGGGAAACTACCATTTACACTTGCTTGCTTCTAATAGTGAGAACTTCTTGTATAGATAAGCTAACACGTACTTCTCCAGAATTCTGCTCTCAATGCACATTCCAATTTCTGAAATGCTCGTAAGTGAAATACCTTTTCTAAACCTCAGAACACTTTATACTTAGATTTTGGTTATCACATTCATTAGTTTTCTACCTAATTTTAAAAGTAGATTTCTTTCTGAACCACTGCATTCATCTGATCTTTCAAATGCTGATTCCTAATATTATTCCAGCTACTCCAGAACAGAAATCTCTTCAATCCTTTGAAAAGTTTAGCTTTACAGCTTTTCTTTCTGTTCAAACATTATTTAGCACTATCTGCATTTCCTGATCTTCTTCATATTCTATACCTAGGGGGAAGACTGGTATTAGAAAACAGAAAGTTAGAACAACTTGCAAACTTCATGCAAATATTACCAAGATTAATACAAAAACAATATTCCCACCTTAGTAACCCATTCTGTGTGTCCAGTAAGGGTATTCAGGCACGTTCCTGTTGACAAGGCCCACACTTTCACAGTGAAGTCTGCAGAGCCACTAACTAGAACATCAAGTTCATCGTTGTAGTCCACACTAAAAACTACAAGCAAAGAGGGTTCTCAAAAGTAGTAACAGTCTCTATGTATGTTTTTTTCTGTGATACTGTAACTAGGTCAAAATTCACTATTACAGCTTTAACTGTTGCTCTTGAACTGTACACGTAAATTATTACTCTATTCCTGAGTTTACACTGCCAAATTACCAGCTGTTTGTTCAAATTAAAAGCATGAAGATCATTGGTTCCATTAAGGCTGGATTATGTTGAGGTTCCTATCCTAATAGTTCTAAGAAATCAATTCCAACAGAATTATTAAATTGATACATCTCATTACTCGTGGAGAACAGACCTACAGTTGAGGGGAAAATATTCTGTAGTAGAGGACAGAATTAAGACAAAAATGCAAACACAGATCCCCGGGCTCGACTGTGCTCTTTCCTGTAAGACCATTTCCAGTATGGGCATTTAAAGAACTCCCACTGTCATGTGCACCCTGTTAACAGGTGATAAATAAGGTTTGCATCTTTTATTCTAGACTCTAAAACACTAAATCACCATGACGGTTAGTACTGTTTCTACACCTATAAAACAATATATGGTTATGCTTTGGCGTAATTCAAGGCTAGACAGATCTAGATCTATTTTGGCCACTTCCCTCCCACAGTGTGATTTGAGACAGAGCCTTAAAAATATACTACTGTGGACAAAGCTAATTTAAATTATAATCTGTTCTATGATGACGTATGTTACTTGACTGATGAAAATAAAATCTGAGATGTTCAACATACCTGCGCCAGTGTGTCCTCTGAAATGCTGTGTTTTTGCCCCAGAGCTCCATTCCCAACAGGCTACTGTGTTATCAAAAGAGCCTGTTACAAGTTTTTGTTCATCAAACTTCACTGTAGCACAAGTGTGTGTCTGGATACCATAGATGCACTGACCTGTGCTTACATCCCACAGTTTTGCAGACAAGTCATCTGATCCTGGAATATAAAACAACAGGATAATTGGAAACAAATACTAAATAAAATTACTAGTCTTTCATGTATGTCTTAGTTATGGAATTTTCACCAAATCTTTGAAGAGATAAACTCACAACCTCTCTGAGCAACCTGTGCCAGTGCTCCATCCTGCACAGTAAAAAAAGGTTTTCCGATGTTCAGATTGAACCTCCAGTGTTTCAGTTTGTGCCCACTGCCTTCTGCCCCATCACAGGGCACCTCTGAAAAGAGCCTGGCTCCGAACTCATTGCACCCTCCCTTCAGACATTTAGATATATTGATAAGATTCCTTCCAGCCTTCCATTCTGTAGGCTAAATAGTCCCAGCTCTCTCAACCTTTCTTCAGAGGAAAGAATCAACAATCTAAAGATGCTAGAAATCTCTCTTCCAGTTCCTCCACGCACTTTTACAACCACAGTTTCCAACATTCCCTCTATTTGGAAGTGTCTACTGAGAAAAATACCGGAAAGTTTTATACAATTAGATCACATCCAGGTTTGTAGAACCACTGACTATACTGCAAGCTTTTCATTGTTTCATGTAGGAAAGGAGTCTATCAAATCTCTTTGCAGAGAAAGATGAAAAGACTGCAGATGAATACTTGGCTCTTTCACCTGCATTTCCTTTCTCCACCAAAACTTATAATAGTACTCAAGTTTGCTAGTTTTGGAGACAGGACAAAAATCCTAGATGCTTCTTTTTTCTTTTTTGGTTTCAGTACAGAAGTATGGAGCTTCCCAGTAAGGTTTGACAGTGCTGCTTCCTTTGTATTTTCCTTCCCCGGTTACTAGTAAAGTGAAAAGACTGTCTACAGTCTAGTCACTGGTTTCTAGTAACCACCCTAATGTACCTGAAGATGTGGAGGGATGTGTATTTCTGAGTTGACACTGAAATCTTGAAATCTGCAGTCTTCAGGAGGGAAGCTGAAACCATCACTGCAATATGCATATCAGATTAGTAGCAAGGTTAAATCTAGTTAAAGGTATTCATACAAGAAACTAGTCATGTTAAGAACTGAAAGTGCTTAAGAATGTAAAAGAGAAATGATCTTACTGCCAGGAAGACAGACCTTTCCTGATACACCTTGAGAATACAGTGGCCACACTGTGAGACCAAATTCCATTTAACTGAATGAGATCACAGATATTCCCTAAGAGGATACCTAACATAAATGTACTTCTCAAATGAGATTGCTAGTCTGAAGAACAATATGCAGCACTGTAACCATCTATTTTTTTAATTAATAAATTGGTCTCCTGTTTTTTTTTTTTTTGTTGTTGTTGTTGTTTTATTTTTTATTTTTCCTATTAAATGTTTAGTGAGCTTGATAGCATGCCAGATATTTCATAAATTGAAAAAAAAAAAAAAAAAAAAAAAAGTGAATTGCCTTAAACTGAGTTTGCACTGTGAAAATAACCTGTCTGCTCAAGAAAAGTCAACTTGTCATTAATCAGGTGGGGGAGCTGAGCGGTAGAGATAACAAAGAAGAGTAAGACTCCAAGTTTTCTGAATCTCCTACCTGTGCACAGAAGACCATCTTTATAGTAAAGTGCATACACTCTGGCACTGTGTCCAATTAAAGAGGATGTCTCAAAGGCTTCATGGTCCTTCAGTTGCTTCATCCTTAAAATAGCCTTTAGGTAAACCTTCTTCCAATGCAGAGGATCCTGAACAGAGTCATCTATTTGCCAACCCAAATTCTTACACGCGGTTTGCCACACCTCTGTACAGGCACTTATAACCTTATTCCACTGCTTAGAGACGAGGCAACATGTGAGTAAGGTGTGAGGATCAAGCCATTTTAACAGATAAAAACTAAGTTCCAATGGAAGAAGTTTGAGGAAGTCCCTCTTGAGAAGAATCTCTAGATTATTGGAGAGGTGCCTGAGCTGGACTGCTCCACTCAAGCTAATCAGGTGATCCAGAGTTTCATTTTTCTGCAAGTCCGTCAGAGAAAGAAATGTAATAGAAATGTTATCAAGCCATGCTTCAAAGTCCTTTTTCTCCATAAGGTTATGGAAAAATTTACCTGTGGTACATCAAAACACTGTATTAGTTCTGTTCAGAAAACAAGGTAAGCATCACATCATTATTACTGGTACATCAGTACTTAAATGGCATGTTAAAGCACAGACTGAAGTGACCAATCACAGCACAAAATATTCATTAGGTTAGTATGAAGCATTTGCACATACTTTGAACTACTATTTGTCCTACTTAAGACTTAGAAGTGAGTTGTACAAGACAGTGCATGCTAGCATTCACTATGAATGTTTACGTATTTCATGTAATGAGTTAACATTTTCACATTCTGAATCCAGTAAGAGTTGATTCAAGTTTTAAATCTACTTTAGTGAATAAATGCTGTTTTACAGTTTACTTATCATGTAGTTGAAAAAAGGAAGAAAGCATAAGAACAGAATAATAAGAAGCTAATTACTGACTGAATTAACTCAGACTCTTGTCATAACTACTTCATAAAAAGTTATCTGGTTTGCGCTTTATGAAGATACAAAGAGATGTCTGGAGAATCGTGTTGAAGGACATGTAACCTTTTTTGTACCTCCTTGATGTCTTTTTTTTTTTTCCTTATAAAACAAACTTCCCCTCCCCTCCACCTTGTTTTCTCAGTTTATTTCCAATAAACAGGCCTGTGAAACTGACAGCTTGAAATGCTACCCCTTGAACTATGTGACTTGTATTTATATTTATTTGCTGTTGCATCTCAAGTTCCTACAATAGGTTTGAGCAAGTGATTAAAAAGATGAGCATGGGGCGAATAATTAAAAAGCCAGATTTATTTTCTGTGGGAGATCTCATCCAGTGCATTAGATAACTAATTGAATTTAATTCATAGAAGCTCCCAAATCACATGAACTGGGGAATCTGAACGGCAGCTCACAATACATATGCTTTTACCTTTGTGGAATAAAACCTTGAAGTACATCTCTGAATGTGACACAGAAAAGTATAGAAAAGTAGAGTCTTCACTACGAAAGGCTACAAATGTAGAGACATATTACTTCTTACTAATACCTTAAGGATTTTATCTTAAAGATAACAATCTTAAGGACTTCTTAATTAAATACACAGGAACAGCTGCTCCTATCGTGTTAAAAGTTCATAAGTAACTTTTACTGCTGACAAAACTTAAGGGCTTTCTTTAGCACATTCGGCAGACTATGTTTGCCACTCTAAGGCACGTGTCTTCTTAAGAACAAGCAATTCTAACTGCAGTCACTGCCATGTGCGCACTGCTCTACGCGTTATCCGCAACCGCTCCACTCACGGCCGCTCCCGCCCAGCTCCGCTCGCACAGAGCACGGCGCAGCCCGGAGTCCAGCGCCTTTCCGCCCACGCGCAGTAGAGCCGTCGGCGCCGCCCACGCGGCTCCAGTGGGCCGTGGCGCTCACCTCAGGTAGCGGCCGGACGCGCAGCGTCCCTCAGCAGGCAGCCGCCACGCCTCGCACGGTCCTCCGTGGCCCGGCAGGGGCTGGGGCTTCCCCGCGGCCATCGCTCCCACAGCAGAAGGACAGTCTCCCGCCACTTCCGCGGTCCGCGCCGCGGCCTGCGGACACACACGGAAAGCTGCCGCCCTCGGACAGCGATGGGAGCCTCGGTCACCTCCGGCGCCGGAGGAGGGGCGGGGCCCCTGCACCGAGCGGACTGGCCGTCACCCCGAGGGGAGGCACCCCACCAAAGCCCACGGCGCTCCGCACTCGGGCAGCTTCCGGCGCATCCCCTAAACGTCACCGCGCCCCGCTGTCTCGCTTCAGTCGTTTCCGTCTGAACTGGAGCCGTAAAGCGCTGCGTTACTTCTCTGCGTTCGGCGCCGTGCACGGGTTGCAGCCAGCCCTTTAGGGTGGCTGCTGCCGGCCGTGCGGAAGCAGCTGAGTTATTCGTGCCGAGGCGCCCTCCCGCGGCCGGGACATGGCGGCAGAGGAGTCCCGATGCCTGCTGGCTCATCCCGCTACGGCCGCTTACCTGAGGTGGGGGTTGGTGCTGCGTCTCTGCCTCAGGCGGGCTTAGGGGCAGCCCCGCTGCGCTGGAGTTCGGCCGCTGCCGCGGGGGGGAGTGGAAGGGAACGCGGAAAATGTGACGTCTGGGTCAGAACCTCCGTCGGGTCCATCCGCGCATTAACGGCCCCGTGAAGGGCCGGAGCCGTGAGGGGGCGGCGGCACGATCCTTGTCGGTATCTTCCTCCTCAGGGTGCAAAACAAGAAGCTGTACCTGGCCACGTTCGCTGCTGTCCTGGGACCACTTAGCTTTGGCTTCGCGCTAGGCTATAGTTCACCTGCTATTCCAGAGCTGAGGAAAATCGGAAATCCGAATTTACGATTGGACAGCAATCAGGCATCGTGGTTTGGGGTAAGTTTCTGTATGATACATTACTCTCTTGTGATTTCCCGTCGTGGTGTGAAAAAGATGCTGTTTACATAGAATCGTTAAGTTTGGAAAAGACCGCAGAGATCATCAAGATCTGTCACCCTCGTGCCTCTTGCATGTTCTTCAGAGCTGCATCTTAAGGCAGTCTGACTCCTCTTAAAAATGAATATAAATGAGGATTTTGATAATGATTTTTTGTTGTGACCTCAGTAATTGATTCAGTTTTTTCCTAAGTAATACTATTATTATATTCCTCTAAGTCTCCAGACATATAAATAAATGCCATTATTTTTGTAACTTTTTTGATGCTGAAATGTTTTCTGTCAACTTTTAATCTCCTTAATTGAACCTGTCAAGGGACCACAGCAAATCAATTTGTGAATAAATTGGGTGCAATCTATTGACATAGGGAATATCAACCTTTGGGATACAGGCTGCACTTTAGGTTATTCATGATAATCTTTCAGTCTTCAGGGCTTTAAAACAGTTTGGAAAGCCAGTTTGTGAATGAACAGAGAAAAAAAACCATACTGTTGCATTTCTTTCTCCACTGAAAGGGCTTTGTATGTGACCTGAGAATTGCTTGCTGTCCAATTGTGGTGGATTGTGCTTCTTGACTGTGATTGGATAAGAAGTTAATATTTATTTTGTTTTTCAAAACAGCTGCATGAATATCTTTTTCAGAAGCTATTTATTTAAAAGAATTTGTAGTGTGTTATTTATATATATCTATATCTACATAGATAACCTATCTATATAGATACAGATGTATATATACATATATTTATCTATGGAATCATAGAATCCTTGGATTTGGAAAGGACCTCTGAAGGCCATCTATTCCAACTCCCCTGAAGTGAACAGGGATGCCACAGCTAGTCTCCAGGGATGGGGCATCGTCCATTCCAGATGGAATGCTGCATCCAGATTACTGTGTCCAGATGTGGAGTCCTCAGTACAGAAGAGATGTAGACCTGCTGGAGCATGTGCAGAGAAGGGCCACAAAAACGATCCATCGAATGGAACACCTCTATCTGTGAGAACAGGCTGAGAGAGCTGGTGCTCTACAACCTGGAGAAGAGAAGGCTGTGAGGTGACCTGATGGTGGCCTGTCAATGTACAAAAGGGAGCTACAGGAAAGAAGTGGAGAGATTCTTTAGCAGTATCTGTGGTGACAGAACAAGGGGAAATGGCTTCGAGCTCAAAGAGAGTAGATTTAGGTTAGATATAAGGAAAAGATATTTTACAGTGAGGGTGGTGAAGCAGCAGAACAGGTTGCCTAGTGTTGTGGATGCCCTATCCCTGGAGACTTTCAAGGCGAAGCTGGATAAAGCCCTGGGCAACCTGATCTAGCTGTGGTGTCTCTGTTCACTGCAGGGGAGTTGGACTGGATGGCCTTCAGAGGTCCCTTCCAAATTTAAGCAATTTATGATTCTATGGTACGTATTTTTTAACTTGTTTTTTGAAGTCTCTAGTAACATTAGGAGCTGCTGCTGGAGGAATACTGGGAGGCTACCTTGTGGATAAAATTGGAAGAAAGCTGAGTCTGATGCTGTGTTCAATACCATACGTTTGTGGATATATAGTTATTATTTCAGCTCAGAACATCTGGATGCTTTATTTTGGACGAATACTAACTGGCTTAGCCAGTGGAATTACTTCACTTGTTGTTCCAGTAAGTAGAGCATCATTTCTGGTTGCGAGGTGGCTTGGGTGTAGTAACTGAGTAATTCTAGTGAAGACAGCAGATTTAGAATAAACTGATTGTTACAGAATCATATTTTGCATGCTTTTAATAATGATGAAAATTTAAGTAAAAAAAAAAACTTTGCTTCTTCTAGTAGCACTTCTGTATTATACGCTGTTACAGTGATATGCCCGTTCCAATTTTTCTTCTGTCTATTCATTGATAGAGGAGGGCCATGAAGATGATCAGAGGACTGGAGCAGCTCCCCAAGGGAGCCAGGCTGAGAGAGCTGGGGCTTTTCAGCCTGGAGAACAGAAGGCTCTGAGGAGACCTTACAGTGGCCTTCCAGTACCTGAAGGGGCCTACAAGAAAGTTGCGAGAGGGACTTTTCTATAGCAGCCAATAGCAACAGGACGAGGGGAAATAGTTTTAAACTGGAAGAGGGTAGATTTAGATATCAGGAAGAAACTCTTTATGTGTGGGTGGTGAGACACTGGTACAGGTGAGTGAGGTTGTGGATGCCCCTTCCCTGGAAGCATTCAAGGCCAGACTGAATGGGGCTGTGCACAACCTGGTCTAGAGCAAGGTGTCCCTGCCTATAGCAGGGGAGTTGGAACTAGATGATCTTAAAGATCCCTTCCAACCCAAACCTTTCTGTAATTCTATGATTACTTCTGTTTATACTCTGCAATGGTCAAATTATATTTATCTCTTTATGTTTTGTATAAATAATGGTAAAGGCTTAACGTTTGCAATTAAACTATGATCACTTAAAAATCCTTGTGCAATGCCAAGAATCATAGAACAGAATCATTCGAGTTGGAAGGGACCTTTAAAGGTCATCTAACCCAGTTCTCCTGCAATGAACAAGGACACCTACAGCTAGATCAGGGTGCTCAGAGCCTGCTCTAACCTGACTTTGAACGTCTCCAGGGATAGAGCATCCACTAACTCTCTGGGCAACCTGTGTCTGTGCTTCACTATCCTTACTGTAAATTTTTTTTTTTTCTTATATCTAGTTTAAATCTCTCCTCTTTTAGTTTGAAACCATTTCTCCTTGTCCTGTCACAGCAGACCCTGCTGAAGAATCTGTCCCTTTTTTTCTTACAGCCCTCCTTTAGATAGTGAAAAGTTGCTATTTGGTCTCCCTGGTGCCTACTTGGTAGTGACTTCTGCTTCCATTAAACTGTTATCTTCAGAATATTAACTTTTCTTATGTGTTCAGAAATATCCTTGCACTAGTTTAATGGAAATAATTTGCGCTTGTCTTCCTGATATTATTTGACCTATTAGGTCAAACTGAGGGTTGGAACTAGATAATTGTTAAGGTCCCTTCCAATCCCAGCCATTCAATGAAAAAATTCTTTTGGATCTAGCAGTAGCATTAAATAAACTATCTAGAATTTCAGTATTTGAGTTTGTTTATTTTCTAGTGTTCCTGCATTCCTCGTTTTTGAAGTAAAAAGTTAACTGAAGCATAAAAAGGAAGGAAGTGAGATCTAAATGGTAATCTTGTGCAACTTTTTCCATTACTAAGAGCTTTGCTATGCAGTCTGTTAAAAAGCAGATAGAATTCCTTCACAGATGTTAACACACGTGACTGCTTTCTCTGCTTCCTGGAGTTGAGTCTTGAGTTTCCTTATGTAAAGACATTCACGTACAGGTTATTTGTAAAAGATATAATTGCAGCGATGAAGGAGAAGAATGACATATGCAATACTGTGGTTTTGTAGATCTGAATTATTCCTGAGCTAAGGAATACTTATTTTCTTTTGGAAAGAATATTAACTTTAGGAAGAATTGTATATGTAAAAAAAGAAAAAGAAAAAAGGGGGCATTTCTGTTTTCTCTCTGCTGCTAATCTGTGGCCATTGACTTAGGATCAGTGCATTAAAAAAAAAAAATTGAAAAACTAAGCTGACCCCAAATATTGGATGAGATGTGATGCCTGCTGTTTATACATGTTAAGATAAGAACCATTAATTTTGGATTTTCTGGAGAATGAAATAATACCCAGTCTTTATAGTGAATTAAGAAGTTACAACTTAGATTTGCAAAGACTTATACATGTGGCTTGGGGTATGTGCTTCTGAAGAGTGTCCCAAGCACCAGAATGTTTTGCAATGATGCATTTGTTGTTGAATATGGCTAGCAAAGGAAGCCCTTACTAACACAAGTTTATTTATCTGTCGGATCCTTAACTGACAGCATAAACATTCTTTTAGGGTCTCCCTTTTTCTCTGTTTTTTCATAATGCTAATATGTATTTATGAGATGATACTGTTCTACCCTCTCCATTTTACTGAGGCTTTTTTTGAGGAGGGTTTCTAGGAAATACATCTGGTTTTCAAAAACAAATTATTTCTCTACTTCTTGATCACAGGTTGGATTGAGGTAATTGTTAGACATTTTCTCCCTGTTTTAGGTATATATATCGGAAATATCTCATACCAATGTTCGTGGTATGCTTGGCTCTTTTGTCCAGTTGATGGTGGTGACTGGCATACTTGGAGCCTACGTTGCAGGTATTGGGATTAAGGAACTGAAAGCAAATGTCAATTCATTTCTGCAACTGTTAATTTTGTTGTACAAATGTTAATTCTTCTGGAGCTGATTTTTTTTTTCCTTTTTGTTGTGCAGGAATGATAGTAAAATGGCACTGGCTGGCAGTATTATGTTCTTTTCCACCATGCATAATGCTTTTGTTTATGTTGTTCATGCCTGAAACACCAAGATTTTTGCTGGATCAGAAGAAACGCGCAGAAGCGATAGCTGCTTTACAGTTTCTGCGAGGACCATTTGTGGACCATGAATGGGAATGCAGGCAAATTGAAGCTAATGCTGAGGAGGAGGTGATGAGAATCTGATTTACACTAAAGACAAAAAGTCTGAAAGTATACAGTGTAATTAAAGGATTTTTATCATAGCTTAGTTATTAGCCTTTTCTGCAGTGGTTCAGGATCAAACCTGTTTGATCACAAATGAACTTAAGAAGCAGCGACACTCAAATAATCTTTTTTCTTCTGCCTTCCAACTGCAACTGCTATCAGTGTTGGCTGCCACTGGTATGCATGAGTAGCAGTTGGGCTCATGATCTTACTGTGACGATAGATAGCTACACTTTCTTACTGTAATTAGCAGTTTTATAGGATTGTTCAGCGTCTCTAAAACTTATTTGCTATTGCACCACTTTAAAAGCAATCTTTAACCTCTTGTAATGAAATACTAGCTTAGACAGACACGTCTAGTAATTGAAGTCAATTTTCTGCAAACTATAGATTCTTTCATGTTAACTTTCTCTGCAAAGTACTGTTATTTTTGTCTCTAGAAACTGAGGAAATGCTAAAAATATTTTCCTGGATTTCTCATACTTCAAATGTAAACACTTTTACTAAGAAATCTAATTATGCTGAAGAGGGGTGGAAAACTTACTCTTTGAACATAGTGAAATGTTCTGAGGATTTTTATTTTTTGTTCATTTAAAATACCGTTTTTTTCATGGAACTGTTGCATCATCTTTTTTAACAGGGACTAAGCCTCTTTGAATTTAAGAATCCTTCAATCTACAGGCCACTTCTTATTGGTGTGATTCTGATGTTTCTCCAGCAAGTAACAGGCATTAATGCAGTTATGTTTTATGCAGAAACAATCTTTGAAGATGCAAACTTCCAGGTAATCAGAGTGTGCTGTCAAATGTCTATAGTTTCACTTAGTTAAGTGTTGAACATGTAACAAACTGACTTGATACTGATCCTATGTGCATCATAAGTAACAGAGTTTGAGTTTTGATAGTCGTCTTTTGTTTTAAATTACAGATGCCCTCTTAACTGTGTTACTCTGGCATAACTGGATGTTATTGTTGGTTTGTTTTTTTTTTTGTGGGGAAGTATGTTTTGTCTGAAACTTTGATATGGATAGAAATCTTCAGTATAGTCATCCACATAATATAAATTTTTTTAAAAAATACAGTTACAAATTTAGTGCTTCAGAAAAAGTCAGACACTGGGGGAAGTTGTGACTTATTGGTCTCTTAGTAGGTTGTTTAATATGTTATGTTAATTAATGTGGATGTCTTTATTTTAATGTATTTCTTCTCCTAGTTAATTTACTTTGTATAGTCTTCCTTGTTCCAGAGTTAAGAAACAAATGCATCTCTAATGCCTTATACATGATCCTATTATCAGCCTGAAAGAGCAAATTCTTCTCCCTGTCTCCTATTTTATTTCAGAACAGCAGAATGGCTTCTGTTGTTGTGGGTTCCATACAAGTATGTTTCACTGCTGTAGCTGCACTTATCATAGACAAAACCGGAAGAAAAGTGTTGCTTTATGTGTCTGGTAAAGTAACTTACTGACTTTTGTTCCATGAGAAGAAATATGTAGAGTACCAGAAAGTGTTGGAACTACTGGGGGAATTGCTTTGTTTTCTAAGTGGATTACAACTGATGTAATAAATGCTGATTCATAAGAGGGAATTGTAATGTTATATATACTTTGTAGGCTGAACTCCTTGAAACTACTTATAGCTATCTTTTTGTCTTTTTACCAGACCTATTTTTACTTTGGACAAATTGTTAATAATTATCACACTGCACACTCAATAGTAATGACTGCTGTAAAGACTGGTTTAATTGACATCTTTCATTCTTGTTTAGGCTAATGTTTATTTCCAATAACGTTATCTTTTTAGAAACACTTCTGCTAGAGCCAGCATATTTTGCATTTAGCTCTCAGAAAGAAGAGTACCTAAGCAACTGTCATTGACAACTTAGTTATTGCTTACTTTTCAGGGATAATCATGGCTCTCAGTACTGCGTTGTTTGGGTTTTACTTTAAAATGGTCCTTCCAAATGGGAACAACTCATCAAATGCTGATCTCTCATTCACTTTCAACTCAGTATCTCCAGGAACAGAAACTAGACTATCCTGGCTTGCAGTAGTAAGCCTAGGGCTCTTTGTTGCTGGTAAGTAGAACACACTTCTAAGTAAATATTACATGAAACGTGAACTTTCTGGTGAATATGACAGACTTCTTCCATTTTCTTCACACTGTTGAAAAATGGAGCTGTGTTTGACACAGATTTTTAGTGTATTAGACAAAGTGATGCTGATAATTCACAACCTTTGTGATCAAGCAAGAAGTTAAATAGTTAAGCCAGCGTTCTGCAAAATAAATTTGCACCTCCTTGTGCTGATACTAACTAGTAATTGCTCAGGCTTAATAACTTGACAGCCATTAATGCGGAAAAAAGGTCCCTGGTAGTATCTGAGCCAAAATGAATTCTGTGATAGATCAAGACAGCAGCAAGTTAAAAATTAATCTAGTTTCTATGTTGACCACTTCAGAAACTTCTTAAGATATTTTGCTTGTTAAGAATCCTTACACTTAATTTGATTTAAAGTGTGCTAGTGTTTAGCATGCTCCCCTAAAATAACATACTCTCATAGCATTATTTGCCTGACACTCTCCCCTTTGAAATCTACCTAACTTGCATTTATTTTCTTCTTTTTGTATTTATTTGTATTCTTTTTGTACAGGTTTTGCCCTTGGCTGGGGTCCAGTTCCATGGCTGGTAATGTCTGAAATCTTCCCACTTAAAGCAAGGGGCATATCAAGTGGTGCCTGTGTGTTAACAAACTGGGTTATGGCCTTTTTGGTGACCAAGGAATTTCACGATTTTATAGTAAGCACCATAAATCAAAATTCAACACTTATTTTTATACAGAAACCTATCAAAGATGTTTCCGGATAAAGCCTTGGGACACAGTCCTCTTCAGCAGTATATATGGATTCTGGTTATATAGTAGTGACTTACACTTTTTTGGTTGTTTTCTCCCTGTCTTAGGGTTTCTTAACATCCTATGGGACATTCTGGCTGTTCTCTGCCTTCTGCTGCCTCAGTGTGACTTTTGCGGCCTTTTATGTTCCTGAAACAAAAGGACGGACCCTGGAACAGATTGAGGCCTACTTCAGAAAATCTTAGATCTCAGGCTTTTGCTGATGTGAAACCTTTACATCATTATTTGCGGTGCTATTGCTAAAACTAATTGTATCAGTTAGTAGGCAGTCACACAACTTCCTCTACAATTGTTTTAACTAATTTTGTAAAATCTACTTTTTTTTTTTTTTAACCCCCCCAAAAGTCTATAGGTACTTGCATGCACTTGATTATCACTGCATACTCGCTGTAGTGTATCTTACTTCTGAAGGTCTTGGACATTAGTTTTTTTTTTAATTACTGTTAGGTGGGTTTGTTTGTTTTTCCTGACCTGGTGCAGACTGACAGCAATGGCCAGGAAAGAATGTTAAATGTATTGTCTGCTGTCTTTTTTGCTAATAGGTAAACTGAGATATAATTTTAGAAATAATGAAAAAATTTCTTGTCCCCCTTCACATCTCCCTACATATGTTACAATGAAGAAATTAATGCTACAGTCAGGACTTTAATTTCAGATTGCTGTAACTTTTCCTTTATGTGTGTTACTGCTTCTGCATCTGGGATGCCTGCCCATGGAATAAGTCCTGATCCAAAGTGTAGACAGATGAAGGTTGGGTGCTAGTATTAAGATGGCATTATTTCTCCCAGAGATGTCAGGGAGCTAGGACTGCATTTAAATCACAAGACAGGTTATTGCTCTCAGCAGGAGTATTTTAGAGTTTCATTTTCAGAAGGAAGGAATAGATCACATAAACTGAGAAAATATACCCTTTGCCACAAAAAAGAGGAAATTCGCTTTTATAGTGTTAACTTGAGGGGTAAAAATCTACCACTGGAGAAGGTCTGAGTCTTATCAACACCCAGAAACAAACCAGTCCTAGATTGGTTCTTGGCAAAGAGGGATAGAGCTTAAGGCCAATCTCATGAGTGTAACAGTCCTTAAATGAACAACAGGTTTAAAACATTTCTAGAGAACTATAGTAATTCCTGAACCAAACTTAGAAAAGCCCTGCAAGTGTGAAAGAAAGAACTGATGTAAAATTTATTACATATGAAGAAGTAAATCATTTCTTCCTCCTCCACAATAACAATAAATCGCACTTAAAACATTTCCAGCTGTGACAGGAATGTTTCTATTTAGATGCTACATCTAAAACACAAAGCATATGCACTATCACATGACATTAAACACAATGGTAATACATCCGCATTTAAGACAAGTGGTAGTAAAGAGGTTTTGATCACAGACTCAGCATCTGTCTTAACACGGCAGTTATTAAATTACAAAACAGCCCGCTAACATTCAAAGTCTCTGTTAAAACTGACATTGCAGGTTGATTACACTTTCTGCAAAAATCTTTAGAGACAACATTTCCATTCAACCAGTTAAATATGTAATAGAGTATAAATAAATAAGAGAAAAATAATCTCAAGTTTTTCCCCTCAGATCATTAACCTAATATAATTTTCAGTAGCAAAGAAGTAGTCAGTTGCAGGTCTGCAACAACAAAGTGAAGCAGCTAGACGTTAAGCAGACTGGTGAAATGGCTGTGCTCAATTGTAGTAACAGTATCCATACTTTTTATCCTGCGTGCTTGCTGCATACTGTCACAGAAGCTTCCTCATATTGTTAATGCAATGTATTTAGTTCTTAGAATATAACCTGTTTCCCCACAAAATCAGGCTATGCCTGGATTTCTGAGAAAAGTGCTTTTACAGAATTAGCAAGCGCTGGGCACATGACATCAAAATTGTTAATAATGACACTATTCAGCATGACACACACGTATATATACACATTAAAACATCGAAACTGAAAAGACTGTCTCAAATGCAGACTAAGCCAAAAGCTCTGGGAAGCTCTTGCATCTGCAAATGCAAGTCATAAATGCACATTTTTAGAAGGGCCTGCAGGAGTTTGAAACTGTGGCTTATCCAAATACACCTACAACAACAGAGAGGAAAGGGCAGGTACAGCAACCTTAGGTGTACATAACAATGCTAAACTTCTTACGGGTGCAATCTAACCTGTTACCTGCCTTAGTAAGAACTGTTTTAATGTTTATTGAGTTGATCATCCAAAAATACTTTGAATCAAGAAATACTTTGAAATTTGAATCTATCAATCAATTACAAATGCTTGTATACTTGCGTATGTATAGAAAGTCACATGAAAGCAGACAGCAGAACTGCTACTCATTCTGGGTGCCACTTTACATCCAGTCACGCATTTCAAAAACAAACATAACAATACAAAAAAGCCAGAACAAATTAAAAGTAGTAGTTCCAAACTAGGAAACAGCTGTAAGCAGGATAGGTCACACCTGTCCTTTACAAACCAAGCAACTGAAGTTATTAATCATGTTTGTTCATTCAACCTAGAATCTATCTTTTGCCATCTTGGGAGCACTTAGCCCTTCCATGTCATACACTTCAGTCTCTTCTCTCTCCTCAGAAGAAAACATTTCATTACTTTCCATTTCTGAGACTAGAAAGAAAGGACATTTAGACTGGAACACAAGTAGGTTTATCTCTGTTCTGGAGTTCCTAAATGCCAAGCTGTAAAGACCTTGGGAAGGACTCATCAAGTCTCAGCCTTAAGAGCAACATATTATGCATGTGGGAAGGAATAAACTAATGTGTCCTAAGGCTCTTGACTCCTACTCAAAGTTGTGATGGTTTATAGGCATGTTATAAAGTCAGTGTAATAGAAGGATGATGAGTTGTTGAAAATGTTGCTTATTCATTCTTGAACAGAATCAAAATTCAATAACATGATACTCCTCAAGCTGCTCTAGTTTATGTAGTTTTGAATGGAGATATGTGGGGGTGAGTTTTGGACTAGATGATCTCCTCTAGTCTCTTCCAACTTTATCTATCCTGTGATTCTATATGCATCATTGATGCTATTGAGGAGGTACAAGTCCATTCTAAATTAGCTGCCTCTTCAGTCCTGTTGCTTGCACCAGAGTAAACTAAATTCCTATGATTTAGTCAGACTAAGGTACTGTGCGGAAGTGATGACAATTCCATTAACCAGGAGAAGTTAAAAGCCCTCCTCCTCCAACAAATCCAGCAAACTAGGACACAAAACACTTCTAGCAGCATCTTATCTGTGTTAAGAGTCTAGAATTGACTTTCAGTTTAACTTAGCTTGATAGCAAACATTCAAGCTGGTAACAGCTCTTCCTTCCACAGAAGGACTTTTCCACACTTCTACTGAAGGTGGTGGTAGCAAGCTTATTTTCCAGTGTTCTCCATTAGATGAAGTTACTACCCATCCTTGCTGCAGTTCCAAATATTTTCTTTCAAATATACGATGGTCAGCCAACACCAAGAACACAGATAAATGGCAGTTTTAACACAATATGTGAAAGTCAGAACGGTTGTACTTAAGATAGAAAGGGCTACACTTTTTGTGCCCAAGGCTACTTTCTAAGCTAATTGAATAGAAGCATGCACATTGCAGACAGGAGAGGAAATAACATGGCTTCAAGGGACTGGAGTGAACAACAGCATAGCAGTCCATCCAACTAGCCTTCCAGGAAGCCATTTCATTTTCCCTGGTCACTTGACATTGGTCTGAAGAAGAGATTACACAGATGTATTAAAACTTTGTCCTATTCTGGGACTGCTAGTTCTGAGGACAAAATTTCATCACACAAAGATGTACATAACGTGTGAGAGTCTGATGGCAGTTTTAAGCCAACAGAAATCACATCCTTGTACAGTGGCTATTTGTCAGTTGTCCTAGCAGCTTCACATTATGTGTTATTTTGTCTTTTAGGTAAGACAGATGTCATAAAGAATTTCACAGTTTGGTTCTTGTGGCTTGCATCAAACAAAATCCAAGCAAAACTACCACATCCCCTGTCTTCTATCCACACTCCAGGATATTCTCTGACAGTAAATAGTTAATAAATGACATGAATGTGACCATAAAGCCTTACTTATCACATCTAGGATTAATATTAAAAAACAGCATTGCCTGACTTCTTCATCTCCTTTTACTAGGTCTAATATTATTCTTGCATGCCTATACGGCATACTGATTAATTACAGAAGCAAAAATGGTATTGTTAAGGCACTACATACTTTAGGAATGGAGACAGGTAATTTTTCCACTGTTCAGATCTTGCCTGTCCTGTATAAGTATTAAGTCTTTTAGGTCTGGTAGTTTCCAATGTGACTTACGTAACACTTGACCCATTAAGTTAAGCCATATCATAAAATTCAGCTGGCAGGTCAGTAGAGGCAGGGTTAAGACAAGTGAGTTGACACAGGAACTATGTTTCCATCTTCAAACTATTCCAATATCTTGTTCCAGATAAATACCATGAAGCTAGTCTTTTTATTTTTTTGTCTTGCATAAAATGTAAATGCTATATCCCTTACAATCCTTTTGCCACTTTTTAGTTTTGGCTAAATGTCATCAATGCTGCTATTACAGGCAGAACTACAAAGCTTCTCTCTGTTGACGCTGTTGTGGTTGTGCTTAAAGAAAGTAACTCTTGCCTTATACCCTATCTATGTATAGTCACATCTTGGTTTGACACAAATACCAATCTTTATCATTCTGCCTACCACCACAGGCAAGGGTCAGGTACTGCCAGGCTCTCTCTATTCTTCTACAGTGCTCCATCTATAAGGGTCTTTCCATGTCTTTTCAAGGTATACCTGAACATGTTTGTTCAGGTTCTTCACTCATTAAATCATGCTAGAATAACAGAAGTGAACTTCTGCAGTACATTGAAGATGTGATATTCCAAAATCACTAAGCAATGTTTCCAGTTAAAATATTATTTTAAATCAAGCCTGAGTTTTGCAGCAAACTGGTACAGACTTCAAAAACACCCACACAAAAGAAATTAAGTACTACACACAGAAATTTGTGTACTGAAAAAGGTGATGCTTCTGCTTTCTAAAAATATCTAAGTGCAAACAGTGCCTCCTAAAGTGGATTCATTAAGTCCGCAGAAGTGTTCACAGCTTCCAGAAGGATAAGGACCATATGATAATTCCAGATCAATTGTTCTTAAACCTCAACTGACAAGATAAATAGGTTGGGGTAAATGACTGTGGTCAATTCTGAAACAGAATTACAAGCTCCTGCAAAGACTTTAAGGTGGCACTTCCTTTCAGAAGTTTATTAAGGCTCACCCCACACATCCATGATTGCCCAAATACTAAAAAAATATGAGCAGTCATTGATTAATACTGCTTCTGCTCCTGAACAAAGTACTGCTTAAATTATTGCTTCTTTTCTTGATCAAGAAAAAGAAGTGATTCTTTTAAGTTACGGCCTTGCATATTTTCTTAGGTGGAGATATTAATCCATCATAATACAATAAGCAGGGCATGAAAAATTTTGCAAAAAGTTTCACATTCAGACAGGCAGAAGCAAAAGGTGGAAATCACCAGATGGTCATGCTTACATATACTACACATTAAAAAAAAATAAAAATCAAGGATACAGAATTATGTCTACATAAGCAGCAAGAAATACCTGTTAATAAAGCCCACATCTTTCTACATAAAAAGCCTGGAAACATCACGTTTTCGTGAAAAACAGCAAACTCTTTCAAAATACCGTTTAAAATTGACTTTTTGGCAGAGAGGGAAGGGTTAAAAAATAATCAAGCTTAATGGTGAAATTTTGTCCATTAACAAAAAATTTTATATGGCTATTTCATCATAGAAAACTAGTTTCCTAGCAGTAAAATTTTAGTCTGGTCCACTTAGAAAAACATTTATCTGAAGCAGTGACTTCTATTGTTGGTACAAGAGCAAACAACAAATTTTGATGCCTGCAAAGGAATCTTTCTATAGTCAGAATTAGGGGGTGGCTTCTGCCTGTAGTGAGGAAATCTGAAGGTGCATCACAGAAAAGTTGTTCCAGTAGATGGAGAAGTAAGTATAATTTTGACTTAAAATTTTTAAGGAAGATTTGTGTTTTTTTTGTTTGTTTGTTTGTTTGTTTAATAAAATTTCCTCTGCTCAAAGATTCTTAATGCTGAAACAGTTTTCAAGTTCCTCTAAAAATATGTACACAGGTCAGAGAAAACAGCATGTTAATATGTCACCTGATCTTTATAGAATATTCTTGATTCTTCATTGAACAAAAAACAGCTGCATCATTTCAAGGACAGACTGCACTGTTTGAGAAGATCTTGCCTAGAAGCTTTTTTTTTTTTTTTTGGCTTTTTTAAGATTAAAAAAAACAACAAAAGGAGTGATTTTCATTAAAAAATTCTTCTTCCTACATTGCACACTCTGCTGTAAAACAACTCACAACATTAGTAACACCAATTAACTTTGTGGAATGCTACTTCAGGTAGCTCAGAATAAGTAATACTTTTTATTTACTTCAAATTTTCAAATTTCAGCCTAAAGCTCTCATTGATAACCTACCTTTAAAATACCACAGAAAAGTAATGGTTCATTAACTGAAATAAGAAAACATACAGACGTCAAAGATGCAAGCATCACCAAACCAGGCTAAGCAAGCCAGAACAACATGAGACCTATAAAGATTAATCACCAATACTTCCAGCCACATTTTACCACTAGAAGCACTGTTTGTGACATTCCTACAGAGCTCACAGAGTTGTAAGAAAAGGTGAAGTAAGGAACAGTCTTGTCTGTCTTCACTTCAAGTCAATGATGTCTTCATCATATAAAGAAGTCAGATGAAATGGATAGCTAAATGGTGAGCTCTCCTCCCTGTTTGCTACAGAATCAGGATCTGAACTAGTGGAAAGATGACGACCCTCAGAATAGCTTTCGAAAGAGGCTGAAATTATTCTGCAAAGATGAAGACAAAAGTCACTAAAAAAAAAAATAATAAAAATACACAGAAAAGGGGCAAGTAGGGTCAGTGACTATTTCTGGATACAATCAAGTCATCCTAAAGACAGATCATTCAAACTGACTTTCTCTCTGTTTAACTCTGCTTCCATAACAATTCTTATTAAAACAAAGACTACAAATATCAAATTATTGCCAAAAGGTAATGCTAATGAATTTTCCCCCTCCATACAACTTCCAAATAGCAAAATAGTTTACACTGCAGCAGATTAACAAAAAATAATCTCAGTCTGTTGTATCTTGGCTGAATTCTGCTGCCACTCATCACAAATGCAGGTTATAAAAAGAGAGAAAACATAATGACAGTAGGGTCTGGTAAGCAGAGCCAAACAGACAGATGCAATAATGTTTATTTGCAAAATTTATTTTGGAAATAGCAAGACAAGAAGATACGAAGAAAACAATAATCGAGTCTGCAGTGTGAATTTAGTAGTTCAAGTCATAGTGACAGGCCCAACTACAGTAGGTCCCCCACAAAATCCCATTTAGCCTTGCTTCACTCATAACATGTCTTTTAGCAACATGCATAACCCATTTCAGTGCTGTTATTAGATACTAAACCATACATTAGCATGAAATTCACAAAGGCCTCAGTCAATCCCTACCTAACTGGGAAAACCATAAACCGATTGAAAAGCAATCAATTCTCAAAATATTTATGGTCTAACTTAGGCTCCTTCCTAAAGCCCATATATTTATTTACCTGTCACTACTAGTTGATCTTACTGCTCCCTGCTTGGGGTCTGACTGTCTTCGAGGAATCTTTTTTTGCTTCTGTGCACCTTCTGTCTTGGGAATAGGCTCATCCAAGAGGCCTCAATAAAGGAATAGAAGTCTTAATATTCTCATCAGAAAATAAAGCATTCACAAAAATGTTTTTTTTATTTTCATTTTTTCACTGATTGTCATTTTTAACTAAAGTCAGCTTTCAGCTGACTTAGAATATGATCACCTTATATATGACTGGACACTATCTAAACTACTTGCAAACAGCATTTTCTTACTGTTTTGTTTGTACTAATTATTTATGAACACTGGCTGTCTGTAACTAATCTGATTATAATGAGATTAATCCAAAAATGCTTCAAAAATAAGAAATTATATTAGTGGTAACTGATATATATACACACTAAAGAAGAAGGGGAGTTTACCCAGCAATTCTTTACGTGTTCTGTTTGCAATTTCTTTAATTTCCATGCGAGATAAGGATAGTGAGTGAGTAACAGGAAGAGAGGTAATGCCACTGGATGTTGGAGTAGTGACGACTTTAGGAGTCAAAGGTGACTTCAGAGGTCGTTCAATGCTTCGCCCTACCAGATTACTAAGAGGAATTTTATACAGGTTTTTACATGTAACTTCACCTGAAACTCAAAAGGAAAAAAAGAATGTTACTCTTTCACAACAGTGAAACTTCAAAATGAAAAATCATACAGAAAAGTTATAATCATTGTGTGCGGTTCTTTTTTAACTCAAATAACCTTTCTTGCTTTCTTCTTCAAGACCTTTCTTGCTTTGCACCTTACAATATAAGTAGGCTAGGAGAAGGAAGAAATAGAACCACATTTTGCACTGACATTTTGGCTTACAGAGGAAAAGATTTTTCACTCTCAGCAAGGCGATGAAGCAGCAATGGAAAAAGGAAGTAAATTTACATGTCATAAGGCTGATGTCCCAACTGTAAGACCACAACTCACTATTCTGTTAAAGATTCCCCAGATATTTTAATATGTTGCCAGAATACTGGAGTCTGGATCCCAAACAGTTCAAATTATGGCTTTTCTTCTTAAGTGACATAAAATACTCTGCATTTTCTTAATTTTTGGGGGGAAAAACTGAAACACCTAACAACTTATCATCAAACAGCACTGCCTTTTAAAAATTGAAATTCTGATTCCTTTCTCCTCTCCCTTTCTGCCAACAGTATCAGATTTGAAAGTCCAAGGCATACATACATATTGCATTATCTAGTTGATATTCCCATGTTTTTCCATTACTGTCCGCTTAAGATCAACTGTTCACAGATTACCTTACAGTAATGTGATTGTGACTAGACATGCTTCTTATTCTGAATTTGAAAAGAACTCTAATCACCGAGGGATGGTTTAGCTGTTTTAAAGTGAATGGAAAGGCGTACATGAAGTCTGAAATTTTTCTCATAATTTTATGCCTTTTTTTCTTTAGTCTTGGATATATTGACAGAGATTCATCTAGCTAGTAAAACTTAATTCCTCCTCCCCTGTATAAATGATTTCTTCAAAATAACGCTGCTATGCATTCAAAAGAGATACAGTGGGGCAAAAATTCAGCCAAGTGATTCAGATCCTTGGGTAATAAGATTTCTATCTTCCAGACTCTCAACTATTAACTCAAAATTTTTTATCTGATCAATTTCATCTTACTGAAGATCAGCTACACTGAGGTGTGGAAGCTGCTGGAACAATCAGAGCTGCCTAGAAACCATATTACCTTCTGAAGAAGAAAGAGAACATTCTGACATGTCATAAGCTGTAGGTGTTTGAGGTGAACTCCTTGAACTCATTTCCTTAGAATTGCTATGAGATGATCCGCTTACTGCAGCAGTAGCTTTAAAATAAATATCCGACTGAAATGACAAAGAACTTATCATTAGTACTACAAGACTTTCTTAATCATTCGCTGAGTAAAAGCTCAAATGTTTGTCCACTGTGTTTCATTGTCACTGTAGCTGCACTGCTGCTAACTTGATTAGGGCTGATCAGGGAAAGGCTATCTCACTGTATCTTGGGGAAACTTCTGTGATGTTCAGAACAGCATTTGCCCTATAAACAATTAAATACCTCAAGTATGCATTACTGCAGGCAATAAAGGACAGTGAGCTCAATTCTGATCCTCACTGTACCTAATACTAAGAGCACACAGATGAATATTTTCCACAAATGAAATCACACTTGTGAGCTTTGGTTTGGTTTGTATTTGGCTTAGACAACTTTTCATGTTAAATAGATCACAACATCTCAGAAACAGTCAAAAATGCTTTTCTTGTGTCTTACCCTTGATGCTACAAGTTGAAGCTCAGGCACAACTGCTGTGTGGACTAAGTTTCCATTCACCACTAAACGGATCTCAATGGAATCAGTAGTGAAGGCAAGTATGTAAGGGAAAGCACAGACTGCAATGAAACAAAAAGTTATTTGGCACAGAAGAATGATAAACGTAAATGTTTCTTGGTTGCTCAATGAAGACTGTTCTTAAGTATCTGACCTACTTCAGCATCTCCCTTTCCTACGACAAAGTTTGCCTAATGAACTGATGAACATTCAGATACATCAAGCCTGAACAAGATTTCATTCTCCATGTCTGGCAGAACGCAGACTGAATAGGAAATAAAAATCAGAAAAAAGAGAAAGGAAAAAAAGTTCAGCAAAGGAAAAAAACTTTGCACCAAGGGTCTACTTTTCAAAATACACTATGAACAGCCACTTAGCAGAAGTGGCATCATTAATGCAACATGCTTATAGAATCACAGAGTTATCTATTTTGGAAAAGACCTTCAAAGATCATGAAGTCCAACCATCAATCTGACCTACCACATTCCATCACTAAACCATATCCCTTAGTGCCATGTCCACATGTCTGTTAAATACCTACAGGAATGGGGAGACTCCACCATACCCCTGGGCAGCACATTTCAATCATTAACTATCATCTCCATGAATAAATTCTTAAGAATTTATTAATTTATGCTTATCAAAATTTATTGAATACAAATTTTTATATGCAATGTTATTAATTTTATTTTTGTATGTATTTCTAGCACACATGCTGCAATTCCAGAAACAGCCAAGCGCAGGTCTAAGCGATATTGATAAAAGAGTAAAAATGAATGTATTCTTACCAACGGCATAAGGAACTTGATTCCAGCAAAAGTGAAAATCATAAGCTGATGGCTGGATCAGTGGAGAACCACCATTAAAAGGATACACCTTTCTATACTGGCAAACATCTGTTACAAAAAAACAAAAAAAAAGCACCCATCACTTTACACTGTAAATTAAAAATGTCAACTTTATAGGTGGATTTCACTTAAGTTTGGATGATACATAGATAAAACTCAAACATCTATGTAGAAGCCTCTTTGTATCTAAACAGATGATAAGGAAAACGAGCTTTCATTTGAACAGTTAAAAGATAAATGCAAAAGAGCTACATTTTAATAAGTTACCATGTTTCACAAAGTAAGTGGTATTCTGTTTCAACAATCATCAGCTCCTTACCTTGTTTATGGTAGACAAATAGGCAAGAACATTTCTGAAAACCATGTCAGCACAGCTGTACCCCTCTGTCTGTTAGAACTGCCATGCAAGCAACCATATGCTAGTTCATGTATTCTGAGGACTGTAAAAAACATAGGATACTACAGATACCAAGATTTCATTAATCATGTTACTTGTGAACCTCTTAGCTACCATACATGCACTGAAACTAAGTCTTCTTATGAGTCAGATATGAACTGGCTACTTGGAATGCAATTCTAAGTAATTAATTTGAAAGATCTAGATAATGAAGAATTTAATCTTCCACTACCCAATTTTCTTCTCTAAACACTCTCACTAGTGCTGATAAACCATCCTTTAAAATAAGAAGTCACGTCAACAAATTAAAAGAAGGCTTAAGAGATGAGAAAGAACTGCAATCATCTTTTTATTTTTACTAGTTCATATGATTGCACTGGAGGCTCCAGGAAAACATCTGTGAGCATCTCATACCTGCTCCTATCAGTTCTTTTCAATGTTTTTAGGTAAAATTCTATTTTAAGAGTTGATTTGATGATTCTTATGGGTCCCTTCCAACACAGGACATCCTATGACTTGATTTTTTTTCTATGATTTATGTCCTTAGACTGAATCTAAGTTTATAACCAGAAAAGGATTAAAGGCCTTTTTCTAAATACAAACTTAGAACTGTCAAATCACGTGTTTTCATATTTGTTCCACGATGATCTTTTCTTAATTGTAAAACTCTCTAAAGACCAGAAGTAGGTTTTTCTGTGATAATGTCCTAGAAATAGAATTCAAGTAGCAAGACTGTGCATTAGGCTTTAAGATCTTAGGATCCTGAAGTGTACCTTTAGCATCAAATAAGTTTATCAGCTTTGGATCAGCAGTAAATCTATTAGAATGGAACTGATCCTGTGCAGAAGTACAGGTATGGGAATTCACCATGCACTGACACAGAGCTTTTTATTTCAGAAGCAGTGGTAAGTGAACTAGAGTCAGGTAGGATATGGCAAACTAGGAGAACCATTGAGGCCTCACAGTGTTACAGAAGAAGTTACACTTAAGAAATACTTTCCCATAAGTACCAAACTAACAGCCAGTGCTAGAATTTAGGTGTATTTATCATGTTTCCATCGATGCTCACTTTGAGAAGGACAATAGGACGCAAAGCCTGAAATAGAGAAGGCTGTGCTTTGTCTTTCTGTGTATTGTTTCAAAAAGGCTGTTTCATATCTGTAAGTTATATTTTTAAGAGGATTAGAAGCAAAAAAGAAGAACAGAACATGTGTGTTATATCGAAGACCATTTTATAAAATGAGATTGAGAGAATTACAATGAAAACATGTGACAGTGCAAAGAAGTGTGCAGAAGAAAAAAGCACAATAACAGAATGCAGAAGTACAAAGAAGAAAACAGGCGGAATGCTATACACACCCTGGAAACATCCAGTGTTTAATTAGGTAAAGAATGAGGAAATCTGAAAGAATAGGACTTCTCTTAACATCTATTGTATGTCTAATTCAAAATACCCAATAAAATAGTACTTCAATTTCTAGTCTGCCCAATGTGTATTTAAGTTGAAAAGAATGTATTCTGAAATACTATCTGTGAAACTCTGAAATTTACTTTAAAACACAGATCTAGACCCCAGTGAAAAAATAATTCCATACACAGATTGAGATCCTACCATTTTCAGTCTTCCCTAGATACTTACAGTTATAACATAACAGTAGACCAGCTTCACCATCTTCATATACGTCAATAGCTGCAACAAAATTAACCTGCAATGGAAATGGGAAATGGTAATGAATATTCAGATGAGATACTGTAGTTATTACATCCAGGTTTTGACTATGAAGCAATACAGTCAGTTGGTGTTGCTGCACAATTACAGGTTTAAAAATAAAAATGTGATTTTTCACGTTCAGCCTGTTTTGTGATTCATTTTCAGAGTGTTCTTAGGATGGAATTCAATTTATTTTGTATTTAATGCTGTACTTCAGTAATGAATATTTAATACTATGCCTATAGCTTTAAGTGATAAAAATTTACCTAATTTATTTGGCCATATAAATTTTGAATTAGTACAGCTGTGTATCAACAATTTTTTACATCTGAAGTTAATCATTCACATCCATTTTTAGAAATGATTAGAATTATTTAATTTTCAAAGATGTCTAAGATCATTACCTTCCCCACAGCAGGAAACATTTGAACTCCTCCCTCATCCCCCCAAAACTCAGGATGTTTACTTAAATCACAACACTATGTCTTAGTTAGAAAGATACAGTTAACTTATTATTTGGTTGGGCAGCAGTTTCTTAAAAAGAACTAAAAGATACACACAAATATTTTAGCTTTAGTAATTTAGAAATAAGCAAATCTGAATGAGATACTGGTGGCCAAAAACTGAAGTTATTTTGCTGCAATCTTGACCAATAAAACATTGAGAACACAAAGAAAAGGCGAAGTGCAAACTGTTGACTAAAAGGACAATAACGGCTTTGCATTCATGCTGACAGCAGTATTTCAGAGAAACAAAACATAGGCGCTGTCTTCATGTGTCATGCCTTGTAACTACCTCTCTTGGAAGTAATTATCATCACACATTCCAAAAGAGATAAGTATCTCAGACTTCTCCTACAGCAGAAGTTACAGGACTGAAAAGTAAAGGAGACATCGGATCTTTGTAAACAGTGCTCCCAGCAGGTCAGCACAGCAAGCACTAATTCTGCAAGAAATGATGTTCATTGTGGTTCTGCAAGAAAACAGTTTCCATGCTTAAACTTACCTTGTTTGCTTCAATATGATGCAGTCTGTAGGACTCCCCAGTACTTTCATTAACTAAATCAAACTGATGCCGATAAGCTACACAAATCATATTGTCACTGTCTTCAGTAGGTCCATCAACTAGCGTCATAACCACTGGAGGGTCAGAAAGGCATATTTCCTGTATGGTAAATAGAATCATAGAATCATAGAATCACTCAGGTTGAAAAAGACCTTTAAGATCATCAAGACCAACCACAACCTAAGCATACTACCCTAACAACCCTCCGCTAAATCATGTCCCTGAGCACCACATCCAAACGGTTTTTAAACACATCCAGGGATGGTGACTCAACCACTCAACCCCACTCCCTGGGGTGCCCAGTGCTTAACAACCCTTTCTGTAAAGAAGTATTTCCCAATATCCAACCTAAACTTACCGTGGCGCAACTTGAGGCCATTTCCCCTTGTCCTGTCATCTGTCACCAGTGAGAATAAACCAACACCACTCTTGCTGTAAGCACATTTCAGATACTGGAAGACAGCAACAAGGTCTCCCCTCAGCCTCCTTTTCCTCAGACCGAACAGCCCCAGTTCCTTCAGTCACTCTTCACAGCCCATATTCTCCAGGCCCTTCCCCAGCCTTGTTGCCCTTCTTGGACCTGCTCTAGCACCTCAATGTCCTTTCTGTGCCCAAAACTGAACACAGTACTTGAGGCCTCACCAGTGCCGAGTACAGGGGCAGGATTACTTCCCTGCTCCTGCCCATCACACCATTCCTGACACAAGCCAAGATGCCACTGGCCTTCTTGGCCACCTGGGCACATTGCTGGCTCATATTCAGCCAACTGACCATCAGTGCACCAAGTCCCTTTCCATCAGGCAGCTTTCTAGCCACCCTTCCCCAAGCCTGTAGGGTTGCCTGGAGTTGTGACCAAAATGCAGGACCGGACACTTGGCTCCACTGACACTCATACACTTAACTTTGGCCTATTGATCCAGTCTATCCAGGTCCCACTGTAGTGCCTTTCTCCCCTCAGGCAGATCAACACTCCCTCCCAGCTTGGTGTCATCTGCAAACTCAGAGGGTGCACTCAGTCCCCTCATCAAAAATGTTAATAAAGATATTAAATAGAAGCAGTCCCATTAATGAGCCCTGGGAGCTCGGTAAATAAAATTATTCTCTTTTTCAGACTCTTAGTCTGAAAGCACATGTTTCTAAGCACAGAAACATGACACAGAACAAACAAATTCAATTAAATACATCTGAAAGATTTCTTTGGCACATGAACAGTGGAGCTCCATCATACTGCTTCTTGCTTATATCTGTCTGGAAGTCCAGAAAGACAAAAATGCATGCTCTTTACCTTTTTGCCCCACTAGCTGAGTGCTGCTCAGTCTGTAAGGGCAATTAGTGACCAAATTACACGTACCCGGATATATTGGAACTCCTCTACTGGAGATGGAGAGCTGCCTGTTAAACTGTTGCATGGATTGTATTTCTTTGTGATTAGAAGTAGTTTGTTCCGAATAGCCACAACAATCCTCAGTTCACTGCCATGGTGAGTATTAATGGCATATAAATGGCAGCCTAAGGAAACAATGTTCCAGATTGTAAGTATTTGGGGGTAATGACTGCTTTTCTGTTCTGTATTTGAACAATGGTTAGTACAAGAGTGCAACAGAACTGCAAACATCCGAATAGGATAGCACTAACATCTAGAAAAAGACAAAATGATGCAACTCTTAAATTTTATTTTTCCCTTTATTCTTTTTGCAAGTAAAATAATAAATACGTAGATTACTACTATTCTAGAGCGTCCAGCTTTCCAACGAAGCTTACTGCCGAAGATCAGAAAATGTTTACATCCATTAAAATAATCAACACTCAAACTATTCTGAGTGCTACTATTTAAAATAGGTTCGTCAGTGTTTCTCCAATTTACAGTGATCTTAATACATGAATGTGAGACATACAGTTTTTATTATATCCCTCAATCCCGAAAGCAACACACATGCTCTTCTCTAGAGCTTTTCATCAGCAGTGATTATCAAGTAACATAGTAATTTTACCAAGCTCTCAACAGGCAGGCTGGACTACACCCAATCTTATTTTCAGATAAAATCTTAACAATGTTTGAATTAACTGTTCAGAGTTAAAGAAAACAACCAAACAAAAGAACTAAAGGTGAATATCTGCAACAGGGAGCTAATAAGCCCCTGACAAATACTGCCACAATAGTACAGTGGATACTTTTAACATAGGATAGTAAAATCACCTTTTGTTCTCTCCAATTTATTTTCTCTGCAGTCATATTTGCTTCTTATCACCTGCTTTGTTTCTATATCTTTCTGGACTGAACTCAATCTGAAGACAAGAAGACGGGAGTCTTTCCCTGAAGGATGGAAAAAGCCGAAAAACAAATTAGAAAAAGTTGATGGCGTTCTGAAACTAATACTTCCAAAGAGATGCAGCTCCTAACAGGGCAGTGTCATAAAGCAAAACATAAATAATTTTGCTTCTCTGGGTGTAAGTAGGAATGTAACAACAAGGAAAGACTGCTTGTGAACACTGTCTAGGCTTTACAATCCTAGAAACCAATGCCTTCAGTTCAGTAGAAGCTTCCCTTCAGACTATGTTGCAAAGAAAAAAAAAAAACAACAAATTATATAAGATCTTTAAAACAGTGAGATGTATGCTACTGGAAAACAGTGAAAATACAGCAGAGGCAAACTAAAGGCAAGAGTAGAAGGGTTAACTATAAATGTCTAGCAGCTAATAACGAGACTCTTAACAGAGTTTGAAAACCTGGAGGCAGACTGGTTTTGCCATTCTTCAAAGTTACACACATTCAAGATTCTTTCCAATTGCAAAAATAACACCGCATCCACTACCATAGTTAAATCTATTTTCCATGAAGACAGATGTGAGCAGAATACACAACTCATAAATTTAAATGAATAAATAATGGTGCACTACTATTAACAGTTGGAAATAAGCTACACTTTAAGAACAGCTCCTTACATAAGAAACCAAACTTCTTAAAATGCAAACAAAACAAGATTTTCTGACACAGTTATACTCTTTCAATAGACCAGCTGGTATAACTGAAAAAAATTAAGCACATTTTCTAAATATATAGCCAGTGTAGATCCTGCTATAAATACAAAAGCAAGCTCACAGGTGCTGTCTTCAGTTCTGATAGAAGAGCAACACGAATTAGGACGACCTCTGGCACATGCATGACTTTTTTACCCACAGAAAGTATTAAAGTAAAGAAGGCATAACGCTTCCTTAAGTCGATCATAACTTGAAACATCGACTCAGAGCAAATTCTTCCTGTCAACACTGAGAAAATGAAAATAAAATGGATGAAATCCCTCTCTTTTCACAAATATGTACACACAAGAACGTGCGCTTCTATGAGCTTCTTAACTATGAAGGAGGTAAGGTGCTGGAAGAGGCTGCCTAGAGAAGCTATGGTTGAAGCTACTGATCTCTGGAAGCATTCCGAATCAGGCTGAACAAGGCTCTGGGCAACCTCATACATTGAAAGATGGCTGTGACCATGATGGGGGATGGAAAGGTGTACTAGATGACCTTAAAAGGTCCCTTCCAACCCAAATCATTCTATGATTCAGCGTGACCAGCTTAAGGTTTGCACTGAAGCACGATTTTGAGCATATATAGGGATTTCTTTTTTCCCAAACCTTTTAGAAGACAACAACAACAACAAAATAAATCAGAAGTTGTTGTATCTTTTATTCTAAGTAAGACATTTAATATGTGCCACAAGTACGATGTGACTGCCCCATGAGTCATGCAAATCCTAAAGCATTCTAAAGCATTGAGACATGCTCAATAAGGAAATAGCATATGAGCAGCCCAGAGGAAGTCAGCAAAGGGAAAGAGGTGGAAGGATGTCAAAAGAGTAACAATAAAAGCTCTAAAACCTAATAAAAGCAATTTAAAAATGGCTAGGTGGTGTGAGAAAAGGTGATAATATAAGTCTAGTGCTGCAGGAATTAAAATGTAGAGCATTTTTTTCAGTAAAGTAATCTCTAAAAGAAAAAGAGTTAAAATATTCCTTTCTACTGATGTGCCAGCCAAATAAGCAGTTACCAAACATATTCATAGGAGAACCAATTAATAGGGACCTCTCCTACCTTTGTCTGTTCGGGCAATCAAATAATCCAGAGCTTCCAACACATGCATCTGCTTTATTTGCAGAGTTTTATCAAATACTTGAACAGCGGTTTGACCATCTAGAAAGGAAGCACACAAATTTCTTTAAAATTCTGCTAAAATTTGGTAGTTAGTGGTTTTGAACTTCTTCTTGCAATAAAAGCCTTTTTTTTTTTTATACTAAAATAAAGCATCCTGTAGGAAACTGCAAATAATCAATCAAATAATAGCATCTGAAATGACAAAACATTCAGAAATCTGCATTAAGATGGGCCATCAAATATGGCTTGATTCTGATGCAGAGAAAAATTCTGCAAATAGGTTACATAAATGTAATAAATTTACTTGGATTGGTAACTATCCATGGAGGTGAGAACTTACCAATACCTGAGCACAGCTTATGAACATATATTTTCAAGACCATGTTCAGATACATAAATAGTTAACACAAAAACACATGATCATTTACTAACCATCTATTAACAAGACGCCAGCATCTGTAGAAACCAGCAAGGACTTGCCCCAAGAATCTGCACAGACGACCTCATGAGGAAAATTACTGCAGAAAGACTGTGACTCCCAAGGCTACGAATTAACATAAGGGATACACGATAAGTATACTAAGAAATACAGATCAGACAGACACAGAACACGATGGACAATGGCAAGCAGTAACATGTAAATACATTTGGCAGAATACATTTTTTAAGTTTGAAATATCAAAATCTAGTTAATTTTCTTGCAGAGAAAATACTCCCCCTATCAATTGGATTTGGAGACTAATATAATAATAAGGCACATTCTTGAAACACTACAACTAAAACCCAAGTAGCTGATATTCAGTGCAACACTGGAAATACTTAATATTATTTTTTTTATTTTTTAAATAGCACAGACTTAAAATGTATGCACCACCATGTGCACACAGTTCACTTATATTTTGTAGTTCAGACTGTGTTTAGAAATGGTACTGTTACAGCTGTGTTTCCTCCAAACTCTGCTTTTGTCATGTGTTCTTCTTATCTATCTCCTGAAATCTGTCCCCTTCTCCCTCCATCCCCAATATTAAACAGTAAACTGAAGTCTGTAACTCTACAAGCACCTTTGAAGCTTCTTTGTATAAGATGCACGCAGAAAAGCGTGAATTACATTTTCTGATCCCTGGAAAAAAAGATCTTGTAGTTACAGAAAATAAAAACACAACTGAATTTTGTTTTAAACTTGATAAAGAAGTAAAAATAATTTAAGATGACTGCCTATGGAAAACACGTCTTTTTCATCAAATAACCTAATGACGTAAAGATATCCAGATTTGCTTGAGAAATGCTTCTACATCCGGACTCATCCTTTAATTGCTACTGCCTGCAATATTTATAACATTATGCAATACATCTCTGTTGCTATAGCATCTAATTATGTAAGTAAATAAATAGTATATAGAACTGATATACAATGCCATGTATATCATATGGCATATATGTATGCCATATTCACTAGCATTTAATTTTCTAGTAACTCTCCTTAAGCAGACAGGTTCACTCACCTCCTTTTTACAAAAGCTTGTAGTTGCCAAGGTAGCTGGTGTATCCCCTTTCACACCAGTTTTCAGTTTGAGTGCCTAATACAAGAAATACTTTAATTAAGTTAAGTTTTTGTCACTAGTATGTAAGTTAAAGACTATAAAGAACAGATAATTTAGGACAAGAAAGTAACTTACGGTTTGGATTTTCTATTACATTTTCAGTAATTAAGAAAGAAAACGTAATTATCTATGTCCTGAACAAAATGTACACTGACCACTACGGAGCTCCTAGACTATCTTCCCAGAAAAAAGATACACAGCTTTTACAAAAATGGAAAATTCAAAACACCAACTGTCCGCCATAGTAATAGAGAGAAGCCCTTATATCCAGTGATGTCAGTTGGCCATTTACACAATTCAAGCAGTTAGGACTGGTTAGCAGATGCTTCTATCTGTTACCAAGCTGGCCTTACACTTGTAAAACCACATACCAAGCCACTCAATCAAACCATGCATTGCCTGTGGGGTGGTGCGTAAGGCACAAAGTCACAGCAACACAAATTCTTCAGCCACATATAACTAGAAACATGCTGATTCTAAAATCTCTAAAGAAATACTGTATAAATATATTTTCATTGAGACAGATAACAAGTCTACTTAAGGTATCTTATATATCTTCCTTGTTTATATTTACAGCATACAAAAAATCCAGTGTTTCTATAAAGTTAAGACACAGTCTTGTAAACATAAATGCATACTTCTGAAATTGATCCTACCTGACCAAGTCTGACAAATTCTGCCTGCCGAGCTTCCTCCTTCTTCCGTGTTGATTTTGGGGACTCTGGTAACACATCACTGAAGGACCTTCTGTTCAGCATGTTCTAAAAGAGAAAAAAGGGGATTTCTTTCTTTTTTTTCTTTCTTTTTTTTCAATTGAGTCGAAGTTTTCATAATCTTTTAACTTTATTTAATTTGGTGTGGTATCATTTACATTTTCTGCCTTTCTTTTTAATATATTTTCCTATCATCAACTAACTGGATCAATTAACTGGATGGTTTCGCTGAGAACAGAAGTTGGCTATTCTTCCAAAATTTGACTGCTTTATTTTTCTGCTTGTCATTATTTATCACTCATACTATATAATTCAAGCAAGGATGCAGACGTGCAGATGAATACATGAACAAGAAAGCTTACGCAGACCTATTTAGCTAAGAAAAATAAACAGTGAGCAAAAACACCTTTCCAATTTTAGAAGTATTCGATTTCTTTTTAGTTATGAATCACATTAAGACTAAGTCTTCATCATCTAAAATGAAGATATCTCATGCTTAATCACAGTAATCTAAATTTGCACATAATAAGATAAGAGCTGTTTTTACAGTAACAAGACAAATTCAAATACCTGTTTTGAATATTCAGTTCCTAACTTTTCTATACTCTTGTTGCAGGTAAGCTTATACAAAGTGCAAGACTGCTATGCTTCTCCTCAGACCTGTCATTAAGTGCATGAATAGTCCAATCCTGAAAGGACTGTCCGTCAACTTTCATATAATCGTAAAACAAATTATGTGACAATTAGTATTTAGCCTAATATATGTAATTCAGTCTTCTCATCAGGATTTCAGTCCTTGAACACAGTAGAGCTTTTCATGTACTAGAGAAGCACAGAGATCACTACTGACTAGCATTTACCTTGTGTAGATCAGGCATCAGGTCCTGGTATAAAGAGCGGATCAGCATGTCTAGAGTGCGCTGACGTTTCTGAGAAAACGTTGGTGTTTCCAAGGTGGCTTTTTCCCCATTTATTACTAAAAATTGTAGAAAAGAAGGTATATTACTTTAATTGCTTTGCTACCTTCTACTGACTACAGTTTGCTTCTGTTCCAATATACCTAGTTTTCTCACAGTTACTTAGTTTTGCCTCCTTTTTGCATGTTTTTAGTAAATAACAATCCCTCAAGCTTAAGAAGGAAGAAGGGCAGAATTCAACGAAGCGCCCCAATAACTACCTAACCAATATAAAAAAACAATATAAAAAAGACAGATTGCTAATCAACGTAAGTACAAAACCAATTTAAATATTCTTGAGTAATATGTGAAATAAGTTATCAGTCAAGTTCCTGTCAGGTAAGAATGCAAAATCATGATTATTATGCTAGGTATCTGTTACTGATCTTCCGGTCACGATGACGAGGCCAACAAAACCTTATTTAAGGTTTTTAAAGAAGTCTCTGGCCAACAAAACCTGGTCTTCAAGGGTAACTTCAATTATCTGGATATTTTTTGGGAATAAAACACAGTGGAGCAAAAGTCCTCCATCTGGTTCCTGGTATGCATTAAGGACTGCTTCCTGTAACAAGCGCTGGACCAGTAATTACTAAAAAAGTATTTCCAGCAAAAGGAAAACCGACTTACATTTCACCAAAACAAAATCCCTGAATTCCTGGTGATTTGTAAACACAGGTGGAGATGGAAGTGGAGGCCCAAAGAGAGGAACGCTTTCTTCTGAAAATATTTTTAGCCTGTTGAAAGAACAAGTATTTATCTATATCGGAAGCCACTTTCAAAGTCTGTCATTTTTACAGATAGAAAAAAAGAACCGGAAATGGTTATCTGGGAATGTCTGGGAGAAAAATTTCCATGAGCTGAACAAAAAAAAAACCTCATAAATGGGCACTCAATTGGAATTAATCACTTGAACCAAAATATGAATTGTTTACTTTCAAACGCTGCACCTATTTGGAATAACGTGCTCTGTCTAATCTCATATTCTGCATCAAGAAGAAGAATGACGGTATGAACCTTCTCATCCAGCATAGACCAAAATAAAGATTCCCAAATATTAAGGGAGTTAGAGAAAAAGGCAAGAAGATCCAATTAACATTAGTCCACTTTCTTTTCACCTTCACATTCCTGTGCATTTCCACATTTACACTATGAATGATTTCAAGTAACATTCTTAAATTCTGAGTAGATGGAATTGCAGTTCAGCTATACAAAAAGCACCAAATTTTAACTGGTAAAGATCCATTTTTGAGGCAAACCAAGAAGGTTTAGCCAATACAGTATCTTGAAGATACAAAATATTCATGCAACCAGTATTGCAGCAAATAAAAGAGAACAAAAAAACAAAAAAGAAAACAAAACAAAAAAAACTACCATCCAGACTCTCAGATGACTATGAAGTTTGCTCTTGAAGAATTTGAAAATCAATTGAAGAATTAAAAAACTTCCAAAGCAATACAGGAATTATTGTATGTTGGAATCATGATCAGATCTGAGGAACAGTTTCTGAAACCACGGGTTGTGGTTGGTACCAGTGGCCTAGATAATGTGTTGAGAGGAAAAGATTAAAATAAACACCCCTTCATGAAGACAGGTGGAGGGAGATGGGCTTGTTCAGCCTGCAGAAGAGAAGGCTGCAGGATGACCTCACTGCACCCTTCCAGTACCTAAAAGGAGCCTACAAACCGGAGGGGAGCCAACTTTTTACAAGAGTAGATAATGGCAGGACAAAGGTTAAGTTGAAAGAGGGAAGGTTTAGGTTGGATGTCAGGGGGAAGTTCTTTCTCAAGAGAGTGGTGAGGTACTGGTACAGAATTGTGGATGCCCTGTCCCTGAAGGTGTTCAAGGCCAAGTCAGATGGGAGCCCTGGGCAGCCTGGTCTAGTATTACATATGGAGGTTGGCAGCCCTGCCTGTGGCAGCAGGGTTGGAGCTTGATGATCCTTGAGGTCCCTTCTAACCCAAGCCATTCTATGATTCTATAAAAGTATGCCTTCAACATTTTTACTGTATTTTACTGCATTAATCTCAAGACAATAGCTAGGATCAACTATGCAGCAGAAGTCATTTTGTTTACTAAAGCCTACACACGAGGCTGCAGAAAAGCTTGCTGTTCAGATTCTGCTGAGACCTAACAGACTCAGTCTTGGACAGTCTTCATGTCTTATAGCTAACTGCAAAATACATTGGTGAAGAATACATTATTTACCAGCAAAATTTCACCATGTTTTAAGAATGTGATGTGCAACCGTACTTCTCTTGACTCAAGATCCCTAAAACTGAACTAGTTTGCCTATCTACAACCAAACTCAGACCTGTAAAGAGACAATCCACAAGCATCATATCACCACAGTTAGTGTTACTGATCTCTGCAGTCAGAATCTTGAAGACAAATCTTCCATCATTTTGTTTTGTTGTGCACACCTTAGCTTCCAGAATGTCATTATTACAATGATTAGAAAGACATAACTTAGAGCCAACTTACAGCTACCTGAATCCAGGTCCATACTTCAATTCTAAAAGTTCAATTGCCTTCCTGACTTGCAGGCAGGTGTTCAACACAAAATGTTTTCCCATTACCTCTAATCCATCAGAAATTCAGAATAAAGTTATTAGTTACAACCTACCTGTAACTATCATTCTGCTTATTATATCTCACTAAGGCAAAAATATCTGTCAACCAGTTAAGGAAATTAATCCATTACTAATGAAGTTCACATGTATTTTTATCACTTTTTTTCCCTACAGCAGATAGCAGATTTAATAACAGTCAAGTATAATTATCAGTATTAGGACAAAATATTCTAGACTACATACATTCTACTTTTATAAAGGGAGTTTCATACAAAATTAATGCATTTGAACCATTTCAAAAATAGAGCTACTACTATAAACACAAACTTCCTGCTGTTTCATAAAGCCAAAAGTGTGCTACATTGTTTTGTGTTTCACGTGAGTTTGACAGACTTGAGATTAAAAATTCATTTAGATGATAAAAAACACCACCGCCACATGATTCCCAGATTCACTTATGCTGAAACTCCCACTGAGAAAAAAAGAATCCTACAAAATAGTTCTGCTAGAAGGGTTCTAAGAAAATAGAGAGGAAGATATAAACCAAGAATACTCAAATATGCATTAAAGATGCTTAATAGTGTATTGCCTAGTCTTCAGCTGCCACTACAAAGGGCTAAAAATCTTCCCAAATGACCTCACCAAGTTCATATAGATATAAGGCACATCTGCCCCTCAGACTCATTATGAAAGCACTTAATTCAAATAAAAGGAAAACAGTAGGTGCATTTTTCAGTAAAGCTTCTCAATGGGAGGGTCATGTACCACAGGGAAATAGAATTTTTTTTTCATAAAATTTTCAAGAACCAGTTTTCTGGTATTATGAGGATAGTACCTCATATCTTTAGTATTCTGCTCAATGTTTTCCATTCATCAACCCATTTATTTGGCACCATCTTTAAGCTGTTTTCCTCAACAACAAAAAGGCTGGCAAGCAGATCTTTCTGTTGCAGGTTCTACCCTACCTACTTTCCAGTTATGTGTGTATGGCAATCATGCAAGTCTTCATGCTTCCTCAAAAACATTTCCAAGTTATATAATAACACAAGAACATCTATAAGTGTCCTCACAAGCTTTACCCATCCAGTAATCACTCTAAAAACAAATTCATACAAAGTAAAGCCATGTTTCTCCTCTGTGGGGAGAAACGTCATGTCAACAGCCAAGAATGTCTTTCTCATGAAAATATTCATAAGTGAAGACAAGTTTACTACTTGAGCATGCAGCAAGCCTGGTATCCAGCCCACACAAATCACTAAGGAACAAGAAAAAATGGAAAACAGTCTGGCATAAGAGGATCTGGCAACATATACCCCATGACCAGGAGGCTGTTGAACCTTGAAATATTTGTTATAAATTAAAGAGCAGGGTTAATTAATTACGTAATAAGTCCTCTTAACATCAATAAAGGAAGAATTTCACCTTTGTTTATGAATGCTGACACTCTGATAAAGAGTTATGTTGACTTGGTAAACTTTTACTATTAACAATATTTGGGTTGCTCTGCTAACAAAAGGATTTTGTTTCTTTTTGTTTTAAATGTGGAATTTCTTTTGCTCTAGATGCCTCTTCCATGTAGAGTAAATTAGATTATCATCAATCTAAAAAGAAAGATTAGCAAGAAAATTCCAACAACAGTGAGCAGTCAACCTGACAACTAGGTTTAGAAGTTGAAGCAGTGATCACTTTTAAAGACTTTTCAGCAGAGCATGTGTATAAACTTTTTCTTCTTTAATTACATGTTCCATTCAATCTGGTCTAAGAGGTGCCAGAATGGGATATATAGATCACCTGGTATGATCCCCACGACAGTCTGATGCAATTGACAGCAGGTTTTTGGAACTACATTGTCTTCACAATGTTTTCAAACAAAAGTTTGAAAAATACATGCTGCAACAAATCTGGAAGACAAGTGGTTTAAGGTCTGAAAGTCTTCAGATACAGTGAACCAAAATACATGAATACCTAAAATAAACAGCACCTGAACATGGTAAGATAATATTCAGTAGTAGAAGCAATCTTACTTAACATCAATAACAGAAATATTATTCTGAATTTATACTTTATAAAAATTTATAAAATGTCATGAAATTGAATTTGTGGAATGATAAAAATAGATGCTTTTAATAAAAAGTAATCTGACACAGAAGTAGTCTTTTAAGCAGTTTGACACAAAAAAATTATGCGGGAGACTTACAGCTACTAGTCAAGTAGTTGAAAGTAAAGAATGCACCCTGTAAACAGCAAATAGGAGGAAGTTAGAGTAAATTTAGAAGCAATATTAAAAATAAATAAAGACAATAAAAAAGTAGAAAATATAAAGAAAAAGATACGTGTAAAATGAGAGCGAATCATGGATGGCTTGAATGCTGGAGCAGTCTCTTCTCCTTCCTGAAATACGATAGTAACAATGTCATTTCCAATATGCCGCTTCCTTTCTACCTGAAAGAAAAAAAAAAGGGGAAAGAGAAAGACAGAGAGGGGAAAAGGGAGGGGAAGAGAATGACTTAAAGGAGATCAATGCCTTAACAATTCTGTGACAGAACTCTGAAACAATACTCTTAAACTGGATGCAGCTTACAAAATGTCAAGCGTTAAGAAAGAGTATCATAAATATCTTTAAATAGTTAATACTATCTCCAATCATAAGTAACTAAATTTAGCAATGTCATTTTTTTTTTCTTTAAATGAGCAAAGCTGTCAGAATTTACAAACATTAGTATTCACAAACAGAAAATGGAACAACTAGGATTCCATAAAAGAAAATCCATTACTTGAAATAAAAGGAGAAAAACCCCAATTCTGCATTACTCTTTTAGAATAATTGAAGTCCTCTGGTTTAATCTGTGATCTTGTTACTCAAGGCAGAAATATGAGAAGACTGACCCTTCATAAGGTGTCAAGTGGTGAATGCAAGACAACATATCTGAGAAGTACCCAAGAACCTACCTGGTCTTCCTATGAGAGAACAATGGCATTGCCTTACAGCAAATGCACAAAGCTTACCATCAACACACTCACAAGCAGACTTTCTTTCAAACTACATTAATTATTACCTAAGTATGAGCTGTATGAATTATCAGAACACTTTCATGCATACCACATGTCTAATTTTCAGCCTTCATAAAATCTTTGAAAGCAATGGCAACTGCAGCAGTGAAGCTCTACAAGTCATCTGACTGTCAGAATACTTAATCATTTTTTAATTAATCAATGCTGATATTCTTTGCAAAACTCTTCATTTCTAAATTATGAACAGGCAAAAATATCCCTATCTTAAGAAGTTTTGGAGTCTGTGATTACTGGGAAAGGAGATATGGGGAATATTAAAGGGGGGAAAAAAAAAAGAGGAAAAAAAGGGAGGATGAGAGAAATATGTACCTGCTGTTTGTTCTCTCTAGAATATGGTAGCATTGTTGAAACATGGAACATAATTTCATGCCCTTGGTAAACTGTATAGATGGAAAACGTTCCTGTTGTATCATCTGCAAAGTAAGACAACGTTCTTAGCAGAAATATGTCCTTTAAATTTTCAAAAGATTCAAAAATATTTCAGATCATTCTTTCAAATTTTCTTTAGTCATCCTTTTTTCTGATCCATTTTAGATGCACGCTTTTGCACAGATGTCTAAACTCGAGTTTGCTGTCTAATCTGTGTATCTGAACAGCTAAAACCTATGATATCCTTTACCAAGCCTTCTGAAATCACATATAGGTCTTAAAGACATAATGCCCTATCGTTATGAAGTATGCTAGGTTATTCTCCATTCCCTTCACTTTAAAATACAAGTCATATAAATACTTCTCTTTCCCCAGTGAATTAAGCTAACCTGATTTACTGTTTTCTGGTGAAGCAGAACATTTAGCAAGTATATGAAAAGTCTGTTTTGAGATCATATTATTTCTACAGTACACATACTATATCCATGCAATAAGCAAAAAACATTTATACTGCAGCCTCTGCTTCTTTGCTTCAGATGAGTTCTTACTTTTTGTGTCCAGTCCCCCTCTGTAGCCAGTCCAGCCTTTCAAAGTAATCGTGTCACCCAAGAGATGCAAAAATCTTTGAAAGCTTTCACTTCCAGTTTCTACACATGGAAAGGAGAACAGTTACAGTAGAAAAGCACGTGCAGAACACCTATCAAAGATCGATCAAAATACAGGAACAAGTCCTGTATGCAGGACATAAGGACCAGAGTTAGTTTCTCCTAGTGTCATCCAAGCCTTCTACCCTGACAGAAACAGCCTCTCAGTCCTGCAGAATTATAGGAAAAGGATCATCATGTGACACTACAGAATCATCTCTTCAGCTAACTCCTTAACACTATTTAAGCACATGGAAGAATGTAATAATGATGTGAAACTATAAGAATGAGAACTAGAAACAACGAGACCTTTTGCAGGTAACATGAGTCGCCTCCTTCACTTCAATTGCTTCTTTTTTCAAACCTTAACTTTGTATGGTCTACTTCTAGAGAGAGAATTTCAGCCTAGTCCAAGCTGTAATAGTAGGGTTCTTATGGCAACTTTTTGTAGAAACAGAAGAGTCTATGCTACATTTTTCCCACCCAACAAAAGCATGAAAACCTAACAAAATTACTGTTAAAATAATCATTATCTGTCATCTGGGCACTATCCTATGGTTTTCAATTGCATGAATAGAACAATTAAGGAAAAGGGGAAAGACTCACCATTGCTGAACATTTCATCATCTGTAAGCTGCCCATCCTTAGCATAAAGGACTCCAAATTTAAAATTCACAGATCCCTAAAAAATTAAACCAAAGATTATTAGCTAAAATCAATCAATCTAAAGGCCTAAAATAAATGTCCACAATCTAAGGTTTTTTAAAAATATGTAGCTTTGTGTTTATCTTGCACGTGTGAGTACTCACCTCATATCAGCTCCATTACATGAACAAATAGTAGACATCTCATAATTTACCTTTGACTAATGACTATGAATTACATGACATACTTTTCATAAGGGTGCTTAAAGCGATTTTCAATTTCATGTTGAAAATGAACACTACATTTTTTACTGCAATAAGCATCAACTTGAAATTTGTCACAAATACGTTAGGACAAATATTTCAAATACAAAGTTCGATTCATTGAATAGATCTATGAACTAAGAGTGTAAGCTTACATTTACCTCTTGCTCTTCAAGAACCAATAAATCCTGTAAATAAAACACTATGTTTAGCACTCTCATATTAAAGACAAAAAAAAAACAAAACAAAAAAACCACAAATCAAATTATTACATTATTGCATATTTGTTTTGAAATGGCCAGTTCAACTGATAAAGGAAATTTAGTTGTTAACACCAAAACCTCTTCTCTCATTTATCCTGCTACTGTAACAAAGAAGAAAAAAAAATATTCACAATGTTTTATTTTCCAGAAAATAATAAAAGCAACCAAACATGGGAAGTCACAACCTACCTTTTGTATATCAGGATGAAAAATTTCCCTTGGTCCCTTCTCAAATTTCTCAAGACTCATTGCGCTGAAATGCAAATGAAATGCTGTTTAATAGAAGGGAAAGCACACATTTTCAACATTAAAGTATTATTAGTTGCAGTTATGTCTCCTATTGAAAGGAATTGTTCAAAGAGTCTGTCTAATATGGAATGTTTTGTGGAACTGTTATTTCTTTTTCATAATGCTAATCTGTAAGATTTCCTAAACTTCTTTTGGATTTTAAGAACAGAAATTACTAAGACCTTGAATGGAAGTCAGGATTATGTTTACTGCATTTAACACACAGATTCAAAATCCATTATCCTTCACTCTGGCTTTATATATACCTACTAGAAGCATTACATATTACTCAATAACCTACTCTGGTTTGTAAGCTTTTCTTCTGTCTCTTCTAAAACAATACAGAATCACAGAATGGATTGGGTTGGCAGGAGCCTTAGAGATCATCTACTTCCAACCCTCCTGCCACCAGCAGAAACACCATCCACTAGCAAATGTTTCTCAAATTTCCATTCAACCAGGCCTTGAACATTTCCAGGCATGTGGATAAGAAGAAAGTAAAAATTAAAAAAAAATGTCAGTTTAGCATAAAATTCAAGTAACAAAGATACAAAAACAGAACAGAAAAACAGAAGAAAAGGTATTTAAATGAGAAACATGATCAACTGCCTCAATAAACAGAAATATTCAATATGCTCCTGCATTTACTATGGCTTTGTCCATTTATTTCAGTACAGAACGCAATCTGTCTGGAATGCAGCAAACTAACATGGATGTCAAATTTGGAGCACCTTTCCATTTTTATTTAAGCTAAATCACAATGTAGATTTGCTCCATTTCCTTTTCAAAGTGATTACAATGTTCCCATTAATTCACAACAAATGGGCTTATTAATATACTGAGAACTCTTTGGAACAGTTCCTACCAAGATTCACACTTGGTGGGAACAGGGTAAGGTGCCAAAGAAGTATTAGTCAGCTCTGAGAGAAGTCTCATGGAGCCTTCTTAGGGGCAAAAGAGTACTCAGATTTATTTCATGCCTCAGTGGGCAAAAGGAGGTGACATTCATCCAACTGATCCCAAGCAGCAAACACCCTGTTTGCTTTCCCTGGAGAAAGCAAGGAACAGGGGTCTAAAACAAACTTCCATTTTCCATTTTCCTTCAAAATCTGGAGGATGGAACACCTACGTGAAGGCGTTCCAATAAATGAGTAACGACATAGCTAACAGAATCCAAAATTTCTTGCGTCTGGGATGTCTGAATAAGACTGTGCATCTTGGTGAGAGGATGGGAGAGGCTGTGTTACTAAGTGATGTTAGGAAGTGATGTTTCAGCAACTAGTGGACAGACATGGAAAATCAGGTGTTTATACAGGTAAAGAACGCAGAGCTGACAACTAGGGACAATGTTCACTCCAGACATTTCAATATATTGGTAGAAGCTCAGTGAAGGGACTCGGTTCATCTTAATCAGGGAGGTAGAGGATGTCTCTTGACATCAAACCAAAACCACAGGTCAAGAGAGAAAAAATTTCAATGAGTCCCAATGTTCTGCCTAGCCTCTCTGGCAAACTCAGTGGACTGGGGCCTCTCATAATACCTGGAAAGTTGTGGTGCTACTGACTTCACAATATATGCTCTACTCCCATAATATTTCTCTTACATCAGCATTAGCAGTCTTATCCAGTGAACCAGCCTCAACTGAGCAAGAGACATTTGCCTGCACCCTATTATGTATCAAAGGTTTTGGAGATCCGATGACTGCCCACTCATCTGACACATACTACCTGTTCAGCAAAATGAATACAATTATTACGAGTTTCAAGAGGAAGTACAATCCTTGCATAAGTCAAAGGCTGAATTTGAAGTTTTCAGAGAGGACCCTGAGAAAACATGCCACATAACTAGATTATAAAAACTGCAGGTGAAATCTGAATAAACACTGCAGAAAGGGATTCTGATGTTTCAGCTGATAATATAGTTGAAAGAAACAGAAATAGTATTGGGCTGCTCGCCAGAAAAGTGGCAGAACAGAGTATAAGCATGCTCATACTGACTGGCTGGGGGAAAGAATCTTCTTGCCTCACTGAAGGGTGTATAATGCACACACAGCATGGGTTTGCAAGGAAACAATCACATGCAGATATAATTCTTGGTTTCTCCCTTGTTTGCTTCCTCTTGTCAGTTCCACATAATCAGCTCTCTAGTCAAAATCTGCTGTTCTTTACTCCTGCTCCTGGCCTGTCTTATTTAAGTAGGTAGTTCTTCTCAACCACTGAAGTGTTGAGAATCAATCTATTTTAAGTTGTCACTTTGTTTACTACAGGACAGGCATTAAAAGTACTTTTTGCTGTCCTCGGTGATGAAGATTTGCAAACCTATTATTCCTGCTTTTTAAAATCTATCATGAAAATAATGAAACGCAAGTTCTGATTTACAGTAAAAGACAAATATCAGATAATTTACTTGTAAATACATACCTTAATATAGATTTCACTGATAATGTTTTTGTGGGACTGTAAGGGAGACATATTTTCTGAGTACCCTATAAAGTGGAAAAAAAAAAAACAAAAACAAAGCGAGGAGGCATTAATTACAAAAATACTGATTTTTCTATGTATTGAAATAAGAATATTGATAAAAAACAATTAAGTAAAATGCAAAGATCAAGACCATACTAGCTTTACTTAGTTGTATTTTCTACTGAAATAAACTGAATGTGAAAAGGCACTGATGATGCAAAATTATTTTTACTCAGTTCTGACTACACTGGCATGTAGGAACTTCAAAAGGAAAGTCACAGTGCAACGCTGTACTGAAAAATATTAAATCAATTGCTTAAGATAAGGATCATTATGGAGAGGTCCATAGAAAAAAATCCTCAAGATATCAATGAAACCAGTATCGCATTTGGCTATGTTCTTAGTATCATACAAAAATATCAGTATATCTGTACTATAAAGTCACTGCATAAATTCATCACAAAACATAAATCAAGAACAGCTTAGGCAACATTTCTAAAAATAATGCAGAACTCCATGTAAGAAAAATTAGAAAATATTTACTGTCATAAATTCCTGTCAGAAAGTTTAGTGTAAGCCATCTACTAAGCTAGCTTAGTGCTATCTACTAGGGTAGAATTATACATTCTCCTACAAAATAAAAACTATATACTAAATACTGAAATTCTGAAGAAAGCAAAAAAGTATATGATCAATGCATCTAAAACAAACAAGAATACAAATGAACAAAAAAAGGCAAATGAGCAATTAAGTATTTATTTCTTACCGTTTTTCTCCAAAGAATTGAATGGTATTGAGGAACACGCTGATTATTTTGGTCAGAAAGTACAACAGACAGAAAGAAAGGATTCTTCTCTGAGTCTGTACCTATATAATTTTGATGAACTATTGGGAGAAAAGTAGTATTACCCACTGTCAAGAAAACACACGTACTCATAAAATACACACAACACAGAAAATATACGCTTATTTACATAAATATTTATTTATACAAGATATGCATTAAAAGACAAGAGAGAAGTATAGATTTTAAGATGTAGAGGGGCTTAAAAATCTTCCTGTTCATTAGCAGGATTTCTTCTGCTTATAGAATATTACACGAAATAAGCACTTGCTTTCAATACAGGACAGAAAACACATTCATATTAAGTTAATACCATCCTTTTTCAATATATAAATAACAGGAATTCAAAGATGCCTTTTTCTTTTTTTTTTGCATTGAAAAAAATTAAGGCAATTCACAAAAACACTAATACCTTTTCCCAAAAAGTATTTGAAATACCATCTTGTATAATACTCTGGATTTTCCAAATGCACATCTGTCCTGTGCCATGTACCTGGAGTGTAGCCTGCAATCTGAAAAAGAATTGGGAGACAGTTCAGTCAAACGCTGCATTAAAAAAATTGAGAACGTAACAGTTGAAAAAGTCACCAAGCACGGTCAATTCATTGGAAGAATTCTAGTTGTACACCTTTCTTCTTTTTTTCCCAAAGCCAAGAATTATTCTGAAGTGAGTTGTTGTATAGTTGAAATTAAAGCATTTTTCTTCTCTCTGTTTTTTAAATAACTGCAGTCTTCTCCCTTCATATCACCGTTACAGGTAATACCTTAGCATCCAACTGAAAAGCAGGTCTTTTAATATTTAATTTGAAGACCTATGTTTTTAAAATTTAAGAGTAAATGAATAAATAAACAGATTTCTGCCCTCATAAGTTTCATTTTCTTCTTTCTTCCCAGAATATTTCTCAAGGACTCCTAACTGGAGCAGATAATGCTGTGGAAATTCTTCAGTATTGTTTCTGGATTGACTAGTTAATTTCCAAGCATGCCTCACTCCTTTTCCACTAAGAGCATTCACAAGGAATAGGCAATTCTCTATGTCTATTTATCATGTGGCATTCACCAGTCTCTCAGAGAACCTATCTATAATAAAAGATAAAGAGCTTTTAAACTGCATGAAACTGAACTGAAAAGCCAATCTACAGAACACAACCCAAGAGGGATTCAACACAGAATAGCTACTTTAATGCTGCACCCAGTACTGATGCAAACTAATAACTTATGATTCATATCAGTTCAACATAAGTTTACCAAGACCTTACATACTCTTCAAGACTATGAAGTTTTCTTTCTTCAAATATTACAGTGCTATTTACAGTCAAAAATGATTTTCAAAGGAAGATAGCCTCCCCTCCTGCCCACCCAAATTATTTAAGGAGAAATCTAAGTGTCCTTGGAGAACCTAAGGTGAATGACCCTTTCAGACTCCACTCAGCTTCATCTCATATTTAAAAATAAACATAACTGCCTAAACACATCTAGGAGGAAAAAAAAAAAAAAGATGCTATACCTTCATCACACCAAGGAAAAACTTACAAAAAAAACCCAACAAAACAAGCACAAAGGGGACACTGATGTAACATGGTGAATTAGAAACTGCAGAAGATAAAATGGGTATTTTTTCTTTGAATTTCATAAGCTGAGCAATTAAAAAAAAAAAAGGAAATATCATCTCTTTTCTTAAAAATTAAATTGTTGAGATTGTGTACTCCTGAACAAATAATTAAGCTAGTCTTGGGGGTAACAAACACCATTTCCCTCCTCTTGGATTCTTACATTTTCATATTATTTAGCATCCTTCAAGACCACTCTCCTAGTAATTAACTGTAAATACATCTTTCACTTGAGAAACTGAATTATTTTTTCAGCTTTACATATGTTTAACCACTTACCTCATCAGTGGAGCCATTTTCCACACGGAATCGTCCAGCTCTTTGAATAGCTCCATCAGCATCACTAGATATAAGCTATGAGAAAGTTTAAGATAGAGGCTCTAGTTCCAAAAATACCCCTATGATCAGCAACCGAATCTTACTTGGTTTCTCCTTCTTCCAGGTCTTATCAAAACTCATAGTGGAATCAGCACAGCTGCTGCCCATTTGACTACAGATTTGCAGTGATCCATATATAACTCTAAGGATACACGAATGGGAGAGTTATACACTCATGTAGCAGATCCTAACCTAGTTCTTTTAATTTTATATCCCTTGCCCTCCGAGGCAAGTACACATAAAATCAGACACATGCATACTTATGCTAACACATAGGCAAGCACACAGTTTTTAACTCAAATAATTACAAATGCCTCATCAAATATAACCATAATACTTTGCAGTTTTCAACTTATAGGAGAAAACAGACTAATTTCCATCTTTCTGAATATTTTTTTTGGGGGGGAGGGGATGTAAACAGGATATTTACATAATATTTTGTGTCCCATTAAAATTAAAGTTTCCTAAGTAAGGCTGTAAAAAGATTTCATAGCACACATCTAATACAGCTGTTCTGAAGTCTCTTTTTACTACCTTTTAATTTTCTAGTCCAGCTTAGAATAAACAATTTCCAAACTAGATGCAATTTTTTACCTGGAAATGAAAAGGATTTGAATTCCACATTAAAAGCTGTTTAAATTAAAGGATGGGCAAACAAACTTACAAGCTCCACGGATCCATAGTGCTTCCTGCTAAACTCTCCACGTCTGCAACCAAGATCTTCAGAGACTGAGCTGGAACAGAAATGCTTCATCAGTATACACATTCAACAAGCCCAGATCTCATGCAACTCTACACACTGCCATTAACAAAAGCTATCCGTGCTGAATAAGGTTTCCAATGCATAAGCTCATTATTGCAGGGAAAACTCCTTACAATGCGCACAGTGTAGCAGCCATTGCAGTCTGGCTTTCACACTACTGCCAAAAGAACAGAAACATCTGTGTCTCAACTGTAAGCAAAATCTACTATTAATTTAAATATCTATGTGACCATGATGTGACCAATTCGGAATTCCAAAGCAGCTTATAAGTGCATTTGACAAGTACACTTAATCTAAGGGAAGAAAAACTTAGCACTTTAAACAGGACAACTGCACTATGTTCAATAAGCTCTACTCAGCATGCTGCTACGTTTTTTTTCCAGAAATTCTTTTTTTAGACTATACACAGCAATTAAGCAATTATTTTAATTCAAAAGCATAACAAAGGAACAGCATTGACAGGTTTTCTCCACCTATAACATTTATAAAGATAAAATTGTCATGCAAGCAAAAGGAGACGAATTCCACATTCAAAGTCTACATGCACTAGCATCTACCATCTTACAACATTACATCTCATTAAGCAAATCAGCATGTTCTTCACGAGCTCAAAACAGATGGTGAACATCTCCTCTAACTATAGACACTAAGCCTCCCATATTTGTAACAGAAGGCATAGTTGTACATGTTACAAGCGAAATAAATATTTAGACGCAAATACAACAAGAATTTTGACTAATTAGTCAGTACCAAAGCTAGCAACTCAGTCACACCATCATATTCCCAAACTTACAGTTCACTCTACAGTCAGTTTTAATGGAGATTTTTTTTTCCAATTAAAATGACTATATTGCCTCTGAAGGCAATGAAGCCACAGTTCTGACATCCATGGTACACATACATCCCACAGTAGCAGTAATACCAGTCGCCTATAGGAACTGAGGATAATCCACATTACATACGATTTTAAAAAGCTCCAAAACAATCACTCAGTTGGAAACATAACTACATTGAAGTACTAAGGGCTGAACACTAGTCCTGGAATCAAAGTTGACCTCAGATGAATCTCACAACCCAGTATTATATACCATCAGTATCTGAACATTAGCAAAATGTGTGTGATCATTAGTGAAATATGTATCTTGAACAAAACATGCCATTAGCAAGAGACGTACCTTAGCTAAAGCATTATGAGAATGTATTAACCTTTTCTTGTTTAGAAGCATAGTGTCAAGGCCTATGAGTACACAAACGTACTTGATTCCTCCTTGAGCCCTGGCCAAACTTTAGGTGAAATCCAAAGGGAGAATGAAACCAGATGTTTCCAAGTTTGTCAAGTAAACTTGTTTATTCAAAAGTTTAAAAGGACTCTCTTGCAGCAAAGCTGGAGTCCTCACCTACGAGTGGGTGCACTGCATAAGACCTTTCCTTGCTGGAAAAGGCTCTAAATCCTTGCTGCAACTGGGGCTCCCCAGCAGTTGGGGATCTGGATAATGGTAAAGTATTAGGGCAATTGGAAATGTATATTTCTTAATCACTATCCTCACGTAGTAACGGTTAGTTGCATTGCCTTGTTCTGTTTTATTCTTGCTGTATAATTTCGCTTATTAACTCATTGTTTTAAACTTAAGTAAATGCACTTCTTTAACTTGGCGTCTGAGACCTTTGTGCTCACCTCATCCACTGGCAAGACATACATAAACACAAATATAACAACTTAAGCTTTCAGCTTTTGGTGACCTGCACAACAAACTAATGTTTGAACGTGAACAGTTAATAATCTTAAGTTTCCTGAGGATCACAATGAAGCACCCTCCAAGAAAACAGTACAATCTCATACTGGGAATATGCACAGTAGAGAAGCAAAAAGTCTGCAACAGGAAACAAAAAACAACAAAAAAAAAAGAGCTTGGGTCCTTGCACTTGCAGAAAAGGAAGCAGACAAACAGGAGAGAAAGTCTTTGGGCAGCTTGTACCAGTGCTCTATCACCCATACAGAAAAAAAATGCTTCCTGATGTTTAAACAAAAGCAGCTCTTATGCTCCAAGGGGTAAAATGCATCTTGTCTTCTCATGAGAAGTTTGTTAGTCCATTTCTTCAGCTTGTCGAGGTCTCTTTGGATGGCAGCACAACCCTGTGGTTTATCTGCCACTCCACTCAGCTTTTGTTTGTTGGTTGGTTTTTTTTGTGTGTCACCTGCAAACTTGTTGAAGATACATTTTGCCCATACATCCAAATCATTAAGGAAGATGTCAAACACAGCTGAATCCAGTACTGACTCCTGCTCTGTGACTAGTACTCAACTAGTCACCTGCCTCCAACTAGACTTTGCACCACCGACCACAACACTCTGGGCCCAGACATTCATCCAGTTTAGGCAAACATTACTGTGCGCCCACCCAGCTCATACATCAAGACAGATGAATCAATCTTAATGGAAATCAAAAACACCACCTTTTCTTAGGTCATAAAACATGAACATACATAAATAAGTTCTAGTTACAGTGATCATGTAGTGTGAGGACTTCACATGCAATACTTTTTTTTTTTTCCTAGACTTATTACTGTTGCTACTGAATCTGTGAATTAAACTTCTCCTGTAATAGCCCCACACTACTGCACAGAAGTTGCAGCAAACAGCAGCACTTCTGCCCCCTCAGTCTGCAAAACAGAGAAGATGGCCCAGAGTACTGCAAATCCTGAATGCACCTGTGCATGACACACCACCTATTACAGTTAACTTTCACTTGCTGTTGTTTTGTAGCAATAATTTACATATTTGAACTGTAAAAACTGTTTTAGATGGTCTCATTTTACTCTCATTTTACACACGCAATTTACAAAGTGTGTGCTTTACACTGTTTCAGATGATGCAAAGACTATGCATGTGTGAAGGGAAGAATATGAAACAAACTTTACTTCAGTATGATTTGCAGTAAAGAAAAAAATTCAAACTATTACTCCTGAGTTTTCATCTTTTCTTACAGAAGGTACCATAAAAGAAGAATATTTCAAGATTAGCATCTATACAGACAAAAATAGGGACATCTGATTTTTTTTTTCCCTTCCAGGTAGAACAAGGAGTTCTCAAGTTTAATTTCATACAGGATTAAGCCTCTTCTCACATATTGGGGAGAATTTGGAAAGTACGGATCAGAAATTGTACTCCATGCATTACATTTTAAGTTTCTCCATTCTGCAATTCATGTGAAACTTGTCATATGCTTCAGGAAGGAAACTGAATGCCTCAACTGCAATATATTTTAAGACACTAAGGATTTTACATGATATTTTGACTTTTACAGAAAAGCTGGGTAATGTGGTAGTGCTAGGATTTTCTCTGTGTACTACTTTTGTTCTATACAATTCATTTTTGTGGCTAGGTATGCTTGGAAATCACTGTAAAAGCAATTTTAGTCAACAAGCATTTGCCGCTGTCAGTACTGGTGGTAGATGAGCAGACTTTGCTGTTGCTGACCTTTGAAATTCTAAGTCCAGTCTTTGACTAAGTGAAGAAATACACAGAATCATAGAATGGTTTGGGTTAGAACAGACGTTTAAAATCATCTAATTCCTACAGCAGAGGGGATGGCAGGGATACCTCCCTCTAGACTAAGTTGCTCAGAGCCCCATCCAGTCTCACATTGAAAGCTTCCAGGGTGCGGGCACCTACAACCTCTCTGGGCAACCTGTTCCAGTGTCTCATCACCCTCACAGTAAAGAATTTCTAACTAATATCTCATCTAAATCTACGCTCTGCCAGTTTAAAATCATTTCCCCTCGTCCCGCCACCAAGCAAAACAAGAAAAACAGTAGGAATCACTAACACAATAAATCTCGTCAAGTTTTGGGGAAGCCTAGCAGTGAGGACAGTTTTATGGGGCTGACCTGACTCCAGACACAACACAAATTCTGAAGTCACCACAAAGGGAACCACTGGTCTACAGTGCTTTGAATGACATCATCCACACCTGGCTAATTTTCAGAGAGTTTCATAAATTGGGAAAGGTCCAAAAAGCAGAAGGAAAAGAAAGCTGAAGTTTATAAAATTGAACACCTTCCTGCCTTAGTAAAAGCTAATCTCAAAGTGGATGAAACTACAGAAAAGCGTCATCATATGAATTATCTGAAGAATAAAACTGGAGAATTATGAAGGCGTTTTACAGCTACCTGCATACCCACAAACTAAATCCTATACTTCAGCAGACTGAAAGTTGAACTCCGCTCACAGCATATTAATACTGCAAAGATAATATGGTCAGACGCTAATTAAAAGCTTCAGAAATAAAATACAAAATGTTATTCAAAAATAAACATTGTACGACAAGAAAATTGTTACAGGTATACAACAGAGGAGCACACTAAGGTAACAAAAGCATACGTTATCAAAGCAAAGGAGGGCATGACTTCAAAACAATTAATTTAGAAATGCAAAAAATGTAAAATAGATATTGACATACATGCCTGGTAGCCCATATAAAGAGCCTGGGAAGTAACAGTCTGAGTATGGTTATTGGATTTTTTTTTAATTTCTTTTGCATTTCCACAATAACAAAAAGTTGATTATGTTATTAAGGCTACTATCCAAATGCCTTTTGAACACCAGCAGACATGGAACATTAATGATCTCACTAGGAAGCCTGTTACAGTGCCTGATCACTCTCACAGTAAAGAGATTTATTCTAGTATCCAGTCTAAACCTCAAATGCACAGTTTTGTGCCACTGGTATGGTTCCCAGGAAGAAGAGATCGTCACCTCGCTCTCCACTTCCACTCCTCAGGATGCTTTAAAGAGCAATGAAGTCACTTCTTAGCCTTCTTTTCTCCAGATTAGACAACCTGAGTGTTCTCTGTCTGTCCTCACAGCACACAACTTCCAGCCCTTTCATCAGCTTTGTTGCCCTTCTCTGGATGCATTCAAGTATCTTAATAGTCTTTTTTCTATGTTGTGGAGCCCAGAACTGAACTCCATGTTCAAGGTGAAGCCACACCAATGTTAAAATACAGTGGGAGAATCACCCCTTTTCACCAGCTGTCTCTGATGTATTTAATACATCTTAAAACGCGGTTTGCTCTTTTGGCTCCCAGTGTACACCACTGATTCAGGTTGTGCCTACTGACAATCAGCAACCCCAGATCTCTATTGCAGAGCTGCTCTCTAGTCACCCGTTTCCCAGTCTGCGACTGGCATTACTTCACCCAGCATTTATCTTTGTTGAATATCATGCTATTGCTGAGTGCCAAAGCTCCAACCTACCTAGAACCCAAGAAGGCCTCCCATACTTCTAGGGAGTCAACAGCACCTTTTAGTTTAATATCATCACTAACTAACTAAGGGTGCATTCAACTCCTGTTTGCTCAATATACTTATTTTAAGGGTAGCAAATAAATTCTATAACAGCCTGTACTTTTTTTTCAAACAGCTTTCAGACAGGTTCAAAAAAAACTCCTCATGCTCACCACGACATACATTGTTGTGCAAGTCAGTAACAGTTATCCATCAGTGCTTTTGTAATAATAGTCTTGTCCTTCTGCATCCTGATTCAAAATGGCTAAAACACACTTAAAAAGTGTGTATAACTATCAGACACTATCCTTTTCACATCAGAATTATACTTAAAAGGTAGTCTTTGGTACTTATCAACCCAGCTGCTTCCTACCATACTTGTGATTTACTTCATATTAAGCAGTTAGAAGCAGAATATTGCACTAACATAAATGCTAAATGGACAACCTTGACAAAGCTAAGCACCTTAATTTATGAAGAGACAAGATATAGATTATCATTCTATTTGCATAAGTGCATATATTCCACAGTGAATTCCAGTGTGCATGCTTCTTAAGCTTTCCACTCTTGGTTACCAAAGATTTTTCTCATCAATTCTCCGACTTATAACATCATCTCATTTAAAAATTATGCTGTAGTTACTATTAGCTTTTCTTACTAATTTTCTTCAGTAGATTACATCCTTCCTCTGTGTTGACCTGACCTATGCTGTTGTTCCAGTTATGCCAGTTTCAAATATAGCTATTGTTTTATTAGGGCAAACTGCCAGCATTGAAATATATGCTAGCTTCCCTGTGGCTCAGACTTATTTGCCTTAATAAGTTAGTTTACTTATATCGCCATTTTAATATAGATGAGAAACAAGAAATCAAACAAGACAGTTTAAACACATTTGTGCAGTACATAGAGCACACTCTATTTCCCTCTCTCACTTGTTTATGAACAAGGGTTTTGTATCCTAACAGATGAGGAAGAGGAAGGAGGACAAGCTTTCCCCCCATTTCATCAGAAACTCCTACAAACTTTAACAGTCCTGAGAGCCAAATGGCAAAGCAAGTTCTTATATATTCTGTAACCTACACTTAAAAGACATGTATTTTTACCACTCAAGTGTCAAGTGTCTTGTGTCTTAGGACTTTGACACCTGAAAGCACTTTACTTGGAGGAGGTTTGGGGGGGGGGAGGAGGAAGATGCGACAGAAAAAGGTGAGCTTGCACGTTGCAACTGGTTGATAACAAAGTCACAGCTTGCACACCCTCTTTGACTCTCCTGTCTCCTTACTCACACGTCTTTACCTGCCAACCCTTCGACATACCGTATTTGTTAATCTATTTTCATTGAAGAGGAGGGTACAGACATGAGCACGGTAAATAACCGAGTAATCGCAGGTATCCTACCGGTACCTCTTCGCACGAGCACGGCGCCGAACAGGCTGCGAGCCCTGGCCCGCGGGCGTCCCGTCCGGCTCCGCTCACGCCACCGGCAGCAACCCCAAAGAAGTGGCCGAGTCTCGCGGCTCGCAGCGCTCCGCTGAGCGCCGGCCGGGAGCCTGCAGCACTACCCCTCGAAAGCCCATCAGCCCCATTCCCGGGCCTCCAGCACAGCACGACACAACACCGCCTCTCCGTCATCGGCAGCGCGGGCCCTCGCAACGCCGCGCCCCTCCCGAGCCGCCTCGTTGGCTCCAGTACCGCTGAGTAAGGCCGAGGAACCGGGTGGACACCGCCTCTGCGCTGCTCAGCTCCATGCGGGCGGCGAGGCCGGGACCTCACCGCTCCAGCGTCGCGTCTCGCTCGCTCGAGACGACGAGAGCTCCTCTCACACATCCCGCTGCCCGGACGCACAGGCGCCTCACGCGCGCGCGTCCGCTATGCTGCGTGAGCCGCTCGGACTCCGCGCTGCTGTCGCGCCGCCGCGAAGACCGCCGGGAGCTGTAGTCCCGGGGGCGGGCGAGCGGCCTGCCCTTCGCAGCGAGAGGCGCGGTGCGAGAAACGCGGGCCCTGCTGTCGGCCAAGCACTGACAGTCTGGCAGCTGCCGTCTCAGCTCCACACAGGAGAAGCTTTATCTATTCACCCAGCCTCTCGCATAAAAATGCCTGCTGTTACTAGAGAAGCATATCGCCATCCCCAAGTAATACTCAACGTCTGAAAGTCAGAGGAAAAATCGTAAGCTGCAGACATCCAATGACTGTGTCTAAGTGTAGAATATGATGCTCAATGAACAAAATTTAAATATAATTGTTTTCGTTTTACTCCAGAGCCAAAAAAGAATGAGAATTCCATGTGTGGGGCACTTCTGGAGCAATATCTCTTCATGCTCTCTCCTGCACAGTTTTTTCCTTCATACACGTAGATAATCGTAGCATGTCATAGTTCTTGATAATGATATTAAATTTAAAATAGTAACATTTACCAACTTAGAAAATAATCTCACCTCATACTATTCTGATTTTACTAACTATTAAATGTTTGGACAGGAGAGTCAAAACCCAGACTAATCCTCAAAGCTGGCAAGAATCTGTACTTTAGTGGCTAAACTTTCTTCTTAAAAATAAAACTTACGTCTGCAAGCAAGACATTACCGGAAGATAAATGGCACTTAGTCTACAAGCAAGACATTACAGGAAGATAAATGACTAAGTACTGTAAAAAATGCTTTGCACTTGTTAACATAAGTTAACTAAACGTTAACTTTAGTTAACATTTAGTTGTTTACTAAAGTTTCGCTAAATGTTGCTTTTGTTATTGAAGGACTATCTCCTGCATATGAGAGAGATCTTCCAGTTTTAGAAGTCAATGGAAAAAAAACATTGTTTTTAGCCTTACAAAATAATGCCTTGTAAAGAATACCTTAATTTTTTTGTAGACTATGTGTACGGAGTTAGTTACATCATAACTTAAATTTCATAACACAAATCCACCCAGTAACCACAAACAGGTTTATTGCAAACCAATGTTTATATATTCTACATGCCAACTGAAATTAATTTTCACCTAATAACACTTGAAACTCAAGGCTGACTGCTGATATATCAAAGCACCCTAATGAACAAGGATATACACTGCCAGTAAAACAGCTTCAAGGTAGCTTCTATACTAGAGAAACAAAACTCTTTACTGAAAAAAATAACAACAATCAACCCTACTCAACATTTTGAACTAAACCACAACTTCCCTTCTTCCTGAGTTCTCCATTGCTTTACAAGTTTGCCATAAACAAGACTTCACTTCTCTTGCTCCTTCAGAAGAATGTACTTCTTTGGAAATAATGACACATAATATTACTTAAATTATTTCACTTTCACTGCAATGAAGTTGTCATTTACCCTATTCCTCTTCCCTTCTGCGCAACAGATATAAAATAGTTAAAATGAATACATGCATTCACTCAAATATTTGCTCTGTAGTACCTCCCTGTCATCCTAAAATGAAAATATCAACATTTAAAACACAATCACCTCTGTTTTAAACAGAAAAGAAAGAAACCCTGCCTCTGCATAGACTCTAGAAATTACAATACAATGGAATATTATCACTTTAACTCTTCAAACCAGTTTTTTTTTGTTAATCAATACTTTTCTAAGTAGTCTCCTGAAAGCCTGAGTCTGTCTGATACCATGAAATTCAACAGCACTTAAAAATTCCAGCTAGGATAGAATCCAAACACGGACGCTCTGAATGAAAAAGATCAGCACATCAGATTTCTGTATTATGCCATCACTTCAATGATTCTTTGACTCAAAGTGTAATAAATCTTAAACATCAAAAAAACCTCATTACTTTCTGTTTAATTTCCATAGTTTCCTTAATCTAATTTTGCCTTTGTAATAGCATTCCATTTTGTATGATTTATATAAAGACCAATGAAGGGCTTAATTCACCAGATTTGTGATATCTGTAGTGTCAGCCATTTCAAATTGTGCTATACTTCTCTTAAAATAAAGAATCCTCATTATTTTTGTTAAGGCCACATGAAACAAGTCTTACTTCCTAAGAAAATTATGACTAGCAGAAATTCTCAGCATTTTGCAGACAGGGAATATACTTTGGAAGTTATCACAGACTCTTAGAAATGAATACAGCTGATCCATCTGACAAGTGATGATACTAGCAAGATTTCAAAACAACTCTATCCATATACTTTGTCTCCCTGACTTTCCCAAAAGAGCATAACCACACTTGCAGTGACACTTCTAAGCATGGATGTTCCCTTTAGAGCCACATCATTTACTAATTCTCTACTGATAATATATATGACATCATCTTCTGAAGTATGCAGAAGCATAATTGTGTAATATCACAGAATCATAGATGGGGGAAGGGACCTTGAAAGATCATCTAGTCCAACCCCCTGCTACAGCAGTTTCCCTAAAACAGGTTGCACAGGAAAGCATTCAGGCAGGTTTTGAATATTGTATTGAAGAATACTCCACAAGCTGCCTGGACAGCCTGTTCCACTGTTCTGTCACCCTCACAGTAAAGTAGCTCTTACTCATGTTTGTATGGAACTTCCTGTGTTTCAGTTTTTGCCCACTGCCCCTTGTCCTGTTTCTTCACACCTCTGAAAAGAGCCTGGCCCCATTCATTTGACTCCCGCACTTTCAATATTTATAAATGTCGATGAGATCATCTCTCAGTCTTCTCTAGGCTGACCAGAGCCAGGTATCTCAGCCTTTCCTCATATGGTAGATGCTCCAGGCCCTTAACAAATAAATACTAAAATAAAATCTCTACTTAGAAGTAAGGAAAGAGAAGTACTATAATAACATCTTTTGAAGTGTAGCCATCACTCTTAACACCAAACAGAAAGGCACATTCTCTGTAGGTGATGGAGATTTTAGTATTCTAGACCAGAAAGCTCTTTAAAAAAAAAACCAAAAGGTGCTTTTCCAATTGCACAGCTGATGGGATGAAGATCTAAACAAAACCCAGTAAAATATATCCTAATCCATGATGCTTGTTTTTTAAATAAATAATTAAATTTCAACATGGAGGTAAGCTTTGATTCATTTTTTAAAGAAGGCTAATGAACGAAGTGTGTAGCTTATGGAAGGGAAAAAAAAAGACCACTAAACCATATTTTCTTCTGGGAAAAAAAAAAGAACACATTATCTTACATAAGTAGAACAAGAGTAATTATCTTCTCAAATGCACTGGAAAATTCACATAATAAACTCAATTTTTAGGAAAACAGTAATTTTAAGAAAACAATGTAATATATTCATTTTTAAAACATCCTAAATTTTCCAAATGGAAAAAGTCACCTATGCATTTCAGACGATACTTTTGCAATATGTAAAGCAAGATAAAAAGACTCTTTTCCTGCAGGCAAGCCTTTCTGATGCCTCTGAGAATATGTGCGCAACTGAACATATTTTGTGTGTATATATATACATTATATGTATGTATATTTTGTATATATATATATATATATATATACATATATATATATGTATTCACGTTATCAGTAGGAAGCACAGCCTTATCAAAGCCTGGCCGGTTCACCCACAGACCTCATTCGGGTTAGATCTTCTCTTGGCTGGTTTACTTTAAACCCACACCCGAAGCCATTTGTACTGTTGTCTCACGCTTCGGGATCACACCAAGTCGGGCAGGCCGCAGCCGATTAGCGGCGAGCACGCGCAGCTCGTCTGCCCCAGCCGGGCGATAACTGCCGTCACAGCCTGCCTGGCCCTCAGCCGGCTCCACCACGGGTCCGCCCGGCCGCGCCGCGCCCGCGCCCACAGCCCGCGCCACCGGAAAGGCAGCCGCCGATAGGTAGTTACCAGAGGACTCTGAGAGGCGCCGGGCACCAGCAGCAACTGGCGGCGAAGTTGCCCGGCGCACCCGACAACGGCATCGGGACAAACTTGCGCCGCGGCGCCCCGGCGCTCCCTGCTCGGGCGGGGCGGGCCGGGCGAGCTCGCGGCCACGGCGACCAGCGGCGGAGACCAGCGGCGGCGTGGCGCTCGGCAGCCCGGGGCCTTTCCGCCGCGCACCATGGCGCAGGCTGCCCAGCCCAGGTCCTAGAGCCCGCGGGTCTCTCGCGCCGGCCGCAGAGGAAGCGCTGACGTTGTACGTATGGAACCCCAGCGAACACCCACGGACCCGGGCGGCCTTTGCTTTATTCGGGTTTGGGCTCTGGCCCCACCTCTCAGACTCCACCGAGGGAATTCCTTCCTCCTCCCCCCCCAGTCTTCTGTGCTTCCGTACCCCGGTGAGAGATCTAAGGCGTGAGGAGATGCATTGCAGCCCGACCGAATAGCCCTCTTGTAGGCAGTGTTTGCTTCATGAATACTGAAATCCTGACGGGCAATGTTTGAGAAACATTAAGGAAGATAAAAGATGGGGCAAAGCAAGGAAAACACTTGGGGAAAGCAAGGGTAATGCAATGGATAAATCTATGCCAAGCCAGTGGGATACCATAAAGTAATGAGCTCTGGGGAAAGCAGGGCATGCCACTCTACATAACAAATGTACATTTGAGTTTATGTTTTGCTCTTTCCTATCTGAGCAACTAGCAGGCAGCAAAGTTGAGTTCCAAGGCATTCTAGGAAATTCAGCTTTCCTGCTGTTTTCAAGGAGAGACAGAAAACTGTTCTTGCGGTTCTTGTACCGCCTGGGAGCAACATGCTTCTCCAGTGCCACTGCATTTAACAGGTAACATGATACTGAAGGGACTGTGCAGCATGCACAGGGTAGCATCTCTTTTACACTACCCTAACCCTACATTACAATTATGATTAGCATTACGTTAGCACTGAGGTTAGAGCTACCTTCAGGATTGCAATTACTGCCAGTGTTATTTTTACAGTGACTTTTCTGGATAATTTTCAGGGGATTTTTTAGGGTAAGGCTTATTAGAATTACTGTTAGGGTCATTAGGGCTGTGATTAATGTTACTTTTAGGGTTAAGATTACAGTTATGTTAATAATTGTTTTTTGAATTATGAATACGGTTAAGGTTACTTTTACTGCAAACTTTTAGTATGATTTTTATTGTTACACTTGGAGTTAAATATTATTTTAGTGTCAGGGTAAAGGTTAGGATTAGAGTTACACTGGATGTTAATACAGTAATCTTTACAGCTCCTATGTCTGGGCCAAGTGTTGGATCTGAGAGACAGGATGTCTCAGGAACAGAGGCAAGCAAACTATACACTCAGAACAGCACAGAGGTTTACGAGTTGTATTCAGTATACCCTCACACACACAAAAGTAATCCATTTTAGATAATCCCAGTAAGCAGCAAGCAGGAACTCCTTAAGCAACTGCACTACAACTTACTGACCCTTGAGAGACAGCAAACCACCGAAAAGGAGAGAAGGAACATGCCAGCAGTGGATGCAATAGGCAGGGCTAGCAAGGCGTCCCCTGCTTCAAAGTGCACGTCTCCTCTCTACCCTTCTGCAACTGCTCTCCTACTTTGATTCTCCCTAGGGTCTGCAGGGTTTGTTCCACTTGCACTCTGTACCTGTGTGGCCAGTGCATGAAACAAGCAACAATGAGATATCCTCATCTCCACTGCTAACCCTTAAATAAGGGATCCACCTCTTCTGGTCCCTCAGTCCATTGCATTGCATACACCTGAGCTCACCTGGGCTGGCCCTGCCTTCCCACCAGGTGCTCAATCACTGTTTCAGACTGTGACTTAGCACTTCCACTACATGGAGACAGCAAGAAGATGTAAAGACAGAATATGTTTTTTAAAAATTTTAATTTATTTATTTTGTAATTCTTTTACCAAAGTCACCGATCTTGAAACTTAAAATGTTTAAATCCTTCAGGAGATTGCTCACAAATCACAACACAAATGGAGACAACAAAAGAAAAACATAGTTCTGCTGCTACCCACATTTCTTAACGTTAACTTAGGCT